ATATTTAAAAAAATGTATGCTTTACATATATATAAAAGTATATTAGGAAAGTATATAGTATATTAGGAAAAGTAAGTATGGGAATTGACAAATGTTTATGATTGTCTTGTAAATTTTTTGTCCTATCCCAGTTTGCAATTTGCTTGGCGTTAATATCAGTCGCCGAAGTCCGACACACAAAGAGATGAATTGTGTTTCTATTTCTTTGACGTGCTGAAGTGTTGACTTTCTGCGTACAGCGTAAAGAGTCTAAAGAGTTATTTATAAATTGCAGACAACAGCGACGTTGCAGCTATATTATTATTGCATTTAATGTGGCAGAGACACGCTGCAGCTATATTATTTTATTTGCAGCACGAATGGGTCGGCTCGATTGGGGAAGGACCACGCTCTCACAGAATACTAGCGTAAAATAGCAGCATATTGCTGCTATGTTATTGCTATGTATTCGTATATATAAACTCGGAGACCATTTTCCTAGATAGGAGGCATTTCATCTTAGTCCTCAGGGGTGACAACGCGTATACACTTTGATTCCATATCGAGAATAGATCTAGATGTCTATGAGCCGCAGCATCCACTTACTATGAGGTGATTGTCACCTTGATGCTATAAAAAATATGAGTGAACTCGACCGGGAGAGGACCGCGCCCTCATAATATAATAAATGATGCTGTTTTTCGTATGGTGGGTGTAGAAAATATTGAGACCCTCTTTCTTCGTAACGAGACATTCTATCTTAGTCCTTAGTCAGGGTTGACAACGCACTTACATTTTGTTTCTTATTCGAAAATAGATGAAGGTGTCCATTTGTCACAGATCTACGTACTGTTATTATTATTTAAGGCTTCAAAAAAACATATAACATTGGCTATGATGATAATAATTAATGATGGATTCTTGCATAGATACAAAATGGCGGTCTCGTCGCAGTTGTTAGGGTACTTTACTATAACGCTAATCAAAACATTTCTAGTTAAATACCATAATTCATTCAGATCATTCTGCATTGGGATCCCAACATTTGTGCACAATACATGTTGTTAGTTTTTAGGTCCAAATGTATTTTGATTGTACCCGTATCTCTGAACCTACCTCCGGTCTTATCGCTTAATGAAGCAATTTATGAAGTTAGTTAATAAAATTATTTGTTCCAAAATTTGCCTCTGTATTTGTTCGTATTCTTAAGGAATTTCAAAATTCAAAATTGAAAATGTCCTGCGAAGTTTTATAAATGCCTCTACAATACAGAATAAATTCCTAGAATAACGGTATTTTTTTAAAGTAAAAATCACTACACTCTTGTACCAAATATCGAAGAGAAAATCGGTGAATTCTTTAAAGACGGTCATCAAATTTGAAAACGTAGATACAACAATATCAAATAAAGAGTATAGTAGAAATAGAAATCAAAAAGTAATTATTTTACCTACTATGTTTGGTAGAAATGATGTAGCTGTATTGCAATCATTTGAATTTAGAATTTTAATTTAATGCCATTCATTATAAATTATTGAACATCAATATAGCCAGTAAGGAATGCAGCTAAGGAGTTTAGGTATATCAATACATTTTAATTCTTAGAAGGGACGCCCTAGGTGAAAGTTTATCGACCAAATTAGAGATACTCGTATATTGAAAATGGGCCAAATTAAGAGTACCATAGAATACTAAATATATACACGATATAGTATTCTATGAAGTGAACCCTTAACCGACGAGCATGTATGCGTTGGTATATGGATGTGGAGGAGGCGAGAGAGGTTTGTCAGGAGAGAGCCAAATGGAAATCTGTAGTCTCTGCCTACCGCTTTGGGCGACAGGCGTGAGTGTTTATATTATATATTTATATATAATTCTTGGATTGCACCTGGGACTTTACCTAATTGCTTAAATTACGCATGATATTTTCCTGAAAGATGACTGACTAATATAATCCCTTGAATAGTTTATTAGCAAGTTCAATGTTTGACTAATAAACATAAATTCAAAGTTTGTCCTATTTTACGGCGGCATTGACCTAGAAAGTAAGTGTCACCCAGAGATATCTAGTATACATTTTTCCAAAAGGTTTTATGACGCGTTTTTACCCGACTCATGAAGGATGGTAATGTTTTTCGAGTGTATGTATGTATGTATGTTTATTTCTGTGGCACGCTCTGTAGCTTATTCGGTTTAATGGATTTACTTCTGACATATCTTTGTCTTAATTATGGAAGTTAGTGACATAGGGCATAAAATTTTCTCGTTTTATTAAACTTTTGTAAGCAGTTAGTTTTTTTTATACTATTTTAACACAGTTAAGATCCGTGGTAGCTCAGATGGTTAACGCTCGCTGTAAATATAACATAACGCGAGTAACCCGGGTTCGAACCCCGCCGGCACCAATGGAATTGTTAATTGCAATTTTAAGTGCTGATTTACCACGTGCTCGGCGGTGAAGGAAAACATCGTGAGGAAACCTGCATGTCTGAGGAATAAGAAAAAAAATATTTCGAAGACATGTGAAGTTCGCCAACACGCATTGGGGCAGCGCGGCGGACACTTCCTTGCCCTAAAACCCCCTCAGAAATGAGGGGAGGCCTGTTGCCCAGCAGTGGGACGTATATAGGCTGTAACTTTACTTTACTTTACTTTTACTTTATTTTAACAGTTGGGCTTGTTATCATAAGGTCATATAAAACGAAAACTAAGGGAAGGACAAAGACAAAAACACAAAGACATTTACAATAAATAATATATTGAGATAAAATATCAACAGGCTTTGGCAATTATTAGGAGCACATCTAAAAATCACCTTTAAAAAATTAACTACACAAGACAGTACTAAAATCGACTAAAATATTTACTATAATGTTAATTGTGCAAATAACGTCGATAAATCGGTGGCCTATTGACTCTTTATTTTTTGATTGACTGATGAAAAGTTATTGTACCATAAAGCCATCTATGCAAACAACGTTGCAATTTTGGAGTTAGAAGAAAGTGACCATATTAACCGAAGGACCATAATTATTACCTCACGTACTGTATGACGGACAATGTAAACGAGTGGCAGCTTGTATCGTATTTTACAAGAAAATTGGACCTCTTATTGATTAGAAGACATTAGGCAACGATCTGCCGAATAACTAAAACAGATCTGCGGAGCAAGATATTGGCCAGCGGCCTATATCCAGCAGTGGGCCGCAGACTGTGACGATTATGTCCTTATGTTATAATTTATATAGACCAAAATGACACATGCACATTGACAATACATGCTGTTTTAGTTTTTTTTATTTAATTTTAAAATTACAAAATCTGAAAATCTGTTCAAAATTTCATTATTATGCAGCTCAAAATATTAAAAAAATAATTAAAAAGGTTTACAAACCCTATCAACTTCGCAATTACGGCAGATATCCCCCATATGAGGCAGTAATGAAAGGTGGAAGGCTTCTTAAGCGGTGAACTTTTGACAGATTGAAATAAATGAATGGAAAAAACTTACACTAAAACTTATCGCGCCATTTACCAAAAAAAAATAAAAATACAGAACAACGTCTGCCGGAACAGCTTATTAAAAATAAATATTAATTAAAATGTGTTTTATTTGAAAACAAATAAAGTAGTGATTTAAAATACGAATCAGTAATATTTTTTATATTTTTACAAGTTTCTATTCAACTTGCTTTCGTCGTACCTATGTTTTCCGGTTCAAAAACAATCAATTTTTAAAACACTTATCATCGATTGAGTAGAAATTTTTCATACTTATACAATTTCGATGACATTTTTTGTATAGAATAAGGGTAACAAACTAGCACACGGTCCACCTGATGGTAAGTGGATACTGTAGCCCATAGACATCCACATGTATCCTCGATTAACAATCAAAATGCAGGTGCTTGTCAACCCCAGGACCAAGATAGAATGTCTCGTTTCATGTTAAAAGGGATCTCCGGTACTCACCATATGAAGCAGCAGCACTAAGCTACTATTTCTCGCCGGTATTTTGTGAGAGCGTAGTTCTTCTCCGGTCGAGCCAAAGCATTCGTGTCACAACCATAATATAGCTCCGGCAAGGCCTATCACGTAAGAAGCACAATGCAACGCAATAATAATGTACCATGAAGCTGGGCTAATATTGGACCCGGATGGTGACGTTAGAAACGCCTATAAAAGCATGTTTTTAAATAGATTTTATCTCGTATTTTTATACGTCAGCCACTCTGCAGCAATATTTTGATCGGGTCGGCTCGACCGGGGAAGGACCACGCTCTCACAGAATACCAGCGTAAAATAGCAACTTAATACTGCTGTGTTTCGTATGGTGAGTGTAGAGATCCGGCGACCCTTTTTTTACTGGAAACGAGGCATTCCATCTTAGTCCTCAGGGGTGACAACGCATCTGAGTTTTGATTCTTAATCGAGGATAAATGTCTATGGGCCACAGCATCCACTTACAAACAGGTTGACGGTGTGCTCGTTGTAACCCTCATTCTATTAAATTTTTTTTTAGTATAGCAAGCAATAAAAATTGCATTTTTGATACTTACACGAGCATTTTAAGCTTAATTAGAGTAGTTAACGATATTTGTACCGTTTATAGCGTTAATATTCTTATCGTTAGTATTCTTTTTTATAAAAAAATATACAAAATGTTATTTACCTAATGTATTTTTATAGTTGTTTGTGCTGCAATTTATCTTGATTTTTCCTCTAACCTATTTATTATTTATTTAAAAACTGGAACAACATTGCTATTTCCATGCGTTTCGCTGAAAAGATAATGCATAAATTATTTATAATTATTGAACAAATCCTGTAGCCACCGATAAATTTCACTTATCAAGAGGATTCAGTTATACTTGTTTCCTGACCTTATGTAATGGCAGATAATATTTATAATACCACATAACTCTTCGGGATTCAGTACAGCTTGGGCTATTCAAGCTGACTAACGTTCCACGGAGTTGTTTTATAAATGGATACCTAACTCGCGAAATTAATCGAAAATGTATATTACTCAACACGCGTTTATATTTCTATGTGGAATATATCTCTGTGGAGCTGGATATGGCTACGGTTATTATGGGCCCACGGCGTAAGTACTTCTTTATATATTTGGAAAGTTGTTTATATTTTTACTCTAGCCATTCCTAAAGAGTATATAATCATTACGTTGCCCTACCTTATAAAGTTCTTAACATTACCAATCTAGACTAGTGATGTAACGAATGTTGGATTTTTCACATTCGCGAATGCGAATGCGATTGCGAATATTTATCTTCAACATTCGCGAATGCGAATGCGAATGAGAATATTTTAAAATTTCAAAAAAAGCGCGCGTAAAATGTTTGACAGGTTTGACGTTTCGTGTCGGCCATGTTTAAATTAAACATATTTGTTAATTGAATAAATTTATTCACAGAAAGTTCATTCTAAAAGTTTTGTTTTGTTTTGAGGTTAGTTTTATGTTATTTATCAAATTTAACTGATATTTAAGGGACAAAGTGGCATAAAAACACGAGTAAAGCACACATCAGCGAAGTTTGGACATATTTTACAATATGTGATGCTGAAAATGTTAATTGCAAGTTGTGTGATAAAAAGTACTCGCGCAAAGGCAGGACCACTAGTGCTATGAGAAATCACCTGGAAGCTAAACACAAAAATGAATAATATGAAGAATTGACAAAAAAGAGAACATGAAAGCAAGATGCTGCTAAAATTAATTCTTTGGCGTCCTCTTCGCGACAATGTACCAAAACTGACCTTAAGCAAATATCTTTGAGTGATTCATCATCATCATCATTACAGACCTTCACAAGTCCACTGCTGAACATAGACCTCCCCCAAGTAATGCCACAAAGCACTGTCCTGAGTCACCTGCATCCATCGACTTCCTGCATATCTTACCAGGTCGTCACTCCATCTAGTGGACGCGCGCCCTACACTACGCCTACCGGTACGAGGCTGCCACTCGAGAACCTTTCTTCCCCACCGGTTATCGGTTCTTCGAGCTATATGGCCGGCCCATTGCCACTTTAGCTTACTAATCCGTTGGGCTATGTCGGTCACTCTGGTTTTACTGCGGATATCCTCATTTCTGAGTCTATCACGCAAAGAAACTCCGAGCATAGCCCTCCCCATAGCTCGCTGAGCGACCTTGAGCGTCCTCATACGGCCAGCAGTGAATAACCACGTCTCAGATCCGTAAGTCATCACTGGCAACACGCACTGGTTGTACAATCTAGTTTTTAGAGATTGAGGTATACCTGAAGAGAAGATATGTCGTAATTTCCCGAACGCTGCCCAGCCGAGTTGAATCCGGTTAATACCGTATCCTTTCCAGTCCAGTAGCTTGAAAACGTCTTCCAATGCAGCGGTGAAGAGTTTCGGGGATATAACGTCACCCTGTCTTACAGCTCTCTGCAGTTGGATAGGTTTCGAACTCTGGTTCTGTACTCGGATAGCCATCGTAGCCCTACTGTACAAACACTTCAGCACCTCGATATACCGACAGTCAACTTGGCACCGCTGAAGGGACTGTAGCACCGCCCAAATTTCGACGGAATCAAAGGCTTTCTCATAGTCCACATACGCCAGGCAAAGTGGCAGATTGTACTCTTCGGTCTTCTGTACAATCTGCCGCAGGTATGTATGTGGTATGGTACTGAAGCCTTTTCGGAAACCGGCTTGTTCGGGAGGCGGAAAGTCGTCGAGTCTGCGTGCGAGACGATTCGTAATGACTCTCGAAAACAGCACGTAGACGCGGCTCAGAAGGGAAATCGGTTTGTAGTTCTTCAAGAGAGCGTTGTCGCCTTTCTTAAAGAACAAGACCACCGCACTTCTGCTCCACGCCTCTGAAGTAGTGCCACCATGGAAGACGGAATTGAAGAGCTTCTGAAGGACTTCAAGTACCGGTGTTACACCCGCTGTCAGAAGCTCCGCTGTAATTCCATCCTCGCCTGGGGCCCTGCCGTTTTTAAGGTGCTGGAGAGCCGTTCTAATCTCGCTTAGTCTGACGTCCGGGATATCATCGGAATAGTGTCGGATAAGACTTGCTCTTGGATCGTTACTCACACTTGCGTGTGGCTCCAACGATGATATGTACAGCTGCCCATAGAACCTCTCAATCTCACTCAAAATCTCAGGTGTCCCGGAAACGATGCTGCCACACTCAGTCTTTAGCTTTGACAGTTGGCTATTTCTGGCAGACAGATCTCTGGCAAAGACTTTGGAGCCCTGGTTCCGCTCGATTGCTTCTTTAATACGAGCAGTATTAAAGTTGCGTAAGTCTCGCTGCATGCATTTGGAGATCTGTCTGTTCAGTTGCCTGTATGCTGTCAAATCTGTTGACGATTGCAGCCTCATCTCCCGTCTAACAGCCATGATATTAAGAGTGTGATCGGAGAGTTTTTGTGTTCTTCTGCGGTGGGTCTTGCAGAACTTACCTCCCACCGCATGGACGGTTACGACTTGTCATTCATATCGTCCACTGCACTGCACTTGCAATCTTGTAGGCACTGAAAGCGGTTACGTAACTCGAGCTGAAAGTTTTCGGGATTCTGGATTAAAGCACGAGGGAGACGGAGCGTTGACTTCATTAGACGAGACCTCTCCAACTGAAAGTTTAGGTTCAGTGTGCCTCTAACCATTTGGTGATCGCTGCCAGTTTTCACCCTTGCGATCACTGAGACATCACTGAACAGTTGGCGTGTGATCGTCATAATGAAGTCAATCTCATTTTTTATCGAACCGTCGGGGCTCAACCAGGTTCACGTCCTGTGGGGTCACTTCTGGAAGAAAGAGTTCATCAAAAAGAGTCCCTCTTTCTGCATAAAGTCGGCCAGCTTCTGGCCCCTTCGATTCCGTTGCCCTACTCCAAATTTCCCTAACCTCAGCTCACCGTTTTCTTTTTTGCCTAATTTTGCGTTGAAGTCTCCCATCAACACCGTGTAGTGGGTTTTGGAGGAATGCATGGCTTTGGAAATATCCTCATACATTTCCTCCACCTCCTCATCGGGATGTGCCGAGGTTGGTGCGTAAACCTGTATGACCTTCAGCGAATACCGTTTGGTGATTCTGAGTATCAGGTACGCGACCCTCGTCGACACACTCCCAATCTTTACAACGTTGTTGACGAGAGACTTGTGGACGATAAATCCGACACTTCCTTGGGACAGATGGTCGCCCTCCCGGTGATAGAACAAGTTGCCGGATTCGAGAATCACCGGGTCCTCCACCTCTCTTCGGACCTCGGATAATCCTATAATATTCCAGCGCAACTTGTCTATCTCTCCTTCCAGCTCCAGGATCTTCTCGTCAGTCCTCAGGGTGCGTGCGTTAAATGTTAGGTCGAGTCGTCGTAGGTAGCAACCGAACTTCCACCGGAGATTCTTAGCACCCCCTGCCCCGCCGTTACTATGGTCGCCACCGTAGCCAGGAATAGCGGGGCCGCCGGGGACTGGGGGCCGTTATTTGTGTAATTGTTCATGGGGGGTATATATATATATATTATATATATATATATATATATATATATATATATATATATATATATATATATATATATATATAGCTGATAAGTTTGAGTGATTGCGTTGAAAAAAATAAAAAGTGGGATAACAACAACACCAAGTCTTTGGTACTGGATAATTTGATTGGCGAAGTGATCGCACTGGAGGACTTACCATTTAGTTTTGTGGAATGTCTTGGATTTGTGAGATTGATTAACCAAGTATGCCCTTCATATAATTTAAAAAGTCGGCACTATTTTACTTCCTTCATTTGTGAGAAGTTATACGGCAAAGTAAAAGATAAAATTCTGGAATTAATCAAATCATTTGAAAAATTAGCATTAACAACTGATATCTGGTCTGACTCTTGCTCTGGAGTGTCGCTGATAAGTTTCACTTGTCACGGAATTACCAATAATTTTGAACGAAAAATGATTGTATTGAAAGCAGAAGTATTCAATGATGGGCGACATACAGGAGAAAATATAGCGGCAAAGTTAGAAACTATGTTGTCATCATGGGGAATTCCCAAAGAAAACGTATTATGTATTGTTAGAGATGGTGGCACTAAGATGAAAAAAGGTATTTCTTTATTAATTATTAAAAACATTGACTGTTTATCGCACCAAATCCAAGAAAAATTTGAAAATGAAGAAGACCCACTTCTTTGGTGGAAAGTAAATAGCAACAAATATGGCATTCTTTCTCCGGTAGCCAAAGAATATTTGGTAACTCCGCCCACAAGTGTCCTCAGTGAAAGAGTTTTCAGTGGAGCTAAAATATTTTACATACCTCACCGAAACAGGCTGCACGGAGAAAGAGCCTCCAAACTGTTATTTTTAAAATTTAACATTCCATCGCTTCAATTTAATTATTAAGAATTAAAAATTACAACAAATTTAATAATTAAATAGTCAACATGTTATTAGAAAAACTATATTTTGTGTACCTTCTTACTTACTTATATATCATTATTTATATACATAGATAAATAACTTGCAATTGAAACCAAAAACCAAATGTTAACTTAACAAGTATTAGAAGTTTACTTTAGTTTAAAATAAAAATAATTATAATTTTGTTTTTGAAAAAAGGTTACAAATGGTTTAAGTATTCGTTGTTTTGTTTTTATATTTCATTCATTATAAATATATTTAATTCCTCAGATATATAAAGTGGAATGAAAAAATATACATTTAAAGCCAAAGGTTATAAATACTTAATACATTAGATATTTAAAGTTTAATAATTTTGTTTCAAGTAATTGTTTAGTTTTTTAGTAAATAGAAACTGTAAACTTTATTTAAAAATTGTAGTAAAGTAATAATATACTACTAAATAAATGCAAACCTTACATAGTTGTAACAAGGCTGATTAATGTTAGATTTGATCAGATCTCTGAAGTTCTTTTTTCATAAATGAGACTTTAATTTAGAATGTAGAAGTATGATTTAATAAAAATATCTAAGTGTTATCTCATCATCATCATCATCACAGCCCTTCACAAGTCCACTGCTGAACATAGGCCTCCCCCAAGTAATGCCACAAAGCACGGTCCTGAGCCACCTGCATCCATCGACTTCCTGCATATCTTACCAGGTCGTCACTCCATCTAGTGGGGGGTCGCCCTACACTACGCCTGCCGGTACGAGGCTGCCACTCGAGAACCTTTCTTCCCCATCGGTTATCGGTTCTTCGAGCTATATGGCCGGCCCATTGCCACTTCAGCTTACTAATCCGTTGGGCTATGTCGGTCACTCTGGTTTTACTGCGGATATCCTCATTTCTGAGTCTATCACGCAGAGAAACTCCGAGCATAGCCCTCTCCACAGCTCGCTGAGCGACCTTGAGCGTCCTCATACGGCCAGCAGTGAAGGACCACGTCTCTGATCCGTAAGTCATCACTGGCAACACGCACTGGTTGTACACTTTAGTTTTCAGAGATTGAGGTATACCTGACGAGAAGATATGTCGTAATTTCCCGAACGCTGCCCAGCCGAGTTGAATCCGGTTAATACCGTATCCTTTCCAGTCCAGTAGCTTGAAAACGTCTTCCAATGCAGCGGTGAAGAGTTTCGGGGATATAACGTCACCCTGTCTTACAGCTCTCTGCAGTTGGATAGGTTTCGAACTCTGGTTCTGTACTCGGATAGCCATCGTAGCCCTACTGTACAAACACTTCAGCACCTCGATATACCGACAGTCAACTTGGCACCGCTGAAGGGACTGTAGCACCGCCCAAATTTCGACGGAATCAAAGGCTTTCTCATAGTCCACATACGCCAGGCAAAGTGGCAGATTGTACTCTTCGGTCTTCTGTACAATCTGCCGCAGGGTATGTATGTGGTATGGTACTGAAGCCTTTTCGGAAACCGGCTTGTTCGGGAGGCGGGAAGTCGTCGAGTCTGCGTGCGAGACGATTCGTAATGACTCTCGAAAACAGCACGTAGACGCGGCTCAGAAGGGAAATCGGTTTGTAGTTCTTCAAGAGAGCGTTGTCGCCTTTCTTAAAGAACAAGACCACCGCACTTCTGCTCCACGCCTCTGGAGTAGTGTCACCATGGAGGACGGAATTGAAGAGCTTCTGAAGGACTTCAAGTACCGGTGTTCCACCCGCTTTCAGAAGCTCCGCTGTAATTCCATCCTCGCCTGGGGCCCTGCCGTTTTTAAGGTGCTGGAGAGCCATTCTAATCTCGCTTAGACTGACGTCCGGGATATCATCGGAATAGTGTCGGATAAGACTTGCTCTTGGATCGTTACTCACACTTGCGTGTGGCTCCAACGATGATGTGTACAGCTGCCCATAGAACCTCTCAATCTCACTCAAAATCTCAGGTGTCCCGGAAACGATGCTGCCACACTCAGTCTTCAGCCTTGACAGTTGGCTCTTTCTGGCAGACAGATCTCTGGCAAAGACTTTGGAGCCCTGGTTCCGCTCGATCGCTTCTTTAATACGAGCAGTATTAAAGTTGCGTAAGTCTCGCCGCATGCATTTGGAGATCTGTCTGTTCAGTTGCCTGTATGCTGTCAAATCTGTTGACGATTGCAGCCTCATCTCCCGTCTAACAGCCATGAGATTAAGAGTGTGATCGGAGAGTTTTTGTATTCTTCTGCGGCGGGTCTTGCAGAACTTAGCTCCGACCGCATGGACAGTTTCCACGAGCTTGTCATTCATATCGTCCACTGCATTGCAATCTTGTAGGCACTGAAAGCGGTTGTGTAACTCGAGCTGAAAGTTTTCGGGATTTTGGATTAGAGCACGAGGGGGACGGAGCGTTGACTTCATTAGACGAGACCTCTCCAATTTAACGTTTAGGTTCAGTGTGCCTCTAACCATTCGCTGATCGCTGCCAGTTTTCACCCTTGCGATCACTGAGACATCACTGAACAGTTGGCTTCTGGTCGTCATAATGAAGTCAATCTCATTTTTTGTCGAACCGTCGGGGCTCGACCAGGTCCACTTCCTGTGGGGCCGCTTCTGGAAGAAAGAGTTCATCATAAAGAGTCCCTCTTTCTCCATAAAGTCGGCCAGCTGCTGGCCCCTTCGGTTCCGTTGCCCTACTCCAAATTTCCCTAACTTCAGCTCACCGTTTTCTCTTGTGCCTAGTTTTGCGTTGAAGTCTCCCATCAACACCGTGTAGTGGGTTTTGGAGGAATGTATGGCTTTGGAAATATCCTCATACATTTCCTCCACCTCCTCATCGGAATGTGCCGACGTTGGTGCGTAAACCTGTATGACCTTCAGCGAATACCGTTTGGTGATTCTGAGTATCAGGTACGCGACCCTCGTCGACACACTCTCAATCTGTACAACGTTGTTGACGAGAGACTTGTGGACGATAAATCCGACACCTCCTTGGGACAGATGGTCGCCCTCCCGGTGATAGAACAAGTTGCCGGATTCGAGAATCACCGTGTCCTCCCCCTCTCTTCGGACCTCGGATAATCCTATAATACTCCAGCGCAACTTGTCTATCTCTTCTTCCAGCTCCAGGATCCTCTCGTCAGTCCTCAGTGTGCGTGCGTTAAATGTTGCCAGGTCGAGTCGTCGTAGGTGGCAACCGAACCTCCACCGGAGATTCTTAGCACCCCCTGCCCCGCCGTTACCATGGTCGCCACCGTAGCCAGGAATAGCGGGGCCGCCGGGGACTGGGGGCCGTCTATTTGTGTAATTGTTCATGGGGGGGTATATTGTCATAGTTGCCACGCTTGGCGAGCGGGTTGGCAACCGCAGTTTTTTTTTGTCGTACAGTTGCTGTTATCAGGAAGATGCTGCTGCCCATCTCCTGCCTGTCTCCCTCTGTCGCCTCTTACGACACCCACGGGAAGATATGGGGTAGTGGATATTCTTAACCGCCACTACACGGCAAAGCATGCATATGAAATAATAATAAAAAAGTGTTATCTATTGTATTATTATTTCATATGCATGCATATAATAATTTCCTTTTTGATTATTAAAAACATTCGCTAAATATTAGCATAATTTTTGCGAATACGAATGCGAATATTGAAAAATATGCGGATATTCGCGAATGTGAATGCGAATATCCGTTACATCACTAATCTAGACGTTTTCAAACAGCTTAATAATTTAAAAATGTCATCGTTATTAAGAAGTAAAGGACTTGTACGATAGTACTTTTGCCAGTGTCAAGTAATAGAAAATTATCCTATAAGATAATCTAAGATAAGGGCTTAGAGGATTTAAATTTGCTCTAAACACCCTCTGAAATAAAACAAGACGTTTGTCCTGCATTTAGATTTATATAGGCTGATAATTTACTTTTTCATTACTTACTTCAAAATAGCAAAATCATTAATTTCCATATTATTACTTCATTGATTTCCCCTTTTTAAATACCTACTTAGAATTTGTGTAACAGCCACAAGGTATGTTACGATAATTCTGGCATATTATCCTCGTAGGATAAAAGCCTTTTTAAATAAAGATAGATAATAAAATAAAAAAATTCTTACTTTACAAACGCAACCGGCGCGGCGGCTTGGAACATGTACGCAAGTATAAACGCAATCAAACGGTCTCACTGCAATACTGCTCATGCATTACCAGTCTGTCGTTTAGGTGGGTTAAGCAGAAACAAAAATAAATGAAGTGGCACTGTAAGAATATCCACTACCCCATATCGTCCAGTTAGTGTCGCAAGAGTCGACGGAGGGAAACTTAAACAAGAGACATCACAACAAGATACATCTTTCCGAACAAGAGCATCTTTCCGATTAAAAATCAAAATAATTGAAAAAAAAAAGACAGCCTGTAGGACAGGCCTTTGTTCAGAAGTGGTCTTTTATTTTAGGCTGTAATGGTTGGATGGATGAGCAGAAATTAATAAATAAATATGATCACATTCAATCCTAATACCCAAAGAAAAAAATAATTTCTGTGAAATATTGATTTCAGCTGTGATTCAATCTTAGAACCCAGCCGGGCTTTTTTTTTCTTTCGTTTTGCTGAGCTACAATCCAGGCTAAAGCTATGTTATCTAGCGAGTGTCTTTAATAGTATAAGCCTAAAATATACGCCCCAATACTAAACAATCCTCCCTTTTCACAGGAATACAAAGATTTTGAACCAAATAAAAGTGCGCCGCGATGTCCACAGTGCTAGCTTGTATTTCTTAAACATAACTGTCAATAATATTACAAAATGTTGTTTATAGATAATTTCGGGTTTATAGTAGGGCGTTAGTGGTTTAAAGAGTTTTCCTTAGGCGGAAAGTTTGTAACAATTTTATTGCTGTCGTTGGGGAGCCAACTCTTAGTTAGACTGTAAATTTTTGACGAACGTTTATTCTCTAAGCTCCAACTTGCTCCTAATACAAATAAGTAAGGAAAGTACATCCTCACCTCAATAGAGAAGGAGGCTGGGTACTTCCACCTGCTTGGGACCATGTAATCAATAAAATTAAAACTAAACCCAAGCATACCACTGCAAGGCTTCAAGACACAGTAAGTTCATTCTGCGTAGATCGGACCATAAATGATAATTAAAATGCTGTAGGTACTCCGGGTTAACACTGACATTGGAACGTCAGTCATCTCAGTCCCCCATGACAAAGGGTGCTAGAAATCACCTAAACCGTCGGGAATTAAAAATCATATATAAATCCACTCAGAATAGCAGTGCTTGCACTCTTTAATCTAAGTAAACATTAAAAGGTGATAATAATAGGAATACTACAAAAAACAATGAATATATGAGTTTACATATAAATTGTTTTATCTATGATTTACGCAAAACTTTCAAGTAATTTTTTAACTACAGGTCCTTTAGTAGTGGTAGAATTGTCTATGGGCATATCCATCAGTTTTCTCTTTTTTACCTTCTCTTTTCCCAACACCCCTTTCATTAGTTATAGTATATATTGCACAATCAGAAGTACCCAATCAGAAGTTATCCAGATACCAGATATTGTTACCAGAAAGCGATTAATCTTGGTACAACAAATTTAAACACTGATCCCAATTTAGCTATACAAACAATATAACAACATGCTTTATTTTTTACAGGAGTAAGGATGATAAAAGATCACACAGGTTGTGTTTATGTTTGACCGCATTCACATAAATTTGTTTTCATATACATAATTATATATAAGCAACCTATCGTTATATTCTGCTGAATTTTATTTTAATTCGTTACTCGCAGTCAATCAGATGTCGGGGCGCCGTCATACGTTCCGCCATACGCAAGAAACAATCCAGGTGGATTTCCGCACCTCTACATGAAAACCGGTTACAGTGGTCGGAAAACAGGATACAGCGGCACAAAAACGGGATACAGCGGCACAAAAACGGGATACAGCGGCACAAAAACCGGATACTCGGGAACGAAGACCCATTACACGCCCAATATCGGCTACGCCGAAAAGAATTCCTGGTTTTCTTCAGGTGCAGCGTAAGTTATAACGTATTTTTAATTATTAGTTATAATTACATTTTTCTGAGACTTAAAAAATATTTAAAGTTAGGATAGAAATAGTTATTGACAAAACCATAAAAATTTGCAAAATGTGAAGTACCTGTTGATAAAAGCTTGATACAATTTTGAGGTATCAGTTAAAAAAATTAAACTTTTAATTTCTATCATAGCGTTGGATACGGCTGTATTTTTTTACGTGGTAGAATCATGCTGCAGTTATATTAGTAGTATAGTTGTGGCACGAATGAGTTGGCTCGACCGGGGAAGGACCACGTTCTCACAGATTACCAGTGTTTCGTATGGTGAGTGTAGAGAACCGGAGACCCTTTTTACTGAAAACGAGGCATTCCATCTTAGTACTACTCACGAATGACAACGCATCTGCATTTTGATACGTAATCGAGGATAGACGTAGATGTCTATGGGCCACAGCAACCACTGACCATCAGGTGGACTATGTGCACGTTTGTCACCCTATCCTATAAAAAAATTCTTGCCACCATTGGTGCAATTTATTACTTGTGTCAAATTATATTTTATTATTACCTAATGTTACTAAAACTAGATCTATGCAGTCCGTCGCCGGTCTTTGTACTTTACGTTTGGCGTAAACGGGATGGTTATACCGCCATTCATATAAAGCAGTTAATTCTTGTTGGCATTTCCGAAGGTTGCCTCTTACAAGACGACATGGGTGATGGATATCCATACGCCGTCGTCACACGGCTCGCAGCCTAATGTATACCTGGTCCGGACTAAGCCAGAATGTTTTTACCAATTATTTGCACATGTAATTAACAATGACAATATTTTGCAGGCCCAGTTACGAACAGTTCAATAACATCGCAAGGGAGAGTTACGCTCGTAAGTATACATTAATAATATTATTACACGCCTTATATTGACTTGACTTGTATGTATACCCGAATGTATCGTAGGCTATCTATAGACCGTACTTTGACTTTGCTGAGTACTTTTTTACTTTTACTTACTTTTTTTTACTTAAGAAAAACTTAGCTGAGTATATACTTAGCGTAATCTACGATCCTGAATTTATAGTTGAATCGGGCTAAGATTAAGCTAAGCTTATAAAATTCGAAAAAATTGATATTTAAAAATTTATTATTTAAAACTACATATTTATAGATATAAATAATTAAAATAACAAAAAATAACAATTTAAAATCAATATGATGATTATTGCTAATATATTACGTTTTTCGTAAGTCGTCGATTTCAGTGAATTAGGCTTTGCTAAGCATGCACTCAGTACGACTTCGAAGTTACCGCTATAAATATCGACATTGTCTTGTATCGAAAGTAAAGTCTTAGCAAAATGAAAGTACGGTCTATAGATCTCAGCCTTAGTCTATATGTGTAAGAAATGCATTGGAATTTTATAATCCAAATAGCACCCACTTCCAGACGTCTGGATAATTTGAAGTTTTGCAGACGTATTAAGAAGTTAAGAACTGATGACAAAGCATGACATGACCAGACCTAGTATTCTCACAAGGATTATCACAGTTCATTTTCAATACCTGTTTTTTAAGTATATAAGCACCAACAAATATTCCCTATGTATGATAATAAGAACAGTCATTAAACTGAAGTTGCAGTGACTAGAAAACTTGTTATCCATTGAGGTAGAAAGATTAGCAATTGGGTTTGCAACTTCATGTCAGCAAGTAGTAAAATATTAGATAATAGAATAGACGGAGAATACATAAAGTATAGTATAGTCTAGTGGCATATCCTACTTCCCAGAGTAAGACTTCCGTTTGCTGAATGAGTGGAAATGGATCTGATTACTAATGGATCAAAATGTGATAGGATAAGCCAAGGTTGACAAAGCGTTTCAATTAAACGGGACAGGTTAGGTTAGACAGTAAAATAAACGATTTAATGTTTAAGAAGATTTAGATAATACTATCTACCACAGAAAATTATTAAAGGTTAAAGGTCAAACAGAATTATCACTGTTAGTATCGTAACACTTGAAACGTAAACAGCTAGTTATGTTCTTTACATAAGATTTTCAACAAATCAAGCAATTAAAAATAATAATTAATATAGGATTAACTGGCCGTATGAGGACGCTCAAGGTCGCTCAGCGAGCTATGGAGAGGGCTATGCTCGGAGTTTCTCTGCGTGATAGACTCAGAAATGAGGATATCCGCAGTAAAACCAGAGTGGGCCTATGTTTAGCAGTGGATTTGTGAAGGGCTGTAATGATGATCATGATGATAGGATTGCGTCGTGTGATAAAAAGGGTCTCCGGTTCTCTTCACTCATCATATGAAATACAGCAGCATTGAGCTGCTATTTTGTGAGAGCGTGGTATTTCCCCGGTTGGGCCAGCCCATTCGTGCTACAATCATAATATAGACTGGCTCTACCATGTTAAGTTTTAGATATTTACTAAAAACGAGGCATACTGTCTTTGACCTCAGGATTGAAAACGCAACTAAATTTTGATTCCTAACCGAGGATAATTAAGCGCCTTCCAAAATGCTATTACAGATGGTCATTGTACTGAGAACAGTAATACTATAATAGTACTCCAACTATTTATTTGGAACCCAACAAACAGTATTTTGGCTACGTGTTTTCTGGTAAATAAACAAATTTATTATTATTTATTATATATTATTTACCATTACAGAAATACAGCGCCTAATAACTTGCGTCCATCGACTTTAAGTGTGCTTTTAGGTAGGATTTGATTCTAACTTTGTTGAGTCGCGTTCATTTAAGAAACCTAGGACATATATAATGCCGAAGCGTCAAATTACTCAAAAGAGGAAATATCTCATACCTAGGGCTGGAAATTACTTTGGACGGCGTACAAGGCTATGGATAACTGCAACTTTGTGTAATGAGGTAGCGGATATATATGACGAAAGCATAACAAAGGCGCAGCTCAAATCAATCTTAAGGAAACATTATCTGTCGTTGTGTCCATAGTGGTGAATGTTTCTTTAATTATTTTTGTATTAATTTAAGTAGTTATAAGTACCAGATATTGTTATTAAGGAGTGCGAAACGATGAACTGTTGTGTTGCCGACAAACTGGCTTACAGTTTGGCAAAATTTAAAATATAAATAATGTACACTTTTTATAAGAATAAATTAAAAATACAAGTCTTAAATTTCACCATGTTGTGGCATCCACCACCCAATATCGTTTCCGTGGGTGTTGCAAGATGCAACAGAGGTTGCTTGCAACGGCAGGTGGCTGCTGCCAAGGAAAAATTGTCAAGCGGGAAAGGAACAGACACATTCCTACTGGAGGCATAATAATTTGCAGCGAGGCATTAATTGTGAGATGACTGGCATATTTCAATCTATACCACGAAAAATGTCCGTCGTTTTGAAATTGTTTCACTAGGTGGTTGAACTACGGGAACTTTCTGCCAAGGAGTCCATGTGGATTTTTTTTCATAGTAGAGGTGGCAAACGAGCATGCAGCTCACCTGATGGTAAGTGACTACCGCCGCCCATGATCAACTGCAACACCAGGGAAATTGTAGATACGTTGTCAGCCTTTAAAAAAAGAGTAAACTCTTTTCTTGAAGGTCCCTAAGTCGTATTGGTCCGGAAAAATCTCTGGAGGTAGAATCGAATACCTGCAGAGACTTTTCCGGACAAGAAGGTTGTGCGAGGAAGAAAAGCAGTGTCTCCCTTATAACAATAAAAATAGCAGTTGCCAACCCTGCGAACCGTCAAGCAAGGCGATTATAGCAAATGAATTAAAGTAACTAAGGGGTAATGTATGGAGGGCTTAAGTTCAGCAGTGAGCTTTTGATAAAATGTTACTACGGTAACGGTTAAAACCAAAAACCTACAAATTTACTAAGTAAGAAAATCTTTCATATGATTTCTTTTAATTGCTCGGTCCTTAGGATATGTTGTTACTAAATTATATAGATATTACGTGTATCATAAATTCAAAATATGACTATATTGACCTTTGGGAGAGAGGTAAAGCCCTAATGTGAGGTGCTACGTGCGTAGATATTTAGCTGCCTCTCTTCTCAGGGGTACCTCGTTTGGAACCGGGGAGGCATCAAAAGCAGCTAAACTAAGTAAGTGGTGCAAATGTGAATTTCTGATAGACTACATAGTTGTGCCATTTACATATGTGTAGAGACTATCGGTCCGTGGGTTGAAGTTCCTAAAAATACTATATCTGTGACCATCCGAGATTTATCGCCGCTGCTGATGGTAAGAGCGCTTTATTTCTCATTCAAAGTTTCAGTATAGGCTATTCAGCGAGGAAACGCAGACAAAGGATGACAGGGGATGGGACTGTACTCGTACGATAGTTAAAGTATTTAGTTTTAGTTTTTATTTATTACAATAATAAGTATTTGTATATTTGAATGTTATGTAAATAAATAGAATTATAATTTAACTTCAAATCCCTAATCTTGAAAAACGTTGTGTAGGTACTTGGCTTAAAACTAATTTACGGGAAATACAAATCATTATTTATACAAATAAACACCCACGATTGTTAGATACTATAATATACAAATTTAGCATATGCGTTATTAATGTGGACATCAAAATAATGTGCATTATCATCAAGTGTGGGAGGAATTATCTAAAACAACGGAAACTCGAAAAATCCAATGACGCCGGACGGTTACAATACGTCCCGATTTGTATATAAAAAATATATATATATATATATATATATATATATATATATATATATATATATATATATATATAACAATATACAATTTTTATATATAAACGACCTAATAAATCCTCGATGTCACTGATAGAGTAAATATAAATGAGGTCCGATAAATATTCTCTGTGGTTCAGGGTAGTTTATTTATAAATTTTCATTACTGTCGCAACTGAAGCTTTATGAACTAATAGTTCTACCAATTTAAAAACACGCTACTAAAAATATCGGCAGCTTTCTGTCAGTAATCTATAAGCGTTTTTTTTAAATATTACAATATAAATTCGTTATTAAATATCTTCTCAAAGGCTTTGTATAATTATAGTAAATTTGTTACTCTAGAATCATTATGGAAATACGAATTCTTTACATTCAGAGTTTTTTTTTAATAGAATAAGGGTGACAAACGAGCAGATAATCCACCTGATGGTAAGTGGATTGTGTGGCCCATGGACATCTGCATTTATCTTCAATTAATAATTAATATAAAGATGCGTTGTCACCCCTGAGGACTGAGATAGAATGCCTCGTTTCCATTATAAAGAGTTGTTCGAAACCATCGATACTATAGCGTGATTATCATAAAGCTGGTAATGTACCTTGTGCGGAAATGTACCGAACATTGCAACTTTTTTTGCGTTAAAATGCAGATGTTGCCGCCACTGAGTACGGAATGCCTCGTTTTCAGTTAAAAGGATCACCGGTTCTCTACACTCGCCATACGAAACATTCATGGAGCTGCAATTTTACGCTGGTATCCTGTGAGAGCGTGGTCGTACTCCGGTCGAGCCTACCCATTCGTGCTACAACCATAATGTAGCTAAAGCCATGGCTTTACCACGTAAATTTACTAATCAGAAAGAAATTTCTTAATACAAAAAGCTTTTTACGCTCTTATATCCATAAGAATTTTACTATATTAATGTTAAGTAAGCCCCGTGAATGTTATTTAACGTCATAAAGTGATATTATTTAAAGTATTATTATTGCTTTGGGGCTTGAAATAAATTTTTCGATTGAATATTTTAAAATGTTATAGTACACGGTGACTTAAAACCAGGTCTATTGCGGAACTTAACTAGCCGATTATTGTACGGTATATTTTACTCGGTCACGAATAAAATTTATAATATTTTATAACTTTAAAAAAAATTAAACATTTATTGAAACATAATAATAAATAGAGAACAATAGAACTTTAATAAGTAACATCTATAAGAATACTTTAAATTACAAACAAAACATTAAATAATTTGATCAAGAAATTTAAAAAAAATATTTGACATAAAGTCACTTAATTTTTATACAGTTTTAGCTTGAACAGTATATTTTAAAGTACAATTATTAAAAACACAATTACTATTACTACCATTTATGGGTACCATTAATGTGACGGACATTACAATTACTTAAAAAAATAAGATTTTTGTGAATTCAGGTTTGATAAATCATTACATAAAAGCCAACATCTGGATCATACGAAACTTCTGTAAATCGAGTCTCATTGCACCTATTGTCCCGTTTAATTGAATCTTTAGATTGATGTCGTAATTCAGTAATCAGCTACTTAAGTCCCTTGTATCGTAATGTACTAATAAGAGATCCAAAAAGTTTCATGTCCCATAGGAAATATCAAGGAAAAAGTTAAGGTGGAGGTATAATATCCTAGCTAATATCATATATCCTAACATCTTAAACGATATCAAACTACATAATTTTTTACAGCCAAATGCGACATAGAATGCAAGAACAACGGTATCTGTGTGGACACGAACACCTGCAACTGTCCCGCCAACTTCTATGGAAAGTACTGCGAATTTGAGAAGAAACCATGCCTCGTGTATCCACCATTGCCGATGAATTCCATCAGGAAATGCTCCTCTGAGTATGTAACATTGTGGTCTTGCTTTCTAAAAAAGACGTGTGGCACTCGGGGACTGCCGCGGTAAAGCTATTGCATAGCATTTTTTATCAACTTATGCAATTATAATTAATAGTTATTTATTTTATTTATGCAGTTAAGTCTTTGATATTAAATCAAGTTACACTTTTTGAGCGTGGTGACCGATAAGAAAACAATTTTTTTTCTCTTATTGTATAAATGAGAAGTTAATACTGTTTAAAATATTTTTAATATCTTACAATACATGTAGGTTATTCAGGAATTTTTATCATTCAGTTAGCAGCTAGTGTACACGCATACGACTAGTCGCACGCACACAAACACCGTGCCGAAGTCTGCCGAGTGCCGAAGTCTGCCGAACTGAAACGACGTTAGACGATGCACGGCTTTCAACGCCACACCTCCGTGCCCATCGGAGTAGGGAGCGTGAGGTTTTTTTCGTTACGGAATTTCTGGATTCGGTCCCCGCGCTCAAGGCCCGCGACAGAAGCTATGCAATAGCTTAAAATATTATATTATCTATAAGATGATGTATGATTTTTGTATGAAGAGCAGCTAGTATCTGACTAAAAACGGCTACATGGCGCAGTGGCTTAGCAATGAGTTGCAGAGCTAATGGTCGCGGTTTCGAATCCCGTACGGACTAAGTATTTGTATGGTCTACAAATAATTCTTCCGAGTTCGGACGTTTGTGATTGTGGAAATTTATGTCTATAAACTGCTCCCACGATACAGGAGAAAAATCTTAGTGTGAAGGTAAGGTTTTAAAAAAAAATAAAAGAAACTATGGCCATGATCTAAGAATCTCCACTATATACCCATAAATATACTTGGCATATTCTTTGACCTGTTTCTCCTTTTTGTATCTTACTATTACAATTATACTGCCTCGTTGGTCTGGTGTTCGTTAGCGAAAGTACGACTGTTGGTCGTGTGGTCCTTGGGTCGAATCTCGGATTGGGTCAAAACATTGTGTTTTGTGTAAGTAAATTAACAGTAGCAGCCGGGAGCCAGGAAGTTTCACCCCCGTGCCTCGGAGAGCATGTAAAGCCTTTATTTTTGCGTCTAATCTCCTTTCGGTGGTGTCACAGTATAATTACAGACTGTAATAAGAGTGAGGAAATAGAGTGTGCATGTGCACACACTCGTGTATTATTTAAAACCCTGCTATGTGCTAGTCGCCATTAATACTGGCCGCCATGACCGAAATTTAGCCCGGAGGACATTTTAATCTTATCGCATTATGTACTATAATATTTAAGAACCAGCAACACAATATATTATATGACCTATTTTAGATTCTGTACAATCACCTGCATGGACGGCCACAAGTTCATCGACGGCACGACAATAGCAAATATGAACTGTGTCGATGGCCAGTGGCAGCCGACTCGCGCTGACTTCTCCTCTATTCCGGACTGCATTCCAGAATGCGATCCCCCTTGTCTCAACGGCGGAGTTTGCTTGTCGTTGAACACTTGTCAATGTTCCGCTGAGTACAGAGGACCTCAATGTCAATATTGTAAGTAATATGGTTTCGGTTAAGTATGTAACTTCATCATCATTATCATTGCAGCTCTTTACAAGTTCACTGTACCTATATCATATTATAATACAATATGTTACGCTAAGTGCGAAATGAAATGAAAATACAGGTATACAGGTAATGCTAGTTGGTGGTAATGTTGTAAAATTGATCAATTTGAAATTCGTCCATAATACTTCGCTTACCACAGAACGCTCGACTTCCTTTGGTAGAAATGGCAACGCTGCCGTTATTTCCTCCCAATGTGTACAAATGGAACATTTTCTTTATCGCTTTAATTTTAATAAATACGTCTTATTATCTGTAACCTCATGATCTCCGACCTCTTTGCTTGTGTTTTTATCAGGTACAGGTTATTCGAATATAGTTGATTGGCAAAGTATTGATATCTCTATAAATATTCATCGAATGTGATACTCAATATGCGTTTTCACCATTTTTTCTTTGTTCACTAATAATAAGCCATTTATCATCCCTACCGTACCTGACCCCTACCTGAGTTTAACGCTGCTAGGTAATACTTTGCAGTACCAGCTTATAAATGACATCGGTATTCTATGCAAATATATAGAATTACGTTTCTTTTTTTAACAGCGGCAAGTGCTTGTGACATGCGCAAATTGGCGTTCAACGGCGGCTACAATTGCTCGGGCGATGGCGAACAGTTCTCGTGCTCTCTGACATGTCCCACTGGAGCTGGGTTCAGCTCTCCTCCCGCTGCTGTCTACACCTGTCTCTACTCGACCGGCGTTTTCATGCCTCAGCCTATTCCACACTGCGTTTTTAGTAAGTATGCTTGCAATGCTTAAGTTTAGTCGTGAATCAATTTTTTTTTAAATGAAACTGAATTGATAAATCAATTCACAATTCACCGGATGGTAAGTCGCCATTGTAGTCAATAGTCACCAGCACAAACAACACAAGACAACTTTAGACAAAGAAAGTTACAGATGCGTTGCCACTTCAGGGCATTAAGATGGAACACACAGCCTCTTACACACGTATGTAACGTACTTACGTTGTAACACGAATGAGGAACAACCAAGGCAGGATCATGCACTCACAGAATACCTGCGTAAAATAGCAGCGTGATGCTGCTGTATTTCTTATGGTGAGTGTAGAGAACCGGAGACCCTTTTTACTGCAATCGAGGCATTTCATCTTAGTTCTAAGAGCTGACAACGCATTTGCATTTTGATTCTTAATTGAGGATAAATGTGAATGTGAATGTCTATGCGCCACTGCATCCACTTACCATCAGGTGGACTGTGTTTGTCATCCAATGCTATAAAAAAGCCTGTAAATATACTGGCTGTTTATACTCTTCAGACAAGAACACAACATTAGCAAAAATAAGTGGATACTTACTCAGACTTATTCCTTGGAAGATTAATAGTACTTTTTATCATTGTTTGTGAGCCGTGGTAGCTCAGATGGTTAGCACTCGCTGTAAATTTCACAGTACGCCAGCAACCCGGGTTCGATCTCCGCCGGCACCAACGAAATTGTTAATTGCAATTTTAAGTGCTGATTTATCACATGCTCGGCGGTGAAGGAAAACATCGTGGGGAAAACTGCATGTCTGAGAAACTAAAAATAAAAATATTTTGAAGACATGTGAAGTTCGCCAACACGTATTGGGGCAGCGCGGCGTACACTTCCTTGCCCTAAAATCCTCTCAGAAATGAGAGGAGGCCTGTGTCCAGCAGTGGAACGCGTATATAGGCTGTAACTTTAACTTTTTTATTATCATTGTTTAATAAAATTGTTGTTTAAAAAGTTCTAACAAGTGTGTTAATCAGTTATTAATTTTTTCGTTCGCAGATGAAGTGATTGTTATCACGCCCAGCAACAAACAAATCAGTGACGTAAGTAAAATGTTATCGAAATTCCAAAAATCTATTTATAACATTCTTCTTATTCCCCTTCAGCCCGCAAAATTCCACTGCTGGATGCCGTTGTGCGGAGGAATTGCTTGGTAGATCGGATTGAAAATCGCGTTTGCCAGATAATCTTGTACGTTTGAAGCTGCTTTTTGTCATTGGTCTGAATATTTTATGGATATATTAAATTTATAACATTCTTTTTATTCCCCTTCAGCCCGCAAAATTCCACTGCTGGATGCCGTTGTGCGGAGGAATTGCTTGGTAGATCGGATTGAAAATCGCGTTTGCCAGATAATCTCGTACGTTTGAAGCTGCTTTTTGTCATTGGTCTGAATATTTTATGGATATATTAAATTTACGAGACGGTTAAACCGTTATCTATCGGCAACCATAGTTTTTTCTGTTACTCTTTTAGTTTACTCTTTTAAAAAAGAAAAATCAAATAATGATAGAACATGGTAAAGTATGTCTAGTTACTCAGACCGAGAACTGTGATCATCGCTTGCCAAACGTGGCAATTCTACAAAGTCAACAATTACTAAAACAGCAGAAGCCCATATTCACTAATAGACTTTCCGGATCTATAAAAAAATTAAAAAAACATATCTAGATCTTAAATCTAGCTATTGTAAATGTTAATTGTAATTGTTAATTAAAAAGTTTAAAATTTCCAAAAAAAGAAACTGGTATCCTAAATGATTTTCACAATTTTTAGACTTACTATGAAGTACACAATTCGCGTAACCTATCAACAATCGAGAGCGGAAGTCATATGTTCGAATCGAGCACATATGGAACCGGGAAACATGAAGGTGGCGCAAAGCAGATCATCGTTGTACAAGACTTCACTCCAAAGGGTGGTAGTTGTTTAAGTTGGGCTGGAGTCCACTACAAGACTTTTGATGGCAAAATTTATAGGTAAGAATATTTATTTGTATTTTAACATTTTACAATTCGAGGTTTGGGACGTCGAACACCTCAGTGCCCTCCATGACCAAGGGTGCTGTAAAGTGCTCGAAACGTCAGGAATATAAAATAAGTTAATATACATGATATAATCCGTAAAAACTAATGTTATTTAAATGATAGTTACTATTTATTTTATATAATGTTCCTTAGTATTTTCATTAATTTATTTTCATTCAATTAAAATGATTTTCTGTCTGTACTTATCGTATTTTGTAGTTTTCAGTCACCATGCCAACACATTCTCGTCCGCGATTCCCAAGAGCACAAATACACTGTAGCAATTAGGCATCCGGAATGTAAGAGACAGGCCTATTGTCCTTCGGAGCTCGTCGTTTACCTGGACGACAAGATGTACGCTCTCAGTGTCGGGGGTAAGTTTTGTACTTGACGTCATATTTGTCGTGTTAAAGATTCTTATAATAAGTAGGTTTGCGATGCACGTATGCAACAGAATGGAACAAACAAGATAGTCCACTTGATGGTAAGTGGAGGTTGTGGCCAATAAACTTACTCTCTTTGGCCTTGATTAAAAATCAAAATGCGGATCCGTTGTCACCTCTGAAAACTAAAAGGGGACATCTCATTACCAGTAAAACAGGTATTCAGTTCTTTTTTGGATTGGATTCCTTCCCCGGTCGAGTCGAACCATGCGCGTTGTAGCCATTATAGTGCTGCAGTATTGCTACTACATAAAATGGTTTGAGATGAGGCCTGTGCCCAGGAGTGGGATGCTGTAACTTAACATTACTTCAACTATTATAATTAGATATCGCTGTTTACTTATTATAATGCTAAACATTTAGTTTAACACTTGAATGATTGAGTATTGTTATAGACATGTCTGCGTCTGCCATGTACGTGGATCCAAAAATAGAAATATTAAAGAATTATTAAATAATTAATAGACTTATTAAATTTTTTAAATATTTCAGAGGATGGAGCCGTGCTTTTCCGCAACACAAAACGTCTGATCCCCATACCGGCGTCGCTGCCTGGTATACGGGTGTCCATGCCAAGCGATCAAGTATTTGTTAATTTGGACGCGTTAGGAGTCACTATTAAGTGGGATACAAACGTAAGTGTACGGTATTTATTAAAAACTCTCAAACTGGGTAAGACTCATCAGTTTTATTTTTTACACGGATCTCAGCCAATTTATTTTACCATCTTTAATATGGATATAGATTTTCTCAAAGTAACACCTGAACCTATTATTTAATTAGGATGGCGTAGGATAGTTATATATTTCCATGGGTCACAGCTTTAATTTACTATGTAAAATGCATATAATAAATTTCATTAGTCAACTAAATTAATTATTTACGAGCATATTAACAAACCTAAACAAAACGACATCATGACCTAAATTTGACCTTTGATTTGCAGAACTTGATTATAGTTGAGGGAACTATACTTCTGTGGAACAAAACCGAAGGTCTCTGTGGAACTTTGGATGGTAATCCAGAGAACGATTTTATGATTAAAGATGGCACGATCGCAAGAACGAAGTCAGTTATGGTGGCTTCATGGCAATTGAATAAGATTGGAGGTAAATAAAATTGATACTTACAATTATTTTATATTAAAATTTAAATATCTCATTAATGAGACTTATACTTTTATTTAATTTTTAGATATCTGTGACAGCAGTCCTATAGAAAATAGCGCTTGTGCCTCAATAAACGATGCAGATATGAAGAAAGCTATGCAATTCTGCACTAAAATCTTCAGCAAAGATAAATTCCGCAAGTGTTCGAAAGTAATGTTAATAATAAACTAAATAATTATTTATTTTTTATTTTTCGTTCAGATTTATATACGTGAAATGATATTGACAGGTGATGGACGTGTCTCTCCTGTTGGAAGCTTGTCAGTGGGATTATTGCGCATGTACTACCAGTTTGAGTACGTATCAATAAAAACAGACTTTTTATTATTCCTATATATTTTTAATTCTTTTCTCAAAACTGTATTTCGTAGTATCAACAAATTCAATGGTTAATACAGGTCCTGAAGAATGTGCTTGCAAAACGGTATCTGTGTATGCAAAAGAATGTCTCCGGCATGGAGTCGATGAGATGAAGGACTGGCGAGATTTGGACACATGTCGTAAGTGATGACACATATGTATCCATTAATCAATATATTTTTTTAATTATTAATACGAAACGGATACGTGATAAAGTGAATATTAACTTTTCTACAGCCATGCATTGTCCCGACGGCAAAATTTACAAATCATGTGGACCTGATGTGCAACCTAGCTGTGCTTTTCCTCTAGCCACAAAAACGTCGGACAAAAACAATACTTCATGCGTCGAGGGTTGTTTCTGTCCTGAGGGCTTATTATTAGAAAGTGGTCGGTGCATTCCGAAAGCCGAATGTCCTTGCAGAGTCCGAAATCAAAGTTTTCCACCAGGATCTGTGGTGCCAAAGAGCTGTAATACTTGGTAAGTTATTGTTATTAGTATTTTTAAATTATTAAGTATTTAATATCAAAATGGTATATGGTATATTTCATAAAATAAATATTTAACTTCGTTACTAGGATTATTTGGTGTGTCTAAAGTATTTTAACTCTATATTTTACGTAATTAAATTAAACTGCAAATCACTGTCAGTCAGACTTGTTATAAGCGTATGCTAATAGATGACAGCCTCAAGACCCACTTGTCATTACAACTATGATTTTAAAAGGTTTTATTAAACGTAAACACAATTAGCGAAGCGACAGACTTTTTAAAGTGTTTGAGAGATGTAGACCGTCGGTATGTGTCTGGGCTACTCACGTACTATTCGGTTATTCGTATTTTGCCGCCATTTCGCAAATGAGAAATTTCTCACTAAGCAAGATATTCAGCTTGTAGAATAATATATAAATATGTGTGTATGTATGGATCTTAGACATACACGCATGCAGAGTAGTACGGAAATTAGTACTTCTTTCTACTTCTAGAAATTTTAAGTTTTCGGCGTTTTCCAGTACATGCCAAGCTGGCGAGTGGATTTGTACTCAAGTACCATGTGGCGCTCGATGCAGCGCTGTCGGTGACCCGCATTACACTACTTTTGACGGACTCCGCTACGACTTCATGGGTACCTGCACTTACACGCTACTGAAGACGGAAAACGTCACAATTGAAGTGGAGAATGTGGCCTGTTCTGGAGCTATTACTGAGGTGGGTGACTTTATTATATAATTTCATTATATTACTAGCTTTTTACCCGCGGCTCTGCTCGCGTGGGTCTTAGTTTAAAAACTGCTTCTACTGCTTCGTGTCAAATGTAGCGAATTGAATTATATTTCTACGACTGTCAAAAATTACGAATAATTAAAACTTTGTACTTTTGTGTTTGGGTTCCGGAGTTAGTGGAATGGCGCGCAAAAAGCTATTGATTTATTCGAAATTGAATGATTCCTGAATACCATCATAGTAATAACCAGTCTGTTTAATATTTCTTTGCATTATGCACTCTTTCGTTTCTTCCATTGTTTGGTAAGTACAGCATAGGTTTGAAGATTTTGACTGCTGTCAGTTGTTTCAGATGGGTAAGATTCTCCGCTCTTTTAAAAAAGAGAAGTTAATTTTTACAGTTAAATAATTTAACTTAAATTCTTCATAGGCAATAAATCTAGCGCCATACAAAGGTGACGGGAAACCTTCATGCACAAAAGCCGTTAACGTAATCTTCAACGGAGCCAACATACATATGAAGCAAGGAGGATTCATCCTCGTCAACGGGAAGGAAGTCTCATCATTGCCTGTTAAGGTTGGAGACATCAGGATACGAGCAGCATCATCTCTGTTTATTATTGGTAATTTTAAAATTTTATCCAATAAACATACATGTTAAATTAAGAAAGAAATAATAAAGCTAACTATATTTCCTTCACTTCATTTCCTTTTAATATTAATTTTCTAGACGTTCTTCTATCGTTAAAAGTAAATATAATAATGTAACATTAAAAATTAAATACATAATTATCGCTGTTTTAGTTCAACTGCCAATAAAAGTTGATCTATGGTGGGACGGCAATACCAGAGTATTTGTTGATGTACCGCCAGGACTCCATCAAAGCACCAAGGTAAAACTAACGATCCTTCCTTTTTTTCTTGTTATTGATGTATGTCGTAACTTTGTTAATAATTTTTGTCCGTCAAATAAGTATGTGCGAACATGAATATCTTATATCGATTAATGTAAAACTATGAACAACCATATTTAATAAACCACTAAAGGTAGAGTGGTTCGATACGGTCAAGCAGCTTGCATCAAGAGCGACAATGCTTCAGCTTAATGCAGAAATACAATGAGGCATTATGCATTTATCGTGGTTGAGGTTGATTGCGAAATGTTATCAAAAATCCAATCCAATCCGTATTGCGTAAACGATGCGCTTCAGACCTCAGGCGCATTCGCAACATCTACAACAGTATCGTACATACGTTGGTAGACCGTTGGGACTCGCCGATGCTTGCTCGATGGATACGGCTGCACGCAGTCAAGTATTCATTTTTCGGGCAGCGGTTGATGGCATCTTTGTTTGGGTGCTTTTTCTGTGTGTCTGTGTTTTATGTTTTATGTTAAATTGTCCAATTACTAACTTTATTTATAAGTTTAAAAAATGTTACTAACACATATGGATCATGATGTCCGAAATAAACGTTTATTATTATTATTAGAAAAACTCTCTCGTCGTATGGTTCAGGAATATTTTCATCGTATCGTCTGGTATATTAAAACAATGTCCGCCGTGATTACTGTCATTCTACCAAATCTGATTGATTCTAATGTATCGCGAACACAGTCATGTCTAGCAAAAATATTCAAGTCAATCAAGTGCGTATCAAGCACGAAGCTAGATTCAAGCTTGATGCTTGCAAACTTTTAAACGATCAATCATGCTAGACTCGATTTTGCGTCTTAAATGGTCTTGAATCAAACATACAAGATCGTTCAAGACGCTCAAACAAAACCTCGGTAGGAGTTCAAATTTAGTGTTAGGTATTTTTGTAAAATAAAAAATGAAAAAAATCTATATAACTCCCAAATTAATAAATAATTGAAATGAATTGCTAACATAATGCATACTTATCTCAGGGACTTTGCGGAACTTTCAATTTAAACCAAAAAGACGACTTCTTGACTCCTGAGGGTGACGTCGAACAGTCGGCCTTCGCATTCGCCAATAAGTGGAAGACCAGAGAGTTCTGTAATGACATCGCCACGCAAGAACCTGAACATCCCTGCAAAGCTAACGTAGAAAACAAGGATGCAGCTGAAAAGTACTGCAGTATTTTGAAGAGCTCGCTCTTCGAATGTATGTCAATTTTTTATGTATTTTATAACAAAATCTAACATAACTAGTATATTAATCATTAACGGTTGAATTCGAACGTACTATATAATTATAGGATTTCAGACATGAAAAATACGGATTAGAGCTCACGGACTCAATAAGAGCCGTGGTAGCTCAGATGGTTAGCGCTCGCTGTAAATTTCAAAATAAGCGAGCAAACCGGGTTCGATCCCCACCGGCAGCAATGAAATTGTTAATTGCAATTTTAAATTACCACGCCTCCTAGAAACCATCGTGAGGAAACCTGCATGTCTGAGAAATAAGAAAAAAAATATTTCGAAGAGATGTGAAGTTCGCCAACATGCATTGGGGCAGCGCGGCTGACTATTCCTTGCCCTAAAACACTCTCAGAAATGAGAGGATGCCTGTGCCCAGCAGTGGGACGTATATAGGCTGTAACTTTACTTTACTTTACTTTACTCAAATTCACTTAACCGTGCCTTAAAAAGATACGAGTACTTTGTGCCTTCGACCACGCGGCTGGCACTCCCGCACAGATTCTGTTTGCGGTTTCTGTTCTAGTACTCTGTACATATTAAATCAATGTTTTTAAGTCACTTTCACATTATTAGAACTGTATATTTCTTTCATGGCTCTAAGAAAGTTCGTCTTCACGAGGTGGTAGGACTTCTTTTTCTATCTGGGAGTCCCTCTGGATAGGCAACATTCTTTTACCGCTAAATTAGCAGTGGTTGCATTGCAGTGCCAATCTGAAGGGTATACAGTATCAGTATATTCACAGGATGTGAGGTATTCCATCTTAGTCATCAAGGATGACAACACGTCTATAGCCTTCTTTGTATAAAGTTGTGTATATAAAAATAAGAGAAAGACTATTTCTATGTCATTCTATTATCAAGCGGGCTCTATGACCTATTTGCGGGATTACACTACAAATAATTTCAATATAATTAGAAAATAATTAAAACTTTTTTACTTCTTTAATGTGTCTTCTGCTTTTTTAATGTGAAATTATATACCTTTGTGAAGAGAAAAATAAAATGATTTATTATTATTATCATTATTACTTCAACTAGCTTGCCATTGGTACGTGGATGTGCAGCCGTACTATGAGAACTGCCTGTACGACATGTGCGCGTGTAGTGGCGATGCGTCGAACTGCCTGTGTCCCATACTGGGGAACTACGCCATGGCGTGTGCCTCCAGCGGCGTGCACGTGCAGTGGAGATACAATGTTAAGGAGTGCGGTGAGTCTTCATTAGTAATGGTGATAATTTATTAATAATATTTTTATTTTTTTAAAACGTTACTACACTAGGATTTTCTCCTGTATCGTGGGGGCAGTTTAAAAACATAAATTGCACAAGGGCAAACATCCAGACCCGGAACAACTATTTGTAGGCCATACAAATACTTGTCCCGTGCGGGATTCGAACCCGCGACCCCCAGCGCAGCCGCTCATTGCTAAGCCACTGCGCCACGGAGTCGTCTAATTTATCAAAACCTATAAAACTATGTTAACCTTTGAAAAGTTACAACAGAAAAAGCAACTGCATAACAACGTTACTTGAATTTACCAGAGAGCGTTTACCAGAGATAGTATCTGTGCAAAAATAAACTGCATCCTGGTTCACCTTGGATCTTATAGCACAAGCTATGCATCGGACTTAATTTTCCCTCAACCACAACAACAAACTCTAAAACACGAATAACTAGTTGTAAAACAATTCGTTTATACGCTTCAGCACATTATGGCTTTAGCACGAATGAGTTGGCTCTACCGGGTAAGGAACACGCTTGACAGAATACCGGCGTAAAATAGCAGCATAACGATGATGAGACCAAGGAGTCAACTCATTATATTTGTAATATGTGATCTTTCCAGAGCTATCGTGTAGTGGCGGTCAAGAGTATACCGTTTGCGCCGACAGCTGTCTTCGAACTTGTTCCGACGTGGCGTTATCTGCAAATGGTCTCTGCAAGCCATCTTGTGTGGAAGGTTGCGCGTGTCCGACAGGACAGGTCAGTAAAAGATTACCTATAACAAATGTCTTTTTATAATCGTACAGGCAAAACTTTTACAATTCAGTTTGAAATATCACAGATAATAACAATTACGTATCGTATACGTAATTGGAACTTTGACTAGAGAAAAAAGAAAGGACATGACATAAAGATCGTTAGTTGTAGGAATGTAACGAAATATCGGCGTCTCTTTTTTAGCTCATGAGTATATTCGTATGTAAAAAGGACAACATTACTTTTATCATTACCGAATATGACAACAATTTTTTCGCTGCGGCCGGTCGCCATGTTTTGTCACAGTCAATGACAAGTATATCAGTTGTCATAGCGACTTGTTTGTTTTCAAATTTTTAAGAAAATTTTATGTTTTTATGCGTTTTATGCGAAAATTATGCATTTTAAAACTAGTAGAGGACTACATTTATCATGGGCAGGTGCAGTGTAATACGTCACAGTAGCAATCACATACGCAACATTACGTCAAGCCGCCATCTTTGTGCCAGACTCAATTTAGGTACACACGTTTTTTTCATAGGTATGTCATGTCCTTTCTTTTTTCTCTAGTCAAAGAATTGGAATGAATACTAACGCCATCGCTTCTTACGATAACCACGAAATGAAATGGCGTTTCTGATTCTGGTATTCTGCTATCATACGGCCAAAGGCTAAGGGGAGAATTGTCAAAGATACTAAACACAAATAATGGCAAATCTTCCTATAACTGGTGAAGGCAATGTTTAGTAGTGGATATAAGAGTGATCACAAAAAGAAGAAATTGAAGGCCAAAAATGTGTTTTTATCATCAGGTATTGGACAGCAATAACGAGTGCGTGCCAGTTGCCCTGTGTCCGTGCTTCCACAAGGGTATGCAGTTCAATGCCGGTTACAAAGAAGTAAGGGCTGGCAGACGTGAACAAGAACTTTGGTAAGTTCATTGGGACCAAACTGTAGTAGTATTCTAAATATTTTCTCATAAGCTAATGTAAAAAAGCCTTTAATAGTTGTCATTCTTATTGAAAAATCAATCCCTAAAGCATTTCGGGGACGCAAGTACAAACACATCGCACCGTCAATAAGTAAATGCACTTACTGTAGTATTCCAATAGACTTAGCGTTACGTATATTTAAAGTGACTCTGAAACCAAGCCAAAATAATGTTCAATTTATTAAGGTGGGTGTACACTAGATGAACCGAGCACGAGCAGAGCATGAGCCGAGCACAAATTCGTGTAGTGTGGACCGACTTACAAACCTCAAACGAGCGCGTTTCGAGCGTTTGGTTCGTGCTCGTCTGTACTCCGCCTATTGTCAGTTTATTGACAAACACAGAGGGATTTGCATCGCATGTATCGATTTGCGTGTTGTACGCTCGTTGTACGTCCACACTTGACAAAACGAGTAGAGCGGCTCAGCTTGTACTCGGCTGCATACATGCATCCATAATAACTTGAAATTCATTTGCAACTAACAAAATGGTTATAGATGCATATGTTTGCGTCCAGCAGTTGACTTTTCGAGCTGTTTTGCTAATATATGTTAATGTTACGGGCGGAGGTCCTTGTTACGAATTTTACCACAGAGAGAAATTATGATCATAACTCTCTCCTTCGAGCTTTCTTATACGGCCAGCATTGAAGCTCATTCCTACATTATCAAAATCACGATACTACCGGTTAACCAAACGTTCGGTTTCTTTCTCATATTTCAAACTAAAATTAGTTAAATGTAAAAATAACTTATTTATGAAACAAAATTTGGATTGTTTTAAAATTTTAAATATTAGTTTTTTTGAATTTTATGAGCATGGATTAATCTTAGCCCAACACAACTATAAATTCAGAATTAAAGATTACGCTAAGCATATACTCAGCTAAGTTTTTTGTAAGTAAATCTGAGCAATGTCAAAATACGGTCTATAGATCTCAGCCTAAGTCAGCCTCAGTGTAATTTTTAAAATTTGTTGTGTTTAATGTTCTGTGCCTACTGTAAAATTATGTATGACTTAATGATGACGTTGGTGACAGTACATGCGTGGGTGCCCGTTGGGACTGCAAGCCGGCGACTCCCGAAGAAATAACTCAGTATCCGCCGGCAGAAGACCTTCGAAGCAATTGCAGTGCTGCCAACCATATGGAGTTCACCACCTGTCAGATCGCGGAGCCGCTTACTTGCAAGGTAGCGTATTACAACCTTGATTTTCGAATACACATGTACAGTCGAACGATAACATAATATGTCAAATTTCTGTAGCTAAGTATTTGGATGGTAAAATTACGATATAGTTTATTTTTAAAACAAGCCGTGCACGAAGACAGCAGCTTGCTATTTAGGGCTTGCAGTACAATTGTCTTACGTGTTAACCCGCTAGGTTTCTTGCCGGTTCTTCCCCAACCATCCATAATTGACTTTTAATAAGTATTACATCTTGTAATCTATGTTCTGAAGAATAATAAATAATTTGCTTTTCTACTCTATGGTACGTTTGCCAATGTGAATTACTTTGCAACTGCGTTACGTTTTTTCATTATGATAATATTTTGTAAATAAAATAAAATATTTATTAATAACATTAGCTTATAATATAAACGAATATAACATAATAATGACAATAAATGTCAATGACACACACTCGAATTACACAATAGTACGCAATACTATTATTTTTATTCTGTGACAATAGTATTGCAAATGCTATGGCATGTGGACTGATTGATAACAGACGTAAACATACATTTCACTGAGTGGTTAGTCTAGTACTAGCGAACTGCCCGGCTTCGCACGTATCTCGACAACAGCGCCACCTACTGGGTCCAAATGTGAATATAAACCATCTAGGAACCCATTCAAACGCACACAAAAAATTCATCAAAATCGGTCAGTCTATAGCGGACATACATTTTATGAGTTTTACAGTGGATGACCTTGTAAAATATCAGTGCCATAGGCTTCTACTCCGTTCACATGTTACACCCTTTTTTTCCAGATGGTGAAAACGATCATCCACTATCATTCCTACAACGTGAAAGCCAAATGTTCACAGACTTTTACGGGCTGCTGAAGATAAAGAATAAATCATGCATATTTTTGATTATTGTAATTACAGTCGAAAGCAGTACCTACACTGCTGTGTTCCTGTCTAAAGGGTATAGAGAACCCGCAGTATAGCCGCTGTAGTCTTCTATGTTTAAAGTTGGCTGCAGGTGTTTTTTTATTTTATTTATAGGATAAGGGTGACAAACGAGCACACATGATGGTAAGTGGTTGCTGCGGTCCATAGACATCTACATCAATCCTCAATAACGAATCAAAATGCAGATGCGTTGTCACCCGTGAGGACTAAGATGGAATGCCTCGTTTCCAATAAAAAGGGTCTCCGGTTCTCTACACTGACCATACAAAACACAGCAGTGTCAATGGGCTGTAGCCACTTAGACTATAAGTTGGTTTCTCCTTTTAGTTTCATTTGTTTATTTTTTATTATATTCTATTATTATAATAAACTCCTCCTAAACGTCTGGACCGATGTCTATGAATTTTGTGTGTGTTTACATATATAGTTTTTTATATAATACGATATCAGAACATGCACCTGCCGCCATCGGGTACGACGACGGAGTGCCGGCCGGGCTGCCAGTGCAAGCGCGGGTTTGTGCTGGAGGCGGGGACGGGCAAGTGTGTGGAGCCAGCACAGTGTCCGTGTCACCACGGCGGACGCAGCTACGCCGATGGTGACCGCATGCAGGAGGACTGTAACACCTGGTGACTGTTCCTTTTTCTTACACAATATGTTTATAGTCTGTGTCTTATATGTCTATCTCTGTTGGGCCTAATGGTTGACTGGTAGAGAATGCCATAAGATATTAAGTCCGCCCTTTATATCCCTTATTATAAGATGTGTAATAAAGCTTAAATAAATAAATAAATGACCTATGGCGTTCAGTTCGCCATATGTACTTATTATATACTTTGTACATGGAGGTATAAATCAATAAATATTGAAAAAAAAATATGTCACAGTGTGGCAGTGGAAGGAAAATGGGAGATCTCCCGCCGGGCAAGGTGTTTTGCCTGGGGAGCAGCCAACAATCCGTGTGATAGTTCGGAGATGTTCTATATATACTGTTTATGATTCGGAATTTTGATAGCGTGATTTAGGCTCCGGTGTGTTTCGCTTGCGGCGCGACGACAGCGCCGCCACAACAGTAGGTTCGCAGTTTGTCGCAAGATGACGGCGTAAGATAATCCAACTTCCTCGCACAACTTATTTGTGAAATCCCACAGTATCCTAATTAATGGCAGGGCGCAGATCGCGAACTCAATAGGTCGTAGGTTCGAATCCGCCATTCGATTACTGTCGTGAACCACTCCTAACACAAGCATTTTAAGCTTACCAGTAGTGGTTAAAATGAATACTAGTAATGTTATTAATAGGGTTACCACCAGCGATTTTTCCATACCGATATGACTTACAAGAAAAATGACCTACTCTTTTTCAAAATGCCGGAAAACACCTGCAATTCTGCTGATATTGTGGTTGTTCATGGGCGGCAGTAATCACTTACCATTAGGTGAACGACACGATCGTTTGCTACTCTTAAAGTTAAGTAAAGTAAAGTTACAGCCTATATACGTCCCACTGCTGGGCTCAGGCCTCCCCTCATTTCTGAGAGGGTTTAGGGCAAGGAAGTGTCCGCCGCGTTGCCCAAATGCGTGTTGACGAACTTCACATGTCTTCGAAATATTTTTTTTTCTTATTCCTCAGACATGCAGGTTTCCTCACGATGTTTTCCTTCACCGCCGAGCACGTGGTAAATCAGCACTTAAAATTGCAATTAACAATTTCATTGGTGCCGGCGGGGATCGAACCCGGGTTACTCGCATTCTGTTATATTTTCAGCGAGCGTTAACCACTGAGCTACCACTTGCTACTCTTATTTAAAAAAAATTATCCCGTAGGTGTCGTAAGAGGCGACTGTACTGACCCACTTTCAATAAGTATTTTATAATCTATTGTGAATGTATACTTTCACTTATGGCTTTCAATGGTGGTGTATGTGTATAATTATCTCATTATCGTCTGACATAAAATGCTTGGACTATCGACGGCGAGCGACAGTGATGGACAGCAGCGTGAAGAAAGCGAGATGTACGATCACTACTGCATGTAGCCTAACAACGGGATGCCATGCCCAGCAGTGATTTAACAACAAAAGAAATAATAATAATTCGTATTTCATTAAATAATATTAAAATTAATAAATTTTTTGTCCTTTTTATTTATATTATATATTTTTAATGAGTCAAAATTATCCGACATTGGGGAACTTTCAAATATTTAAAAATTCTCTCAATTTTCAAACATTTAAAAAAAAACTCCGAAAATATTATTTTTATCGTAAAAAGTCTTTAGGGCCCTTTTTATTCGTATTTATTAAAATGTTAAAAAATATTTTTTATATTTTATTCTTTTTTTGTGTATTTTGAATAGGTCCGAACCCGAATTTGGGATTTTTCAAACATTTAAAAATTCATATCTCCGAAAATATCAACTTTATCGTAAAATTTTTTATTTCTATTTTATCACAAAAAATATCTCATTTGAAAATAACAATTCCTTGCAATAAAAAAATTGATTTAAACAATTTGGCACCGAGCTGCCCCATGGCAACATACCAGTACATTTATATCATCAGTATGATCATTTGAAGAGAATAGCATAAAAAAATTGACGTGGAATAGTTTTCGATACTCATGTGCCGATTCCTTTTGGACTAATTTACTGTTTATTACTTTAACACATTTAATGACAAGAGTTATATTTCTCTAAATTTTACTTTTGTATTTAAATCAAACGTTTATTTGTTAGCAAGAGAACAAAAAAATGCGACTAAAAGTACTATATCGAAAACCCATATAACAAAGATATTATAAGTAATAAATTTTATAAAAGTAAAAGTTTGGAGGCGCCGGGTATCGATCCCGGTACCTCTCGCATGCTAAGCGAGCGCTCTACCATCTGAGCTACGCCCCCTGTCAACAATTACGTGAAAATAAGCATCTATTTAAATAAGATATAATTTATTTGAAATGTGTATTGCAAAGGTTTTTAAACAAGTAGATCGTCTTGGGCAATGTTTAATAAAATTCTACGCGCAGTCTACAGATAATTTTAATTACCAATAAAAAACTAATTAAAATTATCTGTAGAAATTAAAATTATATGTTAAATATACGGTACTACTATACCGTATATTTAGCTGGTATATTAAGGGGGAATATATTGTTTCCTGCCGCCCGGTTCCAAGCTTCAGGACGCCGATATTTTAGGTAATTTCTTTTTACAGTGAAAATAATGGTAATTTAAAATAAAATAAAAAACATAAGCCCTGCTTTATAGTTACTCGTAGTTCAGTTAGTATGCAAAGTTTCATGATCTTATTTAAAGTATTTTATGAATAACAGCGGTTTATTGTTCAGTTTGGAGGTAACTTTGGATTTTTTTTTCTATCGAGAAAATTTTACGGAATCATGTTTTCGTCTAACATAGTACTTTACATTAATCCTCAACTTTACAATATATTTATTTCAAAATTAATGCTGTAATATTTTCGGCATAACGGAGGATCTTGCTAAGCCATTTGAGGTTATATTTCCCCTTAAGGGAATAATAGCAACGAATAAAAGGAGAAACTTATAATAAGCATTTCTATCAATATTTAACCAACTTCAAGAAAAGGAGGAGGTACTCAATTCGACTGCATTCTTTTTTATGTATTACCTCAGAACTTTTTCTAGATGAACTGATTTTAATGATTATTTTTTATTTGAAAGCTGTTGCTAGTAGAGCTAAAGCTGGTCCTATCTAAAATTGATCAAGATCTGGCCAGTAGTTTTTGAGTTATCCATATTTATGTATGAGTATCGCATAATTATGCGTATATTTAATTGACTTCGACTACATTGATGATTTTCTCATTTTATTTATATTGAAGTCGGTTGTACAAAATTTTTAATTTTAACACTTGTATACACGATATAATATCGTTAAGTCACAGAGTTATTTTAAACAGGTAAAGCGTGAATCTACTGCTTTATTAATCGCACAAATCTACCTTAACTGTCTTTATCTTTAAATAATAACCACTTTCAGCCATATATTTAAAGAAGGATGTTTTTGAGACAAATCTTTAGCTTTGCATTTACCAACGCGCTTGCCCAGCATAGTAAATAAGGAAGTAAAGGTAACCATTTCAAGCAACGCCTGTCTGATGGTGCATTATTTAAAAATTCTATATCTCGCTAGGCAAATTCATTCATCTCTCTTTAAAAGTCTATTTTAGAACGTAATACAGACTTTAATTTTTTAATGTATTAATTTATACAATTAATATGAAAACGTTTAGAAAGCATGGTAGCAATCACCTCATTCCCAGAAGTTATTATCAGTCATGTACTCTTCAGCAATATCATAATTACTAAACAATTTTTGCTTAATAAAAACTATAAACCTTTTGGTAGATAAGGCCTGCATATTTTCTGGGAATTTGAAGGAATTACTGGCTCTTAGGAGTCGTGTAACTGCTATAACTAATTTGTGCTTGTTTCTAGTATTTACAGTAGTATTTATTTTTGTGTACTTACATACATTAAATTTTCGTAAATATGCTGAAGGGTTAATATATTTATTTCTTTAAATTTTTCTGTAAGGGATTCCTTCTGACCTAGGTTTATGCATTGCTCTTATGGCACGCTACTGCAAAACAAAGATAGTTTCAATGTCAGTGGCAGTACCCCATAGCAAGATTCTCCATGACATGACATTATGCTATAGTAATAACTAAAATAAACTAATCCAGCTGTTTCAACAAACGTAAACCCCCTAACCTTTTTTAAGCATATGCTGCATAAATAAGTTTGTTAGCTAGATATTCGCTTTCTAGCTAGAAAATGCTTTTCGCTTGCTAGATATATGTGGGCCCCATTGAAGCTTCTGTAATTCCGAGAAATAAGTTGATTCAACAAGACTGAGCTCTTCCCCATACAAAAGCACCTGCTTAATATTTGGTGTTGTAAATTTAATACATTTTGTTTTATTACCGTTTAAAAGCAAATTGTTGACGTTAAACCAGTGTAGTAACTTTTGATATAGCATTATTTACTTCGTCATATTTAATGATTGCCTTTTAAGTCTGAAAATCAACGAAGTATGATCAGCAAATAAAACCATATCATAGTTATTCCCTACCAAGTAAGGTTTATGGAAACTAAGAACAGGAAGGGGCCAATAATTGAGCCCCGAGGAACACCTATAGATACTACCACACCTATAGATCTGGAAGAACTGCTCCCATTAATAACAACTGCATTTGCATTCTTTTTTTTCGATATGGTCTAATAAGTTAGAGTACTACGTTTTTTACACCATAATGATGTAGCTTCCTGATTAATATCTCATAGTGAACACAGTCGAAAGCCTTGGAAAGATCACAAATTATATCCAAAGCATACTCTCAATTCTCCCGTGCGCAGAAAATATGTTTAGTCTGTAATAAATTGAGGTTGCTGTTACTTAATTAGAGATTTTTAAAAAAATAAATAAAGAAATAGTTGCAACGATAGATTCGCGTTAATGACAAATATTGCGATTATAGCGTGCTTTCCGCAGCGAATGCAAGGGCGGTACCAGTTAGTCTGTTGTTATATTCAATTTTATACTCTGTCAATGATGACAGAAAAGCTATAACACCAATAATTTTTGCAACAAAAGTATGCATTCCGCAGCGAGTGCAAGAGCGGCAAGTGGTCGTGCAGCACTCGTGCGTGCGCGGGCGTGTGCGGCGCGTGGGGCGACTCGCACGTCACCACGTTCGATGGAGCACAATATGACTTCGAGGGCGTCTGCGGCTACCTTCTCGCCAAGGGCGTGATGGAAGGACGCGATGGGTTCGCTGTGGAGATGCAGGTGAGTAATATGAATAAATGAATAATGAATAATTCGGAAGATCTTATCATTGCTACTTCAAAGTCTTCTTTTTTGTTTTAAAACTTTTCCTTTCGAAACTGGAAAGGAATCTGTCGGTGCACGATCCGGTAAACATGGTAGGCTACGTCAACATTTCAGACTTAGACCAGAACACTTAAAATTTGAAAACGTTCTGTAAGAAGTGAGAACGTAGACGTAACATGAACAGGAAGGGGATAAGAGTAAGCAAACTCAGTTATCTGGTTTTCCATCGTCGCTTATAGTAACCTAAGCTTTATGGAAAAATCAGTAACTGAAGTGAATTTGATTGACTGAGTAGTGCTGTGTGAGCTGTGTGAGTGGTGCGACAGCCTTAAGAATGAACAAAGTGCTTTCGAGAACCAATGACGTCCTCTCAGAAAAATCGGACGTCATGCAGCGATGGAGTGAATTTTATAGAGAAATGTATGTGTGTCATGATCTTAGTGAAGGATCCGGGGGTGACGCCGTGACTGGCACGCCAGACATGGACCTCGATGACACTGAGGTCATCAGCATGAAAGAGATTGAACGTGCGATTCGAAGTTTGAAATGTGGTAAGGCTGCGGGACTTGACAGAGTTACTGCTGAAATGGTCAAGTACGGTGGGCCTCGCGTCTGGGACAGCTTCCATCTGCTGTGCAATTTGTGCTGGCGGACGGGAGATGTCCCGGATGATTGGCGATCCGCGGTCATTGTGCCTTTATATAAAGGTAAAGGTTCACATTTTGACTGCGGGTGCTATCGGGCGATCAGCTTGACCAGTTTAGCAAGTAAAGTTTACTCGAAGGTTTTGACACGTAGGATGCAAGAGAAATCGGAAAGATTCTTATGGGAGGCACAATGCGGATTTAGACCTGGAAGAGGATGCACGGATCAAATGTTTTCTCTCCGCATAATCACGGAGAAGCTTCTGAGTGTTAACCAGAAGATTTTCTGTGCTTTTGTGGATCTGGAGAAAGCATTTGATAAGGTTATAAGGAAGAAAATGTGGGAACTGTTGCCGGGATATGGTGTGGATGGTCGATTGTTAAGGGCTGTGCAGTCACTTTACTATGACTGTAAAGCCTGTGTGCTGGTAGGGCATGACCTGTCACCCATGTTTAGCGTCCAAGCGGGCGTAAAACAGGGTTGTGTCATGTCTTCCTGGCTGTTCATACTGTATCTCGACAGCTGTTTACAGAAGCTGAAAAATAGCTGTTTGGGTGTGAAATTGGGTGACATAAAAGTTAATTGTCTGCTGTATGCTGATGATGCAGTGCTTATTTCACCATCAGAAGCAGAACTGCAGGCATTAGTCACGTGTATGAAAGAGGAATCTGAAATTAAAGGTCTCCGTTTGAATGCTAATAAAACTAAGGTTCTGGTATTTGAAAAGGACGAAGAGAGAACGAAATGTGAAATATGGGCAAATCAGAAATGTCTAGAACAGGTAAATGAAATTGTATACTTGGGGAGTGCTTTCAGCCGGGATGGAAGATGTGATTTAGATGTGGATAGGCGTGTCGCTGCCGGAAACAAAGTCAATGGTGCCCTGAATACATTAGTAAAAAGGCAAGGCGTGGTGAAGAGTGCACGCCTTGCAATACATAACGCAGTGTTAGTACCGACTTTGTTATATGGCAGCGAAACCTGGGTATGCCAGAAGAAGGATAAAAGCAAGTTCAATGCAGTGGAGATGCGATCTCTTCGTAAAATGTGTGGCGTTACTTTAGCCGACCGTAAGCGAAACGAAGAGATTCGCAATATGGCAGGATTGAAAGATGACCTTATCACAAAAATTGATAGGGGCGTACTCCAATGGTTTGGGCACGTTGAACGAATGAGTGAAGACCGAATGGTGAAGAAAATATATAGAGCGAAAGTAAATATTAAAAGGTGTCGAGGTAGACCGAGACTAACTTTCGAAAACCATGTGAGCAAATTGCTCGAAGAGGGGAGGGTCAAGAGTACTCGGATACCCAGACGTGCATGTATGAAGAAGTTAATGAACCTGAAAGAAGCGAAAGAGGTATGTAAGGATCGTGACACTTGGCGATCTGTTCTCTCTGGCTACCCCGTTAGGGATTGTGCGTGAAGATAAGTAAGTAAGTAAGAGTAGTGCTGTTATCACAACTTCACAACTAAACATGTATTTCGCGTGTTGGAAGGATAGGAATTACTTTTGATAATCCGGGTCAACGAAGCTCCTGGAGAAATCGTTTTTTCTTTCGTATTTATTATTTATCTTAGTAAATATATTAAAATGTTAATAAAAATATTAATTCAACATTTCAATTTTGTTTGTTTATATAGAACGTCCCATGTGGAACAACGGGTGCTACTTGTTCGAAGTCTGTGACCCTCAAAGTGTCGAGCACTGATGGAACTGAAGAGTTGGTTTCCCTTGCACAAGGAGCGCCTTTGCCAGATGTCTCCAATTTAAAAAGGTATTGTTATTTTTAGTGTTGCATTGTAAAGAATAAATTAAAGGAGGCGGTCCAAATTTGTATGAAGCATAGACCTGGTTTTGTACAAGTAGGGAAATAAATTAAAATAATATATTACACCACTTTTGGTCATTCAAATCCACGAATTTGCCTTTATTTCAGTGGTATCAATATTTTATTCTTACCAAAAACTGCAACACTAATGTGAATTTTTGACGTTAGCTGTCAACTGTCATGAGGTTATTAATGCTTACTAATTAAATATCTTAGAGTAATTGCATTCATGCGAATTACTCTAAGTTCAAAATGTCATTCTACAGATGTCCGATATCAATGAAATCAAAATCTCACGTAAATCATGAAGTCCATAAAACAAAAGCCGAGTCAAACAAGCAATAACATAACATAACATAACATAAACACTCACGCCTGTCACCCAGAGGGGTAGGCAGAAACTACAGACTTCCATTTGGCACGATCCTGACACACCTCTCTCACCTCCTTCACATCCATATACCTACGCATACATGCTCGTCGGTTAAGGGTACTCCTAATTTGGCCCGTTTTCAACAAATCGCCAATTTGGTCGATAAATTTTCGCCTAGCACGTCCCTTTCCGACTCTGCCATTCACTTCTGCAACATAAATTTTCTTTGTCACTCTTTCTTCATTCATTCTTTCCACATGATCAAACAAGCAATAACAGAACCAAAGCGCAATTAAAAAATCACCAAAGAAATCCAAAAGAAACAATAATCGCAGTGCCGAGTTCATAACTGCACTAACAAGATCGCAATAAAAAATATCACACTACCTACATTATTTCATGACTCAAGTCACGTTTCAGACATGACATTTGACATAAAATTTTATGACTGGAAGGGCGCCATCTTGTAAAATCCTCAAAAATTGGGATTGCATTTTTATTTTAGCAAGTCATTTAGTTTGATTTATTCTTTTATTTTATTTTTAAATAAAATCCCTAAAAATTTCGCTTCTTTACGGTATAGTGTACATAGACTAAGCCTGAAGTGGACCGTCTCCTTTATTACTTGATGTTAAACTCCTTTTATAAAATGGCAAATGAATCAAAATTAAAAATCGTCATAAGAAATTTCACTCAAAACTCGGGAAGCTTAAGCAACTACTGATTTTATATTATATATATATGTTGATGACCCGTTAGCTAGTGATCAGTGTAGTTGAATGCTGCCAATCCGGATTTGAATCCTAGTCAGTATTTGTATAATGATCGATACTGGATAGTATCTGAAAATAGTCACAGTGGTCAAAGTCAACCAGCTAAAACGTTATTAAAATATTCATTAACACTGTCATATGCTATGGGAGGATATTAATCCTTTTTTGCTATTAATATTTCAAAGTAAAAGGCAAAGTCAGTTCTGAATAGATCAGTTTTATTTTGTTGTTGATTATATTTAATATAATTGGTCGTTGGTTTTATAAGTAGTTCTTATTATATGGAAAAATTTATTAATTCACACTTATTTTATCTTGAATAATGAATATTATCTACTTACGGGTAAACGAGTACAAAACCGGTATTTGAGCTATCTTCCCCTGCGTGAGCTCAATGTAGTTTTAACCTGGTTTTCATTTTGAGCAGTAACAATATCCTTTACTTTGCTACAGAATAAAGCTACGCATCGCCGGTGTATACGTGTTCCTGGACGTGCCTTCACTGGGTATGAGTTTACAATGGGACCATGAGCTGAGGGTCTACGTCAAAGTCGACTCCATGTGGCAGAACAGGGTCAGTGAGACAAAACTTTGATTTTTAACGTGACAACGTCTCACTTCGCATACCAGCATGTTCAAAAAAATTATTTTTGATCATCAGCTTTTCCCTAGAAACTATACATAATGATACGCGCAATATCTTTATATCATTATATAGTTTAAGATCTTAGCTAAATGCTGAAACTATAAAGTTCTTATATACACAGGTGATTTTAAAGTGTTGTCATTTTAAGCTATTTTTTATTTATTGCCATGAGTGTTTCTTTTCAACTTTCGCAGTTACCTTTTTTTAATTCTCCTTGATTGCTCTATATATATTGGCTCCATATTGGCTATATAAGTTATTTCAAATTTAAGTTATGTGTTGTTAATTATTCCCGCTGAGTTTTTTTTTTTTTGGGTTCCTTGGTTGTTCTATCCAGGACAAATATATATTTGAAACAGTGGTACCTAAATTAAACATAAGCGTGACTTTCAATATTTATTATTTATAATCTATATTAGATACGTGGTAGAGCCATGCTGCAGTTATATTAGTAGTATAGTTGTAGCACGAATGGGTCGGCTCGACCGGGGAAGGGCCACGCTCTCACAGAATACCAGCGTAAAATAGTAGCTGCTGTGTTTCGTATGGTGAGTGTAGAGAACCGGAGACCCTATTTACTGGAAACGAGGCATTCCATCTTAGTCCTCACGGGTGACAACGCATCTGCATTTTGATTTGTAATCGAGGATATATGTAGATGTTTATGGGCCGCAGCAACCACTTACCATCATGTAGACTGTGTGCTCGTTTGTCACCCTATCCTATAAAAAAAATATAAAGTTTCTGTTTCTATTTCCATGAGTTTCCTTGTTCTTAATAAAACTTATCACAAAGCACATCGTAGGTGAAAGGCCTGTGCGGAAACTACAACGCGGACATGCGCGACGACTTCCAAACACCGTCCGGCGGCGGTTTCGCCGAGACATCCGCACTCATATTCGCCGACTCGTGGAAGCTGAAACCGACCTGTCCAAAGCCGCAAGAAGTTGCTGTAAGTGTTTTTTTGAAGTGAAAACTTCTTTAGTGGTGTTGTACACTTTTTTGTAATGGGTAAAAATGTTAAACTCGCGTCAGGACACGTGACCCTGATCGAAAATTCGTAAGACGTATGGAGAGAGAGAGACAGCCGGCGCGGCGTAGGAGAGGAAGTATCCCCTTCTCTTTCTACGGCGCGGCGAAAATGGTATGCCTGCGCCTGCTGTTTTGTTTAGGCGGCGCATGGCGCTTGTGCGAATGTTCGTGCGTGATAATTAAAGCAATTCGTGCAAAATTATTCCCTAATCATTCCAAAATATCAAAAATGCACAACGTTAATATTCAAGTTTTCACTTCTGCCGGCACTCCCGGAGTGCAACCCGTCGTTTTTTTATCTTCAGATTTCGATCAGTATTCAGTATCTTCCGAACAATCGAAGTACAATAATTTAACAAGCTGACTTTTGACGAACTAAATTATTAATGTCTTATATAGAAAAATAAAGAGTATTAATGTAATTTATCTGAAGCTACAAACCCTAGCACGCAAAATTGCTCAATACTATAATCGTAGTAAGTAATGCAAGTTTAAATGAAGTAGCAAAGTAGTTCAACAAACCTAAATATGTTGTTGTATTTCCCAATCGAATGTTTATTTATGTATGGTGTATCCTGGATAATAAAGGAACAATTGCTGATCGCTTGATATTTCTATTATGATGACTTAGTCTTTGTGGTTGATGAACTTAGAATGCTTCAGTTTGAAGCTCAGCCCAGCTCATATATCCTATAAACCGAAATTTGCTACTTAATAAATATGGCAAAACTAATCTACACACATTTTTAGAAAGAAAAATGTCAATTAATACAAACCTCCGTATCATAGATGGTAGTAGAGTAAATGAGAAGTACACAATCTATTAAGTAAAATATTAAATCAAATTTAAAAGTAACGACGTTTTGATGTCTTAATATCGTATTAACTAAGCCTTTGAAAAGGATACGCCACTTAGGAAAAAGGTGAAAATATTTGACAGATTTCATGGCGGGAGAAGTTCATCTGTTCGAAAATTGTAAGTGTTAATGTTTCTCTCTGAAACATTAGTTACATTTTATGTTAATTAAATTTAAAATGGATAAACCAAACTACGGTTATTCCTAAAAGTAGGAAAATTAAAAAAAAAAACATACTAAAATAGTGCAAAAACTTACACAATTGTAAAAGAAATTGTAGCATTGATTTGTGTATTTACACAATCTGAAAACCGATACACTTTTATTTAAAACGCAATTTCTTAATTAAAATGTCCTCGTGTAACAAAAAAACTGCATCTCACTCCCAAATAGCAGCAAATAGTAGTAGTAGTCCTCATTGTTTCTTAAGCCCCATTTACATTCAGCCACTGCCACTGCTCCTCGCGCTGCCGGCAATACTTCCCTAAATACTGCCGTAGCAGGATCGCGGGAAGTGTGTATTCACACTCTGCCCTACCACTCACATCGCTTTCGGCTTTCGACTATGGCGGACGTCGAAATAATTACAGCGTCCGCGCTCTGTCTTCTTGCAATACAAAATTATGTTAATAATTTAAAAAGATATCAAGTTCAAAAGAAGATAGATAGATAGATAGAAAATTTATTTGCTTAAAAACATGGTACATAAGATAATCAATGACGTGGAACTGACATGTTTTGCCATAATTGGCATGGAAAAATGATATGAAATACAGCTAATTACACAAACCCGATGTTGCTTAAAAGTTAGGTACACACATTCTTTTTGAATTCAAATATTATGTACAATTAAATACTTATACAGATTCACTCTATTTGAATTCTTATACAGTAAATTGTTCATAAATTATTAATTGAATTATTATATTATTGTTACATAAATAATATTAAATATTATATGAGATTAGTTAAGCTATTATTATTTTATTAATTACACTTCAGTATAAACTAATTCGTAATTTTAATTACAATAAAATTATAATTTAAAAATCTCAGGCTATTATGCAAATATTACCTTTTACCTTATTTTACATTTTAATTAATAAATAATCAATATGAGTTACTAATCGTTTTTAGAAATAAAATGTCAATGTTCATTAATTCCTTAAACTAAATTTTATATTAATATAATAAATTTGACGAATTTATAATTAATTATGTACATAGGTACCATGTTAACTCAAAAAGAAAATTCGTATTCGTAGAAGATGATGAATTGTGGTTTTTATCGTTGAAATCCCATATAGTTTTTTCTGATTCCAGCAGTTCTAAAAACTTTATTGTATTTTCATTAATCCACTCGAAAGGCATTTTGGTAGATCGTATTTATTTAATAACAGGACGGCACGCACGTCCGTTCATCCAGGCGCTTGTCGCGAAGTGAGCGATGGAGCTGAATGTGAACACACACTGCCGCTCGCGCTGCCCGTCCTTTGACTTCCGCACGAAAAACCGACATTTCGGGCAGTGTCAGCGGCAGCGGCAGTGTCAGCGCGAGTAGCCTGTTTACATACTGCCCTGCTCACTGCCCTGCTCACTTCCCTGCCCAAACGGGCTGAATGTAAATGGGGCATAAGTGTTTATCCATGAGCGATTGTAAATATGTAATTCGATACGATTAATCTGGTCGTGCAGGACCACTGCAAGCAGCGGCCGCAGCGCAAGGAGTGGGCGGCGGCGACGTGCGGCGCGCTGAAGCGGTTCCCGTTCGCGCTGTGCCACGGCGAGGTGCCGGTGGCGGCATACTTGCGCGCGTGCGAGGCGGACGCGTGCGCGTGCGACGCGGGCGACGACTGCCGCTGCGCGTGCGCCGCGATCGCGCACTACGCGCACGCGTGTGCCACGCGCGGCGTCACGTTCCCCTGGCGCGAGCAGCAACTGTGCCGTGAGTACAATGTATTATATACCTTATACTTATACATATTGTACGCCGTATGTGTAGGGCGAATAATACTGCGTGTGTATCGCACTTGCGCACATGTGAGTATCGAATTCGCGCTATTGTATCTGTCGCACCCACACACTTGTGCGTCACATCGATTTTTCATGATAAAATATATACCTATCTAATAAGATTAACTACAAGGAATTATGACGGCATTTATGAAAAATTTGGTTTTGAAAGGTCATGAAAGTATTTTTTTAATTATAGAGGTGACAAACGAGAGTCCATCTGATGGTAAGTGGTTACCGTGGCCCATAGAATCTGCATTTAATCCCAATTAAGAAGTAATATGCAGATGTGTTGTCACTCCTGAGGACTAAGTCAATCACCATACAAAATACAGCACAGCATTATGTTGCTATTTTGCGCTGGTATTCTGTGAGAGCGTGGCGTACCTCGGTCAACTTGACCCATTCGTGCTACAGTCATAATATAACTGCAGCATAACTCTACCATTTAAAAATAGAATAAAATGGAGTAGAGTGTATTGTATACATTTTACAAATTACGCATTGCTCGCTGTATGTGTGTGTGTGATCACATCACGAGTCTGTGTATCACATTCGCGCGCGTGTATGTCACACTCGCACACATGTGGGTATCAAACACACGCCAGTGTGTGTCGCACTCACACACGCGTGTCACGTAGATTTTTGATATATTTACCTTAATATATAGATCGAAGGAATTATGACGACCTTTAGGATAAGTTTAATTTTAAAATATCTTAAAGTATTCAAGTTAATATGAGTGTTACTGCGATAGTGACATGCGTTAATGGTAATTGATTATATACGTCACGTTACCACACATTTCAAGTGACGCAGAATCATGCTCTGGTATATTAAAAACAAATGAAGATGTTATCCCCGGACAGGATGTTATCCCGGGAAGCGGTCGACATGTGGTAGGTAGTATGTAGCTATCTTATATATATACAGACAACGCCGCTACTAGAACTACAGTAGTGAATAGGATTCAACTAGACAAAATTCTAAAAATAATATTTTAAGCAATGTCTTCGAGAAATATAATATTATCAATAATAACCAACTTTTCGTAGCTATGCAATGCGACGGCGAGTGCTCCAACTACAACCCGTGCATGTCTCCGTGCCCGCCCGAAACCTGTGACAACACGCTCGACTACGCCGAAGTGAAAGCCGTTTGCGAAAAAGAAACATGTGTTGAAGGTATGCTATCTCTGTCTTTTTTGATCCTTTTTCCCATATATGTTTCTATGTTCATTCATTCAAAATTCTTTACTGGTCACGGCCTATCAAAAGTTCACTGATGAACAAAGACTTCTACTGGGCGTTTGCAGTTTGCAACCGGAAATTCTTTGGAACCGTAAATTGTTATATGGAAGATCAGCTGCCTGTCAGTTTCATTTCCCTCCGTCGACTCTTACGACTTCTTATGGTACGGGATGGTATAGAGTAGTGGATCCTCTAACGCCTTTTAGAATATAATAATGTCCTCCAGACCGAATTTGGTCGCGGCGGCCTGCTTCAACGGAGACTAGCCATCGGCGCAGGACAGAATTATAGTGCCCAAGTGTATGCGCAAGCACAGGTGCACTCTCTATTCCCTCACTCACATTATCCGATGGGACGGTAAATCGACACGATCGGTGAGAGATCAGGCGCAGGAAAAACGGCTTTACGTGCTTTTCGAGGCACGGGAGTGAGAAACCGCCAACTTCCTGACTTCGGGCAGCTACGAGGCATAAAAATAGGCAACGAGGTGTATTATATACTAAATGACTGGTATCAGGCTAAAAAAAGTAGTTACATTTTTAATCGATTTAATTTTTTAAACACACAGCCACAATATCTTGTTGGATAATAAAGTGATAATAAAGTTCAAATGTGTATTCCTGAAACTTATATTGTGCAATTTATTGCAAGCACTCTTCCCTTCTTTCCTTTCTTCTTTTATTCTTTTCCACAAACAATAAACTTTAATTTTCTTTTCCTCAAGGTTGTAAGCCTAAGAAGACTTGCCCAGAAGGCTACGTTTATTCCAACAGTACACTAACAGAATGCGTTCCCCGCGCCAAATGCCGTCCAGTATGCATGACACTCGAGACCGGAAAGGAAATTCTGGAAGGGGAGGTCATCGAGGAAGACGAGTGTCACACATGTCGATGCTCTAAGAAGACGAAGGTCTGCACTGGTCAACCATGTCCCACAGAGGTGAGTACAGTTTTCTAGGAAGTATACCTCCTTTTTGAATAGAAACCCGTTTAGATAGATCCCTCCTTATCCATTTCTACCGTCAAACATATACCACACCACAGTTTAAACATCCATTGTGTTAAATCAAACACAACCTAATGCGGAGCGTAGTAGAGCAGTAAGTGGGCAGATAGGGCAACATCGCGGCAAGGCGAGGAGTAAAGCGATGAGCAACACGAGTAGAGCGGTGAGCAGCGCGAGGTGAATAATGTGGCGGAGCCATAATTACGAGTGAAGTCGATTATGTGCGAAATCCCTTAATACTGTTAAGGGCAGTACTTGCACTGCTGTGTAATACAGTCTGAAAGGTCAGTATAATTACAGACTGTGAGGCATTTCAACTTAGTCCTCAGCGGTGACTACGTAAATATGGCCTTCTTTGTTGGAGTAGGTTGCAGTAGTCCATAGGCTGAGTAGCCACTTACCATAAAGTAGACTGTATGTTCGTTTGCCTCTTTAGTTTTAATCTTTTCTACCAGTTTCACTTTTTTGACGCTCGTGTCCGACATTTTGTGAATTATACTTGACGCTGGCGTCCGACATTTTGTGGATTATTTTTAACGCTGGCGTCCGACATTTTGTGAATTATTTTACACCTGACATTAACAGGATACAAACTGCCATTTGTTGGAACCTATGAGAACATTTTGGAATTTTCGAACACGTGATAATCTAACTACCAAAGATTAAAGATATCTATGGATAATGAAAAGTGATTTGTTTAACCTAAAGTTTGATAAATTAAAATTAAAAGATTATCATTTCCAAGCTCCTAACATGATAATATAACTATTGAAAACCCTTTACCAAATTCCATTTAAGACGACGCCACCGGGACCCCCAACATCGCCAAAGCCTCTGGATGAACCGCTGAAGTGTGTGCCAGGCTGGACCCGTTGGATCAACCGCGGCCCGCCGGAGATCGGACCAGACGGCGCGTCCGTGGAGAGTGAACCGCTACCACGTCCCAACGAATTAGTGAGTACTCACCTTCAATATATAATCATCAAAAATATAAATGATACAAGAATTTTGTTATATTTTAATATCACATTTTGTGTTCCTTTTTAATAATATTAAGCATTATAAGTTAAATTAAATTTAACTAAGTTCTGTCTGACTGTCCAAGTTTGATGGTAACATTTCTGAAGGTTTTAACTGAAAGTCCTTATCTAACAGGTGGTCGGTTCCCCGATGTGCAAAGCCGATATGATAAAGAAGATCGAGTGTCGCACAGTCGGCGACCACAAGTCCGCGAAGGAGACCGGCTTAGACGTCGAATGCAGCCTGGAGAAGGGACTCGTGTGCCACGAACAAGAAAACACTTGTCCGGACTTCGAGATACGAGTGTTCTGCGAATGTGAAGGTAAACAGAGACCCTTTTCACTGGCTTTTTCACCTTAGTCCTTCGTGGTAAACAACGCATCTTTTTTATGTGAAAAAGAGTTTTTTTTTTAGAATAAGGATGACAAACGAGCATACAGTCCACCTGATGGTAGGAGTAGAGTGACCCATAGACATTTATCCTGAATTAATAACCTAAAAGCAGATGCGTTGTCACCCCTGAGGACTAAAATAGAATGCCTCGTTTCCAGTAAAAAAGGGTCTCCGATTCTCTACACTTGCAATACGAAACACAGCAGCATTAAGCTGCTATTTTACGCTGGTATTCTGAGAGCGTGGTCGTTCCCCGATCGAGCCGCTCTACCACATTCACATCATTTAATCTTATTTGTTAAATTTGATGTGACTTCTGAAGAAATTGATATGATAGTGTTTTTATTCACTCTGGCGAAATTATATACTATATAGATATAACAGCGAAAATACCATTTAATTCATTATCACCATCATCGTTCATATCATCACCAGATTACAGCCCTTCACAGGTCTTTCGCTGAATATGGGCCTCCCCAAAGAATGCCGCAAAACATTGGCCTTAGCCAATGTAGCCATCAACTTTATGTATGTCTTGCCAGGTTGTAACTCCATCTTGTGAAAGGCCAGCCTACACTTCGCTTAGCGGTACAAGGCTTGCGCTCGGAAACCATCCTTATCGGTTGTTAAATAAACACTTGTTTTTACTGGGCAAAAGGGTTCTTTTTTGTTCAGGGGTCCGTCTATGTTGGTACCATCTTACCTATTTCTGCTGGAAACCAGTAGTGCATCCACTGCTATGTTCTGGTCTGAAGGGTGAGAGAGTCGTTATTATCACAGGCTGTAAGACATTTCGTCTACTTTTAACAAAAATGAAGAAAATAAATAACAATAACGACAAGTTTTCCTCCTCCTCACACAACTCCCTTGTGGAATCGACAACCACCAGAGACTTTTTCAAACTGATACGACTTAGGGACCGTCTAAATAAGAGCCTACTCCTTTTTAAAAGGCCAGCAATGGCAGAACAAACCCTGGCATTGCAGTTGTTCATGATCGGCGGTATCAGATGAGCCGTATGTTCGTTTGCCCCCAATCCTATAAAAAAAAGAAGTAGTTTACTAAGAGATTTCTAACTCAGCATAACACAAAAGACAGCAGCGCTGGTTTGGTTGTCAGTTAGAGCTTTCATTTATTCATCATTCATTAAAGTCTCTATCAAAAGTCCTCTGCTAAAATAGACTTCGACGATAGGTTGCCTCATAGGGGGATATTTGCCATAGTTGCTACGCTTTGCAGGTGGCACGGCAACGAAGTTCTTTATTATTTTCAATTGTTATTAGGGAGATACTGCTGCTAGTTTCAGCTTCCCTATAGTCTACTCGTATTAATACACCTCCAGGATGATATGCAGTAGTTGATAGATACTTACGCTGCAACTACGGGGTACGGCAATTAGTGCTCTGCAATTTTTTTTTCTCCAACGCATTTTTTTTAATCTGCAGATATTTTCCAATGCCTGAACTCGACCCACCCTAACAATCCACACCCAACGGACTGTAGCAAGTTCTATGAGTGCACACCGGACCTAATGAATCCAAACAAGCCCCATGCTGTGCTGAAGCAGTGTGGTGAGGGTTTGCTGTACAACCCAAAGCTGATGATTTGCGACTGGCCCGCCGCAGTGTACGCAGTGCGACCAGAGTGCGGGTCCACTCCGTCTACCACACCTACTACCACCGGTAAGAACGACTGCTCCAAGTATATCAACCTCGGTTTAATATAACGTTAAAGTTACAGCCTATATACGTCCCACTGCTGGGCACAAGCCTCCTCTCATTTTGTGGAAGGTTTTTGGGGCATTGAACTGTCCACCGCGCTGTCCCAATGCGTGTTGGCGAACTTCACATGTCTATAAAATATTTTTTTCTTATTTCTCAGACATGCAGGTTTCCTCACGATGTTATCCTTCACCGCCGAGCACGTGGTAAAGCAGTACTTTAAATCACAACTAGCAATTTCATTGGTGCCGGCGGGGAAAGAACCCGGGTTGCTCGCGTATTGTGCAACTTACAGCGAGCGCTGACCATTTGAACCGTGGTAGGTTCAGATAATATATGCAATAAAATCAGTTATTGGGGTTTTTCTGGTAAGAAATTCTCAATAGCAGCTCGGAGTTTGTAAGTTGGCGGCTTTTTTTCCCCGTGCCTCGGAATGCTCGTAATGCTGTTATTCTTCCGCCCGATCTGATCTCCGGTCGTGTCGGATTGATTTCCCATGAGACTATGAGAGTGAAGCAATAGAGAGTGTACCTACGCATACGCATACACTTGTGCACTATAATCCTATCCTGCGCATATCTCTAGTCCCGTTAAGACTGGCCTCCGTGACCGAAATTCGGTCTGGTGATTCGGTGGGGTTTTACCACGCAATTCTACTGGGGTTTGAATAAATACTAGATAGAGGGAACATATAAAATATTTTATGCCAATAAACATTAAATGGATGAGAATACGTTGGCCATTCATATTACAACTAGATACTTATCTAATAACTGAAGTACAATTGCAGAAATGCAACACTGACTCGTTTCATTTCATCCAGGTCAGGTTTCTTAATCAGCCGTAAATCCCTTAATCCTTGGTCCCGAAATTCGGTCCAACGGATTCCAGTTGGTGCCAACATTTCTGCGAAAGCATTTATATAGTCAAATCTATCCATATTACCTTCATTGTAAAGATGCCATTTGTAAATCGTTTTATTTGTAGTAAAAGAACTATATGAACGGGGGTTTTGAAATTATACTTAATCCTTTTAGGACACGAAGAGGTCATTGTTCCTGAATATCCAGAAGGTAAGTTTTAACGTTTCCTTGACTATGCTTAAATTCTTTGTCTAATTCTTTGTAAGCATCGTGCTTACAAAGAATTAGGTTAATATTGACACTAAAAGTAGTATAATGATTTTTTATATTTACGCGAACACTACACATTGTTTTTAATACGTCGGGTATTAAAAACAAACTAAATTAAGCGCGATAAAATCCGTAAAAGTACTTTTAATCATTAAAAGTAGTATTCTACATTTGACAGATTTTTATTTTGTTTCTGAATGGTTTTTGATGCATTCAGTTTTTATGAGTTTAGGGTAGGTACTTTTAGTTTCTTGGAAAATCCAACGATGTGTTCATAGTTTTATTTAAAAGTTTGGAATTATGTTTCAGAGCCAAGAATCTTGGCATCAGAAACCTTCGTCGTTACTACCACGTCCACTGCTGGTGAGTTTTTATATTTATAGAGTATACTTTATATTATTTTCCGCATGCTTATTTTAATCTTAATTTAGGGAGCTAATGCAAAACACTATTATACTATATTCACACCACATTATCCTTATTATTAGTTCACTGCTGAACAGAGGCCTGCCTCATTGATTGCCACAACGCACAGCCTTGAAACACCTGCATCCATCGACTTCCTGCAGTGTTACCAGGTCGTTACTCTATCCAGTGAGCGGCCGCCCTACATTTTTCTTGGCGAAACAACACGCTCGAGAACCTTTCCTTCCAAACGGTTGTCAGTCATCGAACCACACATATAGCCGATCTATTGGCACTTTGGATTAGTACTACATAGCACTGATCTGTTGTGATATGTCAGTTACTCTGATCGTACTGTGAATATCCTCATTACGAGGTCGTACAGAGAAAATCCGAGAATAACCCTCATCATTAAGCGACCTTATTAATGTACTTATTGTTTCTATATTCTTATATCAATATATCTAAGTTGTTTAAAAATATAATTTATAAACTCTTTGTAAATAACTGAATTGTTAAAACTAATATACATATTATTAGCCCCGGCTTTTCACGGGTGATTTCTGCATATCGACAACAGCGCCACCCACAGGGTCCAATTGTGAATAAACACTAAAACATGCAGGGCCTCAATCAAATAAAGTAAAGTAAAGTAAAGTAAAGTTACAGCCTTTATACGTCCCACTGCTGGGCACAGGCCTCCCCTCACTTCTGAGAGGGTTTTAGGGCAAGGAAGTGTCCGCCGCGCAGCCCCAGTGCGTGTTGGCGAACTCAATCAAATACAAACAATAAATTTACATAGCATTCGGACAGCAATTGATTAATAACATAATGATTTCTTACATATTTACGCGAAAACTACACATTTTAATAAAACTATTTTTTACGGATTTTATTGCGTATATTAACTTATTTTATATTCCGGACGTATAAAACATTTTTAATCTGAGGGTAGCCGTGGTTCATTATGACATTGGGACGTCGAACACCTCAGTCCCTTCCGTGACCATGGGTGCTGTAAAGTGCTCGTAACGTCGGGAATGTAAAAAAAGTTAATATACGCGATAATATCCGTAAAAAATAGTTTTATTTAAATATTTTATTAACATTGCGATATGACAGTCATTATAACTTGGGGAAACTTGTCCAGCGTTGGAATGCAACAGTCTGATGAGAATGACGATGATGAGTTTTTACATTTTATATTACAGCGACGACTCCTCTGCCGATCACCACCGGGATCTGCCCACCTGGGCAAGTGTTCTCTTCTTGTGCGTATCCCTGTGACAACCTGTGCGAACACTTCCTACAGACTCTAAGGGAGAAGGGTCAATGTTTGCCTGGGCAGGTAAGATTCCACCACCATAGTTTGTAGTTTTATATTTGTATTTATAAAAAAATGCTCAAAAATTATACTTAATGCTATAATAACCAGTATTAAGTTAGCCAATTAATCGTACACAGAGTCTGTCTTCAATACAAAGCATTGGTTCGGTCCATATAGAGTACAGTTCTCGTCACTGAGCTGAGACACCTTAGCTTTTTCCATTTGACTAATTTCAACGCAGCACGGATCGAGTCGTCAACAACTAAGTTCTTTTCAATCGTTTTGATCTACCGGCCTTGCGAACAGAAGTATATTCGTGCGAACAGAAGTATATCATATACCATGAGGAGTGCTTAGAGGAAATGTTCAGATTAATTCCAACTGCTAAATTCTAACATCGTACTTTGCGACTGAACTCGAAATTTCATCTACATCTCGACGTTTCGCTATTCACTACAGTGCGCGTTGCAAGGAATTTCCTGCCACGCGCACACCAACTCCACAATGTAGTTTACTGAAGCCGGGGGATTTTCCAGACCGATACAACTTAGGGGTCTACTCGGGTTCGCTGTTCGCGTCCCTAATTCATAGGCTTATTTTTGAACTGGTGATAGATTTTGATGAATAAGATTTAATAACGAACATATTACGATGTTAATTCTTCTTGACCTGATTAATGTTTGTATGGATCGTTTTCAGAAATGTGTGAAGGCGTGTATCGACGAGTCGGTCGCCAACATCAAGTGCGAGTTCGGCTCGAAATGGCGCGACGAGGCGACCTGCGTGCCGCTTAAAGACTGCACTTGTTATGACGAAGGACAGAGAGTCAAGGTAGCTGAGTTTCCTATTTTTCTATAAATCGAAAATCTTATTTAGCATTCGGAAATGAATGTGGTTTTTGAAATTTTAATTTTTATATAGATCATTTTTAATTTTATACAAATTACTATTTTTAAAATCTAAAAACAACAACACTATTGTAAACAATAAAGTATGGTTGCAACACGAATGAGTCTCCTCAATCGTAGAAGGGTCACGCTCTCACAGAATATAAAATAACAGCTTAATGCTGCTGTTTAGTATGGTGAGTGTAGAGAACCGGAGACCCTCTTTACTGTAAATGAGGCATTCATTTATGATAAGCAAACTTAAAATAGTACTTAGGGACATAACGCTTCTAAATCAAAGATAGATATATGTGTACATATGTTTCTATGGATCACAGTATCTTTCACTAGGTGGACTATGTGGTCATTTGTCACCTTAATCCCAAAAAATAAACTAATTATTTATTACAGCATGTCTTTTTGTCTTCAGCCTGGCGGTGTTGTTGTTCACGGCTGCGAGAAATGCCAGTGCCTGGACAACGTACTGCACTGCGACACGACAGACTGCGTGTCCATATTCACGTCCGTCGGTCCCACACACCTGCCGTACATCATTGAGCCACACTATACCTCTCCTAGTCCCACTCCCATCACTACAATCGCTCCCACCAAGCCTACCAATGCGACTGTTTCGTCCACCTGGACACCCACTCCCACCTTCAAAATACATCCTACTTCGACTTTGCCTCCCACGACAGCCTCTGTTGGAACAACCGAACGCACCACTTCCAAAGCAACGATCACAGAGGCAACTACTCATTCGCCTCTCATTATTAAATCTACTGTGACTCCGCCTCCAGAATGTAATCCAAGCAAGTAAGTAGAACGTACTGATCACTGATCTCTGGCCAAATCTGCGGCTTCTTCAGTTTTCCATCCATTCACTACATCATAAGCCTCCCCTATTGATTGGCTCATTGAGAGATTTGCCATAGTTACCACGCTTGGCAAGCGCGTTGGCAAAAACAAAACAAAACAATATATAAAGGATTGTGACAACGCTCGTGTTTTTCTTTTATTATTCTTGATTGTTGGTTAGTTTGTACTAATAACGGTGGTATTACTTTCATTCTTTCCTTTTTTTACTTAAAAAGAAAAAACAGTGTTTCCAATGTCGAAGAGGCAGCTTACATAAATTTCACAAGGGCAAACAACCAGACCCTACAATTAGACTAGAATTATTTGTAGGCCATACAAACACCTATTCCGTGCGGGAATAGAACCCGCGGCCCTCAGCGCAGCAAGTCATTGCTAAGATACTGCGCCTCATAGCCGTCATAACTAGGCGGTTTAATTTTAGAAATTTTAAAATATATAAACATGGCAGTTGTAGATATAGAACGTATTGTGAAAAATAGATAATCCCACATCAGTTAATCCCACATCAGATAATCCCAAATCATTCGGTGGGTGTCGTAAGAGGCGACAGAGGGAAAATGAACCAGGAAATAGCCAACGGCATCTTCCTGATAACAGATGAATGAAAATAACACACTACAGTTGCCAAATCGCTTGGCCAGAGCGGCAACTATGGCAAATGTCCCCTCTATGGGGCAATCTATGGCCTATGTTCAGCCGTGGGACTTTCGATGGGACGTAGTGGTAATGGTGAAAATATATTTGCTTTAGTTTCATTATAAAGGGCTTAGGAATACGTATGTATGGACAAAACGCCGTCCGAATGTCCTCTGAATATGTTCAATAATTGTTCCAGTTATAAATATCTGTTGTGGGAAGATGATCGGCTACCGAAGTCGGCGTTTTCAGCCAGCTCGGTGGCGAGCGCTTTGTTTGAGCCGCAATACGCCGAACTAAACGGACACCCTCTGGACGTTTCTGGTGGGTACTTAAATATAACGAAGACACGCACTTTATTTAAATAAACATATAGGTAAATCTATTACAATTTATAAGTGTTTTTATGAAATAAAGGCTAAAATCGGTTCTATAAAAATTAGAGTTCTTCTTGAAACTTCTACTAATTATTGATATACTGGTTCACCTTTTTTACCGCCTAAAAATAGGATGTAACATATGAACGCATTTGTAAATAAAAACAAAAAATTTTAATTAAATAATTAAAATCTATCGAAATTTAAATCATATCCACCCTAGCCTGGGACCCTGAAGGTACTATTATTTATTCTGTGCCCGAAGTGACGGGGCGAAAAATACCGACAAAATTTATTGTTTTATTGCCGTTTGTAAAGTAGGATGGATATGATTTGAATTTTGATGGATTTTAACTAATTTATTTATCTAATGGAAATTTTTTGTTGTTATCTTTTGTAAAATATCAGTGCTTCTTCGTTCACATGTGACATCCTTTTTTTTCCAGATAGTAAAAAAAGTTATCCAGTGTAAAAAAAACAATTGCAGATTTTAATTCAAATCTGGCAGAAAGACAAGCGCTGTATTTTGAATGACCTTTATCTTTAAAAAAAACTTAAAGAAGTTTAAAAAAATATTTATAATTTATATAGAATTTTCTACGTTATAATATATCTATACATATTAATAAAACTGAATTGTCTGTCTCTGTCTCGAAATAACTGGCTCCAATGAAACTCAGGGAGTTTTTTTGCATTATAAATCAATTCCAGAAAAAAGTAATAAAGGGTTTTTGATGAATTTTTCATGTACTATAAATTCTCATAAAAATGTTTGTAAGTAAACAGAGGTACGAGTAGTACATCTGACTTTATAAATTTATATAAATCTTTCAGCTGGCAGTTGGAATCCGAAGACGATGGACGCGAACCAGTACATTCAAGTGGAGTTTCCCCGGCGCGAGCCGATCTACGGAGTGATAATGCAGGGTAGCCCACTCTTCGATCAGTACGTCACCAGTTACGAGGTCATGTATGGCGACGACGGTAACGTTTTCTCTACAGTGGACGGACCTGACGGACATCCTAAGGTAAACCTTTACTCACTAATACTTTTCAAAATTAAACGTTATTACGCAAAAAGGATGTAACCCACAAAGCTTCCCTTTTTTGACATATTGTGTATATTTTTGACATGTCGTATTGCGCTTGGATCGTTATTTAAAGAAAAGGTTAGAATTACAGCCTATATACGTCCCACTGCTGGGCACAAGCCTCCTCTCATTTCTGAGAGGGTTTTAGGGCAACGAAATGCCACAGGCCTGCCCCAATGCATGTTGGCGAACTTAACATGTCTTGGATTTTTTTTTATTTCTCAGACAGGCAGGTTTCCTCACGATGTTTGCTTCATCGACCACGTGGTAAATCAGCACTTAAAATTGTAATTAACAGTTTCATTAGTGCCGGCGGGTATTGAGCCCAGGGTTGAGCGCGTTCTATGAAATTTATAGCAAGGATTTAGCCTCTGAGCTACCACGGCTCACAGGTTTTTTTCTGCGGAGTTTCTTTTGCCCTTTCTTCTCCGGTCAAAGAATTTGGAGATCAAATAACATTTGACAAACGAAATTCTAATTTCTTACGTCAAAAACATCTTTGTTGCTTCGATTTCTTCATATATTAGCATTTTATGGACTGCAACTGTTGCTGGGACCGATTTAATAGAAAAGGTCATTCATACGTCATTTATTTATCTGCGCTGAACAAGCTTGTAGTGGATAAGTGCGTGCGCACGCATGCACTCTCTATGCCCATACTCTCATAGTCCGATGGGATGTCCATAGCACGATCGGTGAAAATTCAGGCGCAGAACCAACGGCTTCACTTGCTTTCTGAGACACGGGGGCGAAATGCCGCCTAACTTCTGACTCTCTGCTACTATTGTGAGAGAGAAAAAACCCAGTTTAACTGAGTTTTTGACCCGACCTGGAATTCGAAATCGGGCCCTATGATCAGCAGTCGCACTTACAGCCACTAGAGTACAGACTACGAGGAAGTCCATTCAATCACCTAATTCATCAATTTTGTTTCGCCGCAGGTATTCCGCGGCCCAGTGGACAAAAATACACCCATAAAACAAATGATCGAGCCCCCGATAGAGGCCAAGTTCGTGCGCATCCGTCCGCTCACGTGGCACGATGAGATCGCCGTGCGCTTTGAGCTCATCGGCTGCCAGGAGCCCACCGCCACCACGCCATTACCCACTACCACTCTTACCACGGTTAGTATGTATAACGATCTGCACATTGTAAACATATAAAAATTTACTTCCTTTATGGGTATTATTTTCTTTTTTAAACCGACGCTAGGATATATTTTTTTCTAATTTTTTTTATAAATTACTCATTTATATACACCTAGACCTGAAATAATTGTTTTTAGCCCATACGTACCTACGTATACGTGGCAGAGTCACGCTGCAGCTAATATAACTGAGACTGTAACACGAATGGTCTGCTTGAACGAGGAAGGACCATCCTCTCACAAAATACAAGCGTGAAATAGAAGCTTAATGCCGCTTTGTTTCGTATGTTGAGAGTAGAAAAACGAAACCTTTTTACTGGAAACTAGGCATTCTATCATAGTCCTCAAGCGTGGCAGCACATCTGCATTTTGATTCTACATAGAGGATAAATGAAGGTTTATGGGGATAAATGATGACTTGATGAGGATGGATGTAGATATACATGTAGATATATATTCATGAGACTCATGAATTTGTTGTCCATTTTCCCAATACTCTGGTCTCGTCTCCTTACGAGTACTCGTAACTAAAAATATATTTTTAAATGAAAACACAAAAAATTATAAAAGCTAAATATAGGTACCGTGACGTTAAACTAAATTGCTTTTTTAGCCCGAGCCAATGCAATGCACGGAACCACTGGGCTTGGGAGCCGATCTGCCCATAGAGAGTATAGAGGTGTCCTCCAACAATGACGCAAGACCTTTCTTGAAATTGGACAGCGAAAAAGCCTGGAGGCCAATCTACAGCACACCTGGGGAATGGATAATGGTTAGTTAATTAAATAGTAAAATTAAAAATTTAGAATAATTAATATTCTTCTTCTATAAACTATTACTTTTATTATTATTAAAACATTTTATAAAATATTATATTCATAATTATCTAGTAGAGTTGTAAACTAAATACGGTAGTCCTAACTACTGACTGTATAAGATTGCTCTAAGTCTTCAGCGAGCTACGGAAGGGACTGTGCTCGGCGTTGTTCTACGTGACTAAATCCGTAACGAGTTTATACTTATTTTTAACTTCCCGCTAAGAAAATTGAGAATTTTCAAAAATAGGGAATTTATTGGTTTCATCCGATTTTCGAAAATCGAGTTTTCATCAGATGCCGTCCTCAGACCTCGACTGCCGAATAATCTCCTCAGAAATGAAGAGGCGTATGCTTAGCTTTAGAACCTATATAAAGGCTATTAATTTACTTTAATTATAGATAAATACAAGTACATTATATACCTGAACTACGAACATTTTAATCACGAATTAACTCTTCCTAAATTATCAACTTTGTTTATACAGTTCAACTTCATGTCACCGCGTAACATCACGGGTATAAAAACGAAGGGCGGAGTAAACGGCTGGGTGACAGCGTACAACGTGATGTACTCCTCCAACTTATCGGTGCCATTTAGTCCAGTTGTGGATGGTAGTGGCGCTAGGCAGTTATTCCCAGCAAACTTCGACAGTGACACCGTAGTGTCTGCGGAGTTCCGACCTCCCATACGTGCTCAGTATCTTAAAGTGCTGCCTATCAAATGGACTGGCAATATGGAGATGAGAGTAGAGCCTATTGGATGTTTCGAGCCTTATCGTAAGTGTTTAACTTTTTGAATTTTATTATGTCGTGGCACTATTTTTCTGCCTAGGAACCCGTCTGGGTTTCTTAATTGAATCTCATTGACCATGAGTATGTCAAACGTGTCAATGTAGCAGATTTGCTGTTTCTAGCTCAGTCACATGTTGAATTTAAGGCAGATTTTCATTATTGTTTCCATGTTTTAGTGCCTGATTCCTTGTCTCCATTAAATAGACGATATATTAGTAGCTTTTTGTTTATGTGTAACTTGCAATATTTTTCATTGAAATTTATTATTACGAGTATAATCAAACTAGTCATAGATTTTATACTTGTCATTGAAATAATTCCCAAAAGCCTTTCTATCATATTGATATTAAAGTAGCCCTATGAACTGAGGAATGCCTCAGAACCTTTTCATTTGACGAATTTTCCTTGGTATTTACCAGCTACAACTGTGGCGCCTACACTGATGCCTACAACGAATACATCTGGCTGTAAACCGTGTCCCGGAGTAAATGTGGTGGCTTGCAACTGCTCCGAGTCAGCGCACTACTTCGACGGCGATGCTTGCGTCTCTCGGGACCAATGCCCTTGCGTGGAAGGATTTATGACGTAAGCTTGTTTCAATATATCTATTTAAAATAATTACATTTTTTTTTCGTAACTAATTTATTTCGTTGCTTTATTAAAATGGAAATTGCCAGAAAAATAAGTAAAACATTCACGTTTTACCGTTTTCACACAAAATTAACTGTTGATTTTGAACATAATATGTATATATGTTAAAATAATATTTATCTTTGATCCTGTATGTATGTATTTCCTGTTTAGTGGTGACGAAAGAGAATGTGGAGATGGGTAACAGAATCTTCTTGATAACAACTTAAAATATTGAAAACTACGGTTCCCAAACGTGGCAATCATCGCAAATATTCCTATGGCAATAGATGTTCAGCAGTGAATTTTTGATTAACGGTTATGATCCAGAATGACGTCTGTATTATCGGTGTAATTTTATTTGAGTTTTAAAAATACTCTTAAAAATTATGTCCATTCAGGTATGCAGTCGGCTCGATCTTCCGCGGAACAAACTGCGACGAGTGTATGTGCAAGCTGGGTGGTATCACTGACTGCAGGCCTGTCACAGAATGCAAATGCGCACCGGTAAGTAAAAACTACATTTTGTAAAAATTTTAATGAGTACAAAGTTAACAGGTTCTTGAAAGGGGAAAATATTTTGATTCTGTTTATGTTCATGTAACAGCCCACGTATATCCTATCATCATCATTCATCATTCATTTTTGAAATTTTTGCATGCATGCAAATTGAATTATTTTAAATTTAAGATTAACAATTTCACTGGTGCCGGCGGGGATTGAACCCGGGTTACTCGCGTTCTCTTATATTTACATTCCTTATATTTGTATATCATTATAGGCTTACTAGCCTATAATGGTATATAAAGCGTAGGCACTCGCCTTGAACTATCACGGATATTCACTTCTTTATATTAAATTAATACTTTATTTCAACACAGGAGCTCGTACCAAAACTCTCGTCTTCTACCTGCGAGTGCTCATGTGAACCTTGCCCCAATGGATCTAAGATCTGTCCGAGCAGCAAGCTTTGCCTACCGTTAGAAAAATGGTGCGACGGTCTGCAAGACTGTGGTGACGACGAACGCGAGTGTAGCACCACCAGTGTTAAGACCACCGTTACTGAGCCCACTGTCGTCACCAACGTAGTCCCCACCGTTGCTGTCACGCCACCTGCTACAACTACACAGAAACGTAAGTTGATCTACAATTTGACAAACCAGTGATTAAAATAAAATTAGTTAAAACCTGTTGCTCTTCCAAATAAAGAAAAATTAAAATAAAATGGAGAAAACGTTGATTATATGCAATATAATAAATATATCTTAAAGGAATACAACTGAAAATCTTGAAGGACGTCTACTTTTGTAGGTTTTAGTAGGATTCATAGGCCAGCCGTACGTACTATAGGCCTTTATTGGAACGAACAATTGAACAGTAGTTGTAAGGAATTGGATAAAATCCCAGATCAGAAGTTGAGATCATAATTAAATCCGATAGTAAGATTGGGATCATTAAATGGACACTTATTTGGCTGACAGCTGTCGCAGGCTACATATTAACTTTGCTATTTTATTTTAAATAGATTTAATATGACGTACTTTTATGTATTAGTATTTATTTATGGCACCAAGTTTAAAAATAAATAAACCTATAATATAGTACTCTTATTGCATAAACGTAGACAAAATGTATTAAAAGCGTTTATACAAATATTGACAACAGTTAAGACAAAATATGTAAAAATTTAATCCTTAATAACTTGATCAAGCTTGTGCTTAAAAAACTTAATTATTCTTGACAATCGTCCGTTTTTATGGGGTATAGATTCCTTTTATTTTACTTTAAATCGATACCGCAACAATGTTTAGGCACTGTATGTGCAAGATGGGTGGTACAACATTTTGAATATGGCAAAGAAAAACAAGCACTATACTAAAAGATTTTTGTTTTTTTTTCCAGCTCTGGTGTGCCCCAAGGTAGAGTGCCCGCCTGGTTACTTCGTTCAATACACTTCAAAGTCCCGTCCTAGCTACTCACGGTCTTCAACTTCTGACCTACCTCCGCCAAGACCTAGATATTCCTACCAGAGGTACCAACGGGGTGGCTACGCTAAAGGCGGCTTCTCTAAGGGTGGTTACTCAAAGACCGGATACTCAAAAGGTGGATTTTCTAAAGGCGGCCGCTACGGTTGGTATTTTACTTTTCTATATCAGCTTAAAATTTTGATGAAAATAAAATATTGATAGTTTTGATGGAGCGAGTAGTGGCGATGTGAGAATATCCACTACTCTCCATATCATCTCTGGGTGTCGTAAGAAGCGACGGGGGAAGTTGAAACAGGTGATGAGCAGCAGCATGTTTCTGATAACAACTCAAACTGCGATTGACAACCCGCTTGCCAAGCGTGTCAACTATGGCAAAATCCCCCCTATAAGGTATCTATGGGGGGGGCCTATATTCAGCAGCGGACTTTTATAAGCTGTAATGAACGAATGAATGAAACTTTGATAGACATAAAAATAGTATATTATAATATACAAAGCAAAATGAAAGAGAATAATATAAGTTTACTAGTTATTGTACATCTTGTGTAAACGGAGAGTGTTGAGATTGTCTGCCGTGACCGAAATTCGGTCTGGAGGACGTTAAACGATCTTTGATTCTATTTTCTTCTCTTTATAATTACTGGATTCAAATTGAGGCGCTTTGTTTCCCGTCTCCCCGCAGGTGGTCAGAAGCCGCCGCAGCACAACCAGGCGTTCTCACTAGACAAGCCGACGGGAGCGATCTCGTCCAACGCTGTGCAGGAGTGCGAGCAGTTCCGGTGCGTGCCGCGCCTGCCACCCCCACCCCGCCCGGGCTCCACCCCCCGCACCGGTCATCTGCTCCACCCCCACTTGCCCCCCAAAATACTCACTCAAACTGGAAAGTGTGCCCAGCGAACTGAACAAGTGCCCACAGTGAGTATACCTATATTAAAAACTGACAAAAATACAAGTCAAGTCAATAAACAAAAAGTTTAGATTTGACACTTAGTGGTGGCGTTAGAAAAATGTCGTCGTATTTTACCATTGGTGTCGCAAGAGGTAACTATAGGATGTCAAAAAATCATATAAGTATATTAATATGCCGATATTTATGTTTATTTTTTTTTTTCAGTATTTTCTCACCGTTAATTTTGAAGAAATGTTAAATTAAACTGAAAATTATTGATTTTACAATACTGTTTTATAAAGTTTTAATTAATACTCCACACGATTGTTTTTCCCTCGATTTCTGCCAGCACTACTGAAACTGTTAATTGTTTCATCTAGTATGCGTGAGGGCCTATATTCAGAAGTGGACTTTGATAGACTGAACGATGATGTTGATGATGATAAATTTAAATGTTTATTTACCACGTGCTTGACGGTGAGGGAAAATATATTAGGAAAACCAACATATCTAATTATACAAATATTTCGACGACGTTTTGTTCGCTAATGCGCTATCTTCTCTCTATCAATTTACTCAAAAATGACTGCTTGGCAATGGGCCGAATGGAGGTTTTTACTTGTATTTCTTTACAGATACATTTGCGTACCTCCGCCAGAGAGGCCAGTGTACTGTAACGTCACAGGCCGTACCTTCACCACGTTCGATGGCTCCGAGTACAAGTACGACGTCTGCTTCCACATTCTAGCTAGAGAGAACCGCTTCGATGCCTGGACTGTGCTGGGTAAGATTTATACTGTTTTATAATAATAGTATTAAAAAACAGCTGACAGGTCTCGTACATGGCAACAAAAAGCAGACAATATTGTCTGCTTTTTGTAGCTACGTATAATAATTCACTTCAAGCAAAGGATTTTTGAGGTTAAGATAGAATCTCACGGACGGCAATAGTTTTATTTGTAATGCCTAGGGCATGTACAATTTTTTTTCATTTTCTAACTAAAAATTTATTACTCCAGCTTCTTCCAATCATTGAACTACTTCTGTTATTGTATCTTGAAGCTCTTTCAGCAATACGCTTTTAAGTCTATCTATACTTGAAAAGCGACGTCTCTTTAAGGTTGTTTTCGTTTAAATCACGTTTAAAGTGTTAAGGTTGGCTGAACCAACCGTATAGACTTTTAAAAAAATTCAATAAAAAGCCATGAAGTTTGGACAAGAGCACTAATATGTTAGTAAAGAATAATTATTTAGAAAAAATTACTACAACGGGTTTCGAATCCAAAATATTTAAAAGTCGTGGTATATACCTAAATCGTTAGCTTCTCTGATGGTGATTCGGGGATTATTCCTAATAATTTCTTACACTATAACTATTTCTTTATGCATCCGGGGCTCTAATTATTTACATTTCATGACCATCTTGTATACTTTTTAGGGGCTCGTTAACCCTTGTTTTACTATTCTTACAGATGCACTAAAAGCAACATTAACATCTTATAAACATTTAGATAGCTAAATTTGATTCAAATTATCTGATCTATTTTTTTCAAAAAGTAAAAATAAAAAGTAATTTTTAAATATACCGTATGTACATATTATTGAAAATACTGCCAAAATTAAAGATTCATAGATTCATGTCCGTTATTGAAAATTTGAATATTTGAATACTTAATTGGAGTCTAGTAGGTAGTCTTTTAGGTAGTGTTTATAGTATTGCTTATTGTTCTTTAAAAATACATAAATTAATCCAATGATATTTAGTTTTCTACTAATATAATTGGATCTGTACTTCTTTTTAAATTTATTTATGTACACACATCAAGACACAGAAGCAGTGTTTATAGTAAGTTCGTACAAAGGTTCTACTTATTCCATAATTTGCTGAAATATCTTCCAGTAGACCCATAAAGGTAATTATATTGAAATGGCAAACTTATTGCATACATAACTTATTTGTAAAAATTTGCTATAACCTTGGCTGACATGACAATGGAGGTACGTATAGCTTTCTTGGATCTTTCAAAGAAAGCTATACAAACCTCTATCAATCAGAGTCTATGCTTAACTTTGTCACTAAAGCCACCCACGATTCAAAATGTGATGATGAATTCTCTTGAACTGCAACCACGTGATGAAAAATTTTACAGTAAATTACAATTGTACATACAAGTACAACATAACAATTGTAATTAACAGTGCGCAAGAAGTGTGGGCCAGAAGGATGCGTGAACCAGTTGTTCGTCCATCAAGACGACCAGCTGATCCTCGTGAAACCGAACCTCATGATCGAGTACAATAACTACGAGTACACTGTGGAGCAGACCAGCAAAATTTGCTTCCAAAAGAACAGCTTCGACGTCGATCGTCTCGGCAACGGCGTGTCCATCAAATCCAGGAGATATAACTTCACGGTGCTGTACACGACCGATGGCGATATCAAAATTGGGGTGAGTTCTGAACTTCTTAGTTTACTTTAAGTGTATGATAAGCTACAAATCTTTTGTTCAATAAATGTTGCCAAAAAGGAATTCGACACATTTCTAGATGGTGGATGCTGAGGTTCATAGACACCTACATCTACTCGTAACCTAGATTAAGAATCGAAATTCAGTTGCTACCAATAAAAAAGTATCCAGTTATTTTCAATTTATACGTGGTAGAGCCACCACGCCGCAGCTATATTACGGTTGTAGCACGAATGGCCGACTCATTCGTGCTACAACCGTAATGTGCTCGACCTGGGAAGGACCACGCTCTCACAGAATACCAGCACAAAATAGCAGCTTATTACTGCTATGTTTCATATGGTGGTGTATAGACCCGGAGACCCTTTTTTACTAGGAACGAGGTATTCCATCTTAGTCCTCAGGGGTGACCACGCATCTGCGTTTTGATTTATGGAGCATAATTGTAGATGTCTATGAGCCACAACATCCACTTACCATCAGGTGGACTGTGTGCTCATTTGTCAACCTTGTTCTATAAAAGAGACCTTAAAGCAGTATTGCGCTGCTATTTCACGTAGTCCTTCCCCGGTCGAACTGACCCACTTGCGCTAAAGTTGTATTATGGCTGAACGGGAATGGGTTGAATTTCTGGTTCTCTACTACTCTACTTTTTAAATCAAAAAGTCATCATTCGTGTTTAGTTTGTCACTAGAATTGTTTATTATAGAACAAGTCTAGTGTTTTATAACGCGATGCGTTTGCCGTCATTTATTTTACCATTAGTTTGATCTCTTATTTTACCATTAGATATATTGCACGTACACATTTTAACTTTCAACATCATAAGTTTAAGTCTTTTAAATAAATAATAAATATTCACTACTGAATATAGATCTTCACCAAATACCCTCAAAACATAGTCGTAAACCATCAGCTAAAAAGGTTTAATCTTTATAAAACTGCAGTTACACACGAATTTTAGTCCACCTGATGGTAACTGTCATGTAGATGCAGCAGTCCATAGATTTTTGACATTGCCATTTGTACACAGGATTTAATTTCAGATCGCTCGCTTACTGCGATGGATTACCAAGCGTAGTTAGTTCATAGTTAAGCATAGTTACCGACAAAAATTCAAACGTTGACTTTACTTTCAGGTACTTAAAACTCACATGGGCCATGTGGACGGCTTGTGCGGTGCATATGATGGCGATGCAAGCAACGACCGACGTTTGCCTAATGGTCGTCTGGCAGCCAGCATTGATCAGTTTGGCCGATCTTGGGCTAAGCCTGGCCTCAAGCCTGACGCTTGCCAACCAAAAGTTATTCCACCTAAAGATCAGAAGAAGTGCTGGGATATGTGCGACATTCTTACGTGAGTGTTGAAATTTTTTGCCATTGGGTGCGTTTGGCAGAAAAAAGCGCTAGCAAGCGCTTACAAGCGCTGAAATAGTTTTCGGCCAGGACACGATTGCTACTTCAGTAGCGCTGACACAATCCGCCATTTTGCTTATTTAATTTGTTTGTTTTGAAGTAGAGTTTATAAGTTATTTTGTGCAATATTAGTTTTAAGTAATATAATGACATGAATAAACATATACATGTTATTGAAATTCATGATTGGTAAGTTTTTAATATGAATACTTTACAAACATATATTTAAATTAGGTTAAGTTCCCCGGTTAAAACTAACATCGTGTCCTGGAGGAAAATAGCTACTTACGATTTGACAGCGCTTACCGCTTACGATCGCCATTTTGCTTACAAGCGCTTGCTAGCGCTTTTTTCTGCCAAACGCACCCATTACTTGTTTGGTCCAAAGTACAACCACCCGGTTAAATTATCCTTATGAACATAGCATTCAGTAAAAAAAAAACTATTTATATTCGATTTCATTACTATAACTACTAAATAATTTATATCTATACGTCCTACGACCACTACTAGAAATACGAGTAGGCTTTATCGAAAATTCGTTAAGTGGCATGCATTATTTGGAAACTTTGCTTTCTTATATTAAGCGAATTCGAAACTTTGAATAAATAAAATTTTTATAATTTTAACTTGCCAAATTGGGATTAATTTTAAATTTCTGACATTTCAAGCAATGGCTACAAAAATTCTCAGGCGTTTACGGTCCTTATACTATATAGAACGAGCTATCTTCAATTCAGTTCACTTTACATGTGGTAGAGCCTGCTGCAGCTGTATTAGTCGATGAAATGAAAAATGAGTCGGTTCGACCGAGGAACGACAACGCTCTCACAGAATAATTAATATATTAGTGTAGAGAACCAGATACCCTTTTTACAAGATACAAGGCATTCCATCTTAGTTCTCAGGGGCGACAACGCATCTGCATTATAATCCTGATCGAAGGTAAATGTAGATGTCTGTGGGCCACAGCATCCACTCACCATCAAGTGGATGTTATGACCCACAGACATCTACATAGTGTGTGCTCGTTGGTCACGCTTATTCTATTTTATAAAAGTTATCGATTTTTTTACTTCAAACTCTTATTATTGCTTATTTGAGATGTTTTGCTACACAGGAAGGAACCTATTTCTCAATGTGGCAAGGTTCTCAACTTAGATAAGTGGCGTAGTATTTGCCTGGAGAAAATATGCGAGTGTGCTGAGCAAGTAGTGAACGGCACTAAGAGGACTGCGGAAGAATGCAGATGTATGCTGGTTGAACAACTGGTTGCCGAGTGTTTGGCCGCGGACAAAGATATCGACATCGAAAGTTGGAGGATGCAAATGGATTGCCGTGAGTTATATATTGAAGATATCATTTATAACTAGTGCTCTACTTACTTTCTATTGCTTTTAGAACGCAGATATCTAATATATAAAATATTAAATAATTGGAAAATTAAACATTTGAAATTACACAAAATTTAAGTTAACATTCTTAATTGCAATTCTACGGCGACAGAATCTACTATGAGCGAATGTTTGACAACAACCTGTATGTACCTATTCTTAGACATTGGCAGTATGAACGTCAACAAAGGATCAAATAAATATATTTTTACATTAGCAGTATGAATCTAACCAATGTATATATAATAATTTATTTTATTTAAGGTTTTTGTATAATATACGTTTATTAATCTCATATCTTTCTTTATATTAATACGTGAAGGGAAAACTTTGTACTCATTTTTAAACATGGTTGGTGTGAGATAATCTCACACGGAACACACCATGTATGTATATGTACCAATAGCAATCACACCATGCGCGCAAATAGTTTAAAAATGAGTACAAAGTTTTCCCTTTACGTATTAATATATAGAAAGATTCATACCTCCATTTGAATTTTCTAAATTTATTTTAGAATTTTATCTTTGCAATTTTCGTTACTTTGATTTATTATGTTATTTTAGTGTTCAAATTTGACAATATCCTCAATAAAATGTGAATTAAAGTTATTAAAGAAAAATGTCTCATCGAGCTTTGCAAATCATAATTTACACCGAATATAAAACTGATATTTCATTTAAAAATATTACATAAGAACTAGGTTTTTTAGTAAAAATAGTTATTATATAATTTTTATGACTATTATTAGTTATTATTCGAAAAATAAATATAGATATAAAACTATGTTTGCCAATGACGAATCTAAATCCCATAGACAGGTGGCAGTGGGCTGGCAGTATTTCCACTGGTGCTAGCGTCAAAAAATGTGTACCTTATGTCGCATTATTAAAAAGCATATGCCCAGCAGTATACTTAAAATAGATTAAACGATGTAATGTCTTGTGATGTTCATTTAATGATTAATTGTTATATCCGGCTCGAAGGACCAAAATGCATAGTGCATAATTTATCTATTAATTGAAAATTTGGCGTGCATAGCGGCGGAATGCCCACCACCACTGGTGCACTACGACTGCTACCGACGCCGCTGCGAGCCCACGTGTGGGGCGGCAGGCACCCTAAGCCGCGGCTGTCCGCTTGAGGACGGGCTGTGCTTCCCCGGCTGCTACTGCCCCGAGGGCCGCTTGCGCAAGGGTGACCAGTGCGTTGCGCCCACAGACTGCCTTGACTGTGAGTACACTCTTCTCTCGTAACGGATATACAATTTTGTACCACGTACACGACCACTTTGGGAATGACAATGTTTCCGGATCGAAGCTGTACATAGCCATACATCTTCAAGAATAGATCCTGCTCCTTTTAAAAGGACCGTAATGCGTCTACAGTTCTTTGTTACTCATTTTACTCACTCTATGTTACCCAAGGTTAGTTGGTAGTAGAATGACATATAGCATTAAGCTCGTGTTTTGTGTAATATCTTCGGTGCAATAAAGAATAAAATAAATAAATAAATTAATCTAGACCACCTTTCATCATGTGTGCTGTATACTCGAGAACTCCAAAAGCAAGCATATTTTCACTGATTTTGAAAACAGCATAAATGATTCTTATATTGTGCAAAAACTGCGCTGAGGAGAGTCTTTACGATATTTCTGAAGAATTTAAATTGATATCAATATATTATATAGCATCTAAACGTTGCCAAGTAGTAATTTACTAATTTAGTAATTTACAGCAATAGATTAAGAAAGGTTGTTAAAGAAGTTACTTCATTAGTTTTTTTTTAAATTAGCACTTGTCAGTTACCTATTGTGTTAGCAATTAGTCATTTATCTATTTTGTTATTATATTAGGCATGTATAGGGGGACAACACGCTATCGAGCAGGATTAGCTGCCAAGATAATATTGTTGAACGTAACCAGTCTCAACTGATTTAACTGTTCCGATGACTTTTTATTTCGCAATGTGTAGTTCAGGATGCTTCCTGGCAGGAAATCTATAACGTAATCTTTCAATTAGTCACTTACACACATATTTTGTTAGGGCATACAATTAAATGAGATTATTCTAAAAATAACCTTTTCATATAAAGGTGCATGTCATGGCGTGGGTACTCCCGCGAAATATGTGACATTTGAAGGCGACGATCTGCCGTTCCTCGGAAACTGTACCTATCTTGCCTCAAGGGATAGAAACGACACAGGACAGCATAAATATCAGGTGAGAAAATAAAATAAAAATGTTAATAATGCAACAAGGAGTACAAATAAAGTTAAATTTTACCTTATTAATTTCAGGTTTACGCGACAAATGGACCATGCAAAGAAAATAGTGACGTTGTGTGCACACGAACAGTTCATCTGATATATGAGAAGAATGTCATCCGCATCACTAAGGAGCCGGTCACGAATTTGGTAAGCGCTTTCGTGTAATATTTTATAATATTTCTTTTTAACATGTTAATTGATATATAACTAATAATAAAATATTAATTCAGATTCAAACAATGGTAAACGAGGAGCCGGTATTCAAATACCCAAAGAAGAATGATTGGATGGAAATAACTAGAGCCAACGGTCAAGACGTAACAGTGAAGTTGCCGGACATACATGTAGAGGTTTGTTTAATATATTTTTATTCCAACTTCATTAAAAAACCTTTAAGTATATGTACCGTGTGCTATATAGTGTTTATACTGTGGTGCACGAGATTTTATTTACTATCTTGCTCATTTATAGAAAGATTAAAATAAAAAAGACTATTTTACTTATAGAAACGTAAGCAATGATTGGTTATAAAACGGGCTAATGAGCCGGATGAATTGCAGCGATATAACGTCTCTAGATATATGTTATAATTATTGTTCATTTATACATAACTTATTCATTGTCTGATTACTATTCCATTTTTAAATTCACAGCGTTTGTCATGAGGTGACGGCGTAATAAACCAATTAAGCCATCCCATGTGTATCTTAAAAGTCGACTGTAGGAAAAGCTAAAAGTCCTCATTTTTATAGAATAAGAGTGACAAACGAGCACACAGTCCACTTGATGATGAGTGGATGCTGTGGCCCATAGACATTTATCCTCGATTATGAATCAAAACGAAGATTCGTTGTCACTCCTGAGAACTAAGATGAAATGTCTCAATTCCGGTAAAAAAGGGTCTTCGGATCTCTAAACTCATCATATGAAACACAGCAGTAATAAGCTGCTATTTCACGCTGGTATTCTGTGAAAGCGTGGTCCTTCCCCGGTCGAGTCGACCCATTCGTGCTACAACCATAATATAGCTACAGCATGGCTCTACCACGTATTAACCACGTAACTATCATGGCAAGTCTGATCGACAACGAAGAGTCAAAGTTAAAATTAAAGTAAAAACCAGTAGTAACGTAGTCTAGTAGTAATTTTTTATAGGATAGGGTGACAAACGAGCACACAGTCCACCTGATGGTAAGTGGTTGTTGTGGCCCATAGACATCTACTTCAATAATCGATTACGAATCAAAATGCAGATGCGTTGTCACACGTGAGGACCAAGATGGAATGCCTCGTTTTCAGTAAAAAGGTCACCGGTTCTCTACACTCACCATACGAAACACAGCAGCATTGAGCTACTATTTTACGCTAGTATTTTGTGAGAGCGCGGTGCTTCCCCGGTTGAGCCGGCCCATTCGTGCTACAACTATACTACTAATATAACTGCAGCATAGCTCTACCACGTATAGCATGTAGTAATGCAGTCACTTATCCATCTATTAGGCTTGGCGACTGCGGCAAATCTTGCTTACAGTGGAAGAGAGCTATAAGGAGTTAATTAAACCTTAGATTAATACACGTAAAGTGATGGTGTAAGAATATCCACGACCCTAAATCGCCCCGTGAGTGTCATAAGAGGTGACAGCGACGTTTTCCTAATAAGAAAAAAAAAACTAAGTTTAACAACTATGATAGACGAAGCCGTGGTAGCTCAGTGGTTAACGCTCGCTGTAAATCTAACAGAACGCGAGTAACCCGGGTTCGATCCCCGCCGGCACCAATGAAATTGTTAATTGCAATTTTAAGTGCTGATTTACCACGTACTCGGTGGTGAAGGAAAACATCGTGAGGAAACCTGCATGTCTGAAAAATAAGAAAAAAAAATATTTTGAAGACATGTGAAGTTCGTCAACACGCATTTGGGCAGCGCGGCGGACACTTCCTTGCCCTAAACCCTCTCAGAAATGAGGGGAGGCCTGAGCCCAGCAGTGGGACGTATATAGGCTGTAACTTTACTTTTATAGACGAACTAACCTGTATTCAGCATACTTAAGCAACCTCTTGATACTCATTCTTATTCTGTTATTAATTGAAGTTCGATATCGAAGGCTCTATTTTTAATACTAAAACTGTTTACTTTAAATAGTTGGTAGTTATGCGAGCTAAGATGGAATTTGCCGTACGAGTGCCGTCGTTCCTGTACGCGAACCAGACGGAAGGACTTTGCGGGGTATGCATGGGCTATCAGGAGCAGCTTTTCACGAGCAATGGCACCGCTACTGACGACTTTGAATTGGTATGAACAATTTATATTTAGTTTCAGATATAGTTTTGTTTACTGAGAATACTATTGAAAAGGACGAGGGTAGTGGTAGAGCAAGTGGTAGAGCTAATGGACTGTAAGATTAAACTATCTGATACTAACTAACTACGGACGGTTCTATTGAAATGATGGTACGAAATAAAGTAACAATTTATTTGATCTATTATGGCAGGTGCAAACTTGCTATTTGATTCTTGAGAAAAAAAATTAGGTAGCAATGTAAGTCAATTCAAATTATGTAAATCTTTATATATAAAAATTACGTGTCACATTGTTTGTCCGCGATGAACTCCTAAACTATTGAACTGATTTCAATGACATTTTGTACACTGTGTGCCGTTCGATCCAACTTGAGAGATACGATCGTTTTTATCCCAATAAGTGAACTTCAATATTTTTAAAAGACAAAGGACTGTGAGAGATTTTAGACGATTACAATAAATAATAACATGATCATACTTTCGAAGCCTTTATAAAATAAATATAGATCGGAGGCAAATTTGACAGGCTTATCTTAGACAACATTCTCGAACTACCCACAACCATTGCTTGACATTTTTAGGGTGGGCAGAGACACCAAAGCCTTGTTTCAACCGTTCTAAAACAGCTCTATAATGTAATTTGGTCACAAAACTAGACAACTATCACTTGACATCAAGTTGAGAGATGACGCTTAACTATAATGGCCTATCCGTTGAATTAATGTTTAAAAACTATTCTTAAAAACAGTGTAACTTTTCTTTGAATAAAAATAAGGTGTAAGTTTTATTATATATTTTTTGTTCTTTAATGTCGATTTTTCTGCGGTATTTAGCCCGATTCTATAAAGTTTAAAAGCTTACTTATAAACGTTAATATGTTTGTATGTAACAATAAAAATGTATGTAATGGTAAATGGTGATGTAGCCGAAGATAGTAAAACCAAGACTTAGCTTCACATGACTTGAAAAAAAAGGCTCCCACAATATAATCGTATGGAAGCACAGATGCTGGTAAATTATTCCACTTACTTGCTGTACGCAAGCGAAGCACGAAGCAGATCGTTAACTTCAAATGCGGGGTATGTCGACTACAAAGAGGTGATTGATGGTCCGATGATGAAAAAGAGGTGAGGAATTAAGTCATGCAATTCCTGCACACACTCTCCGAAACGTATCCTATAAAACACCGAACGGCTGACGACTACTTTGCACTTGTGCTGGAGACTGGTAAGATTGGTTCTAACCATATTGATGTCACCAATAAGCCCCTTAGCACGACTCACCATTGAATTTAAAGCTTGGTGGGATTTCGGAACACCATCCCATATATGCACGACCTGACTTGCCCTTTATGTAGTGTACCTATAAACAACTGACGTTAAGTATTGCTGTCCCATGGAAACCTAACTTCCTTACAGCTGTTTTGTCCCGGACTCAATGAACAGCGCAAAATTCACATTCGAAGAAACCTTAGCAACTGAAAGCGGTTGGTGCATACCAACGATTTAATTCGAAAAAAGGAGCCAATGTGGGCTGGATTTTTTGCCGTAAAGAGACATGCTTGTGTTTTGGAGGCCTAGAATCTCATGAGTTTGACATCGCCACAGGCCAGTGCAGTATAACTGCCTGCGTTGCACTGCACCGATATGTGGTTTCATACCCTCTCCTTCATTCTATGGCAAATACGATTATGTGCATAAAGTTGTCTGGACGAAATTGCTTTTAGAGCGATATGACCACCTATTGTACATATTGTTGCGCGCCATAATTAATGCCACTAGCGCCTTCTAGTATCGAGAAGTAGAACTAGGAGAGCTTTTTAGAAAATTCCATATTAGAACTTTCAACACTTAGTCAGTCGGGACCAGTATGTGTTCGAACATTCTAGATGTTTCAGTGGAAGAGGCCCTATATAAGGCCAGTTGGGACCGTGACCGGGTCAGTATTGAATTGGCGATATGAGCGAATACTTCGAAGCGATTTAACTGCGAATTAAAGTGATCAGTGTGATTAATTATTAGGGTGTTTTAAGTTGTAATTGGTGTTTCGTAATTAAAGTGTCAATTTTAGTTATTCAATAGGCAGTTTTTATTGTCACGAACCCGAAGTTCGTAACAATATTTTATGTGTCTAAAATACATTAATAGGTTATTTCAAAAAATGTGCAAGAGTGGATGTTGAAACAGCTTCACCGCAGAATATTTCGATTATTCTAGACCACAATGTCAACCACGACAGACAACAATACCTGCGAACTTCAACTTCAAAACAGTGGAGTTTTCGAGTTCTACCCACACTTTTATATTATATTGTCTTTTATTATTTCCAACATATTATATATTAATTATTGTTCAATAAAAAATATATTGATTGATTGATTAACTATATGTCGGCAGTACGGTAAAAGTTGGCAAGCGGACGTGGATACTCTTACGAAGTTGGCAGAACCGCAATTGCAGCAGTGTGGCGAGCCTCCCGTCGAGCCGACCTGTGCGCCGCCCGCCCCAGAAAACAATCCCTGCCTCGTGCTGAACGACCCGAACAAGTTCGGACCGGTAAGTATCCATTCAACTACACAATAGCTTCAGACGTGGTCCTGCACAGTTGACCGTACGAAGAATCTCAAAGTCACTACGAACTTTAAAAAATACTGGAAATTCTTAACGATCCTAAAATTAATGCTACTGGCAATTACTAATATTCCACTTTAAGTAAGCTGGTGTTAGGAGTTGATGTGTTAGGATGTTGAGACGATAATAGTCAAATGGCGAATTTGAACTCATGACTTTTAAAAATTCGCGTGTACACAAATAATTTATCGTAATGATAATGAAGGAGAGTCAAAAGTCACACATCTTCGCGTTTTCTATCTGCTTTAAAGTAGTAAATTAGTCCATTAAGTTAATCTTAATTAATATACAACAACCTTAGGACGTATATTAATTATTGTAACTGTACTTTTTGTTTATTGAAATATCTTTCAATTTGGCTTCAGTGCCATGCGCTGGTGGAACCACAACTGTATGTGGAAATCTGCGAGGAGGACCTGTGCGCGTTCAACATCTCGGACGTGTGCGAGTTGCTGGAGCAGTACGCAGCTGAGTGCCGGCGCCAAGGCGTCTGCCTGCAATGGCGCGACGGCCTCTGCCCGTACCCCTGGTGAGTTGAAGCTGCTACACACTTCCACACAACGTACAATACGTGTGCCTACGCAGGCCCTACGGCTTCCGCCCCTACGCCTGGTGACCTATTCATAGAATAGATATGATATGTGTGATGTTAAGTGGATTCTACATCTATCCTCGGTTAAGAATTAAAATGTAGTTGCATTGTCACCCGTGAGGAGGAGAATGCCTCGTTTCCATTGATTGACATTGATTTATTATAAACACTCCGACTATGCTTAAAATTGTTATACTTAAAATAGAATTAGTGTTGCCAACTAGTTTTTTCGGAGTGTGTCATAAGGCCACGGACTCTACTCTTACTTTCTCTCTTTGAATCACTGCTAAATGATGTTGGAATTTTTCTTTCGTGTGAAGTTGGAGACACTAAGTTTGGAGACAACACGGGGGGCACTGGATATTCTAGAGGGGTCGCGCCTCCCTAAACCTTTAGCTTTATGCTTCTGTGGTTTATGATTCTTCTTTTTGTTTGCAGTGAAAGTCCACTAGTGTACAGAGACTGCGTCGACTGCGAGAGAACTTGTGAAAACTATGACGAACTCGAGAAGAACCCTGCGAAATGCGATAAACTACCAGTCGAAGGTTGCTACTGCCCTGAAGGCAAGGTAAGTTCATAGGACAAGGACAAATTACACTTCAACAAAAATACGACAAAATGTTGTTACTTTGCGCAAATTTAATTTACGTAGTTTACGAGTAGTAGATGATTTTACTAAATCATTAGTAGGTACTAGGTAGTTTTATTGATGGTTGAGTATTATAAATAAATATTAAACTTTAAACTAAATTCATAGGTACTTTACGGCTGTGGAATTCGTTGTAAATGCGACTGGGCACAGGTTCAATCAGATTTTTATGACATATATGTGTTAAGTAACTTGTATTCCACAATTGAAACTTCTCCCGTATCATGTAGGCGTTTTATATGTCATATACTGCATAAAAATATAACATTTTTAAACATGAATTATTAGAGCTCGCTCTGTAAATAAAAATTAAATAACGTATATATATTTTTGTAGGTTCGAGTCAACAACACGTGCATAGAGCCGACTAAATGCTTCCCCTGTGACGCTAACAAGGAACATTACGCTGGTGACGAATGGCAAGTAAGTACAAGATAGAGATTTTTTTATAGATAGAGTCTGCTAATTTTTACTATAATTTTATTTCATTAACGATTGCAACTCTCCTGAGAATTAGAGACGATGTTTATAAAATTTGCTACGATGCTTACTTTTTTCTAAGTTCCCTTGAAATTTTATAATACATACAAACTGCACGATTTCATTGATTAAAGTGGAAATAACTTGGAAAAAACTTCGGCTGTTGTTTGATGCATATGTATATGGTGCAGTGGGAACATTACATTATAGTATTAGCAGTGGGAACAGGCCATTATGAGTTTCAATAGACACTAAACGATGTTATGAACATTTCTAATTCACGAACAGACCAGCACCGTTCACATACATAATTAAATGGTAGATGATTACGACACGTTCGCTCCACGTGGCCAGGATGCTGTGGGTAATATACCGATTCTTAAAACAATCTTCAAATTAGAATATTCATTAGGAATTGCCTTAAAACGCTTGAATTGGCGAATATTGAACCTTGTGACAATACTTACCCAAGTTACAATTTCTTAGTTTTCGTGTTTATGATTTTATATCACCACACATTTTAATTGGATTGCAAAAAAATGTAATCCATCATGTAGTCCCTGGAATCCATCTGGGTTGGACTGACCTACATATTCCGATAAACAGCAGAGCATGCACTACTTTATTCCGGTGAAGTACCTATCTTCTTTATTTAAAGTCGGATGCAGGTGTCAATGGGTGCTAGGTGCTTATTGTAAAGTGTACCTTCGGTTTGTTCATTAACTCAACGTGTGAGAGAAATGTTTTGATTAAAATCCGTTCTCTGATTTCGTAGGAAGACGCGTGCACAAAATGCACATGTAGCAAATTGCCGGACTCCAACGAAGCGCACGTGTCGTGCGTGAAGAACACGTGCACCGTGCCTGTGTGCCATGAAGACGAGAACCTCGTCACCAAGCCCGCGAAACCTGGCGAATGTTGTCCCGAGTATTTGTGCGGTATGGAAATAATCTTATTTTTTTATACTAAACAAAAAGCTTTAACAATAAAAAAACTAAAGTTATCATAATATAGCCCTACTCCTCTCGAGAAACAGTGCTAAGAACGCTGACGCTGTTCGTTTCCTTGTTGTAAGGCTGAACTAAGCATTGAGGGTGTAATTTATTTAAGACCGTAGTCGCACGTGGACCGCGCTGTCTAGTTGTATCTAGAAACCAAAGGGCACAATAATAAAGTCATTTAGAGACGCATATTTGCAACATTTATTATTTTCAATGGCTTTTAACAGTGGCATAGCTAAACGTGGGCGAAACGGCCCCTCTCATGGTCGATGTTTTTAGTTTCTCAGACATGCAAGTTTCTTCACGATTTTTTCTTCACCGCCGAGGACGCTATAAGTCAGCACATTTAATAATTAACAATTTTATTCCGCGATCGTCATTTCCCCTGGCAAACATGACACCTGAGGCAAATCCATGCTACTGCGACAGGCCCATGATCACAACAAAGCTTTCAAAAAGAAGAAGTAGAATTTAATTGGTGCCAGCGGGTGTCGAACTCTTTTTGCTTTCGTCTTTCCTATCTAATAATATGACGAGTGCACATCCCCTGATCTACCAAGGTTTTTTATTACCGTAAGTAGCGTAATTAATAAAAGCACTTATTTCGCAGTACCCAAGCCACAGGAGAAGTACTGCGAGGAACCGAAAAAAATGGAGTGTGGATACGGACAAGTTCTTAAACAGAAGAATACCCCGAACGGCTGCAAAGAGTTCTCATGCGGTAAGAATCTAGAGATGTATTGAATGTTATAATAGTTAATATGGTTAATTTATTAATAGTATACATTTTTCTTGTCCTACCCTCTCTAACTATTCGTATTTATTAAGTGTAACAATAGCTTTTAATCTAAAGCAAGCAATATGTATTTTTCTTTTTCTTTTCTTGTATCTATTTTTTAGTTTTCTCCAGTAGGATTGTCTTTTGTATCGAGAGTGTTTACATAAATAAATCGCAAAATAAAAACATTTTCAATCTTCAAAACCGTTGTTCCGTACAGGATTCGAACCCATGAGTCTCAGCGCCGTAACTCAGTGTTAACAGCGCCTTGGAGAAAATACAAGAGGTATTTTCTTAAAACGTGACCACGGAGCAGCTACGAGTATAAGCCCATTCAGTCCCATTGCTGCCGCAACCAACATTTTCAACATTACAAAACAATTTTTTTATTTTTGTGATGTGTACAGTTCCAGTGAATAAAGGTCTTTCTCTCTTTCTTTCAACAGCTATAAGAAATGCCAGAAAGAGTTCAGGGTTTCTTATGGTAATAACTCTTTACGTCTATTGGTAAAATATTGGGCGTAAAAGAAAACCATAAAAAACGCTAAATTAACATTGAATAAGCGAACAGCGGGTGGACGGCCCCATGGCGTAGTGGCTTAGCAATGAGTTGCAGCGCTAAGTTCGTTCCGCGTTCGAATCCCGCATGGAACAAGTATTTTTACGGCCTGCAAATAATAATTGTTCTGGATCTAGATGTACGTCCTTGTGAAATTTATGTGTGTAAACTGCCCCCACGATACATTACAAAATCCTAGTTTGCAGGTAACGTTAGCTTTCTATTTATTTATAAATCCTACCAACAACCCGAGAGGGCCGTGTCTAGCAGAGTACTTGTAGAGCCTGTTAAATACTTTATACATTACTTTATGGTAACTCTGAAAACTTTTTGCACAGAGTGCAAGCCAGCAAGCGAATGCGAGAAGATACCTCCCGATAGCGAAGTGGAAATAATGGAACCGGGCATGGAACGCATCGTGGACCACAGCGGATGCTGCCCACGAGTTCAGCTCGCGTGCAGAACCGACAAGTGTCCCCAGCCGCCAGATTGTCCACAATTCGAAACTTTGCAAACGATTAACGCAACCGGAAAGTGCTGTCCGGAGTATAAATGTAGTAAGTATTTCGCGCTATTTATTTTACTCTACGTATTTATTAAATACGTACAGGCTTTTTATAATAAAATAAAATAACTTTTTATTCAATATAAAGGTTAGGAAAAAAACCTCTGTCCTAGGAGGAACCAGCAAGAAACCAAGCGGGACTTTTAAAAATAAACGTAAATTATACAATATGAAAGGTTGCAGAAACTGTTCATAAAATTTATTTTAAAAACAGCTTGGAAGCGACCACTTCATTACCAGGGGTTTTTATCAACCATGCATTTATTTATATTGATAATAAGCCTTTTTATACAGTTTTTGTTTAACAAATTATTTAAACTTAGTACATAATAGAGACCTAGTATACTTTCTGGGACTTTGTTGTAATAGCGTATACATTTCCCCTTCAATGAATTACTGACTCTATGGAGTCGAGAAACTGGTATCACTAGCTTGTGTTTGTTCCTACTGTTTTGCAGGGTGTAAATCACTTTTTTTCACTAAAAAATTCTTTTGCTTTTGTTAACATACACTAAATTTTCGTAAATATTCAGAGAGACAAAAGTTAATATATTTATTCCTTTAAATTTTTCTCTGACTGACTGTTTTAAGTTTGTAAATAGCTCTTATGGCTGGCATAGTTTCTAAATCTGCCGCATTTCCAAAAAGCAAAATCCCAAAATAACTGAAATAAACTAATACATTTAGTTTTATTACCGTTTAAATGTAATTAACGTTAAGCCAATGCACTAATTTTGTCACATTTAAATGATTGACTTATAAGATTACAAATCAAGGAATCATATAATACTATATCATGATTATCCCCTACAACGGAAGGTAAGACATTAATATAGACTAGAAATAGGAATGGTCCAAGAATTGAGCCTTGATGGACACCCTTAATATTTATATTATATTATTGAACATTGATAATAACTTTCTGCGTTCTATCACTTAAAATATGAAATAATAAGTTTAAACGCTATGGCATTGATACTTTTGAAACGGTGCGGTGGTATATTTTTTGGCATAAATAAATGAATCATCATTCATCATCATCATTACGCCCTCACAATCCACCTAATAGGCCTCCCCCAGCCCTCCCCCCGGCTATGATCATAACGCAGAAACTGTTAAAAAGACATATTTTAAGTTCTGTTAATAAGGAGTCCATACCATGTCAGAGAATACTACAAAATGGTTTACAATATTTCAGAGTTACCAAAGGACAAGTGTATTGCAACTCTGGAGTGGGAGGCGGCGCCAAGGGGTGGAGAGAAAGCCCGCGATACACCGCAAATTGTCTTAAAGGACGTAAGTATATTAAGGATAACATAATTGTAATAATATTTTATTTAAGACCGACAACAGATGGGAAAGAAAGGATCTCGAGTGCCTGCCTGAGCCTGATACCGCTAGCCGAAGTGTAGGGCGTCCCCCCACTAATGGAGTGACGACATGGTAAGACATACAGAAAGTCGATGGATGCAGGTGACTCATAACCGTGTTTTGTGGCATCCCTTGATGAGGTCTATGTTCATGTGAAGACATGTGAAGGGCTGTAATGATGATGATCATATTAACCGGAGGACTATATTACCCCCACTAATGCTTGTACTTACCGTGTAGTAGCGGTGTAAAAATATTCACTACGCCATGTCATCCTGTGGGTGTCGTAAGATGCGACAGAGTGAAACAAATCAGGAGATGGACAGTAGCATCTTCCTAATAACGACTAACAATAAAAAAACCACGGTTGCCAACCCGCTAGCCAATCATGGCAACTATGGCAAATATCCCCCCTATGAGGCAATCTATGGGGGAGATCTATGTTATAGTAATTTGTAAATAATGATACGCAGTTGTAGTATTTGAAAATTCGAGCAGAGCTGAACACACATTTGTCAGCACCGTACGTACGCGCCGTACGCGTCGCATTTTATAATTCTTTGTATGTAATTATATGAAATCTCGGACATTACAGCCGCACCGTACGTGCTGCATGCTGATGACGTCATATAATGTGGCGCGTTCGGCACGTGCTGATACTCAGTGTTGTCTAATGTTGCCAACTTTGTGAATTTTCTTCTTTTAAGCATTTATCTTTACTGTGTAGGCAACAATGAGTCGTCACACAAGACTTTTTATAACTTTTAAATAATACGTAATTAATTTTTTCAAATTATCAATATGAATACTTAGCGACAAAATAATTTAAATACAACAAAAAATTGATACTTAATTTTAATTCAAAAACTCATTTGTACTTGATTACTAGTCTTTCCTCTGGTTCAATTAGAGTTCTAAATCTTTAGTTTTCCATAGAGAGATATGGTTTTAGTATATGTAGCAATTCTTGAAATTTCTTCTATATTAATGATATACCTAATCTGAAAAATCGTTTATAATCATCTGATAAATCTTTGAATAAAGTATAATATTTTTAAAATTAATATCATAAATCCAGTCTTCTTTTTCTTCCAATTTTATTTTCTTCTTGCTCTGCCAAAAAGCAGGCTATTACAACTTTTTTTCCCATAGCGATTCGAGCGATCAATGTCACTGTACCGTTTCTTTTTTTTATAGAATAAGGATGACAAACGAGCACATAGCCTATGTGATGGTGTACAAGTGGACGCTGTGGCCCATAGACATCTACATTTATCCTCGATTAAGAATCAAAACGCGGATGCGTTGTCACCGTTGAGGACTAAGATGGAACGCATAGATCCCAGTAAAAACGGTCAGATCTCTACACTCACCAATACGAAACACAGCAGCATTAAGCTGCTATTTTACGCTGGTATTCTGTGAGAACGTGGTCCTTCCCCGGTCGAGCCGACCCATTCGTGCTACAACCATAATATAGCTGCAGCGTGGCTCTACTACGTATATATTCACACCACACTGGTTTCACGCCAGTGGTTGGAAAAAACCATAAAAGTTGTTGGCAATACAAAATAATTGCGTACGGAGCGTACGTGCAAATGTGCGAGGCCATCCGAAAATGCGGCGCGTACGGCGCGGACAAATGTGCGTGCAGCTTAAATAAGGCTTCTACATTTATTTGAAATTATCCCAAATTGAATGTGATTTATGGGCAACAACGTTTTTGCCTACCGATTGACTCTTATGAATGTGTGAGTGAGTAGTAAATTCAGTTAAAATAATCCATTACGCACTTTGAATATAAAAGATAAAAAGGACAGAATGTTTGAAATTTTTTAAATTAATTTTACGTCAACACAATAGTATTGCGAAATAATATTCAATATCTGTATATTGTGATGAACAGTTGGATTCGGTGTGGCTGGACGGGCCGTGCCGGTCGTGCCGCTGCGGCGCTGGCGGCGCTGTGCAGTGCGGCGTGTCGGAGTGTGCAGCGCTGCCGCTCAGCGAGCAGTTCGTGCTGGAGCCGCGCCCCGTGCCCTACCAGTGCTGCCCACAGCCCGCGCAAGTCGCCTGTCGCGACCAGAACAACATCTACAAGGTACTGTAGCGGTGTAATTGCTGATCATGAGGTCCCCGCTCGGGCCATAAATCAGTTATTGGGTTTTCTGTCAAGAAATTATCAGTAACAATCCAGAGTCATGAAGTTGGCTGTGTTTCACCGTCGTGCCTCGGAAAGCACGTAAAGCCGTTAGTCCTGCGCCAGATTTCTCTCTGGTCATGTTGCATTACTGTCCCATCAGACTATGAGAGTGAGGAAATAAAGTGCATCTATGCTTGCTTATACATTTGGGTACTATAATTCTGTTCAGCGCGGATGGGTAGTCAGATTGGCCACCGTGTCCGAAATTCTATCTGGAAGATATTGTGCTTAAAAGTGGTAAACTTAAAGGTGGTCCTTTATTATTTTGGAGAAAAAATTTCACCCCTAAGAGTGCCAAAAGTGGGGTTTCAATCCTTCTATATACTGTGGTTTATCTTAGTTCTTTGAAGTCAGCTATTACTTTTTAAAAAAACGCGGCTTCGTTCGCGTGGGCTTGAATAAACATCGATAATACTATTTCGTACTAAAATTAGCAAAACTGGATCACTTGTAGAGCCACGTCGGTATCTGTCTATATTGGCTACAGAAACGCATAAGTTAGTTTATTAGAACTAGTACCTAGAGGGCACACAGGTCACAGCGAGTTTTAGATCAAAAAGGAGTTGATTAAGTTGAATTCAACGCTGGATGATCTACTTCACATACCTATACCTAAAAATGATTTCTGAAATATTTTTTGATATCTCAGATATGCAGATTTCCTGCGATGTTTTTCTTCACCACCGTGAAACGTGGTAAATCGAAACTTCAAATTGCAGTTTAAATATGAGTGGTGTTGGTTACGTACCACCTATGAAATTTACGTTTAGATCGGTTTGATTACAAGCTTATACAGAAGACTTTCAAGATTTCTATCAGTGCAGTTCTACCCATAGAAAGAAATCTGTGTTTAAAATTTCTTTTCTTTGATATTTATAGTACTTTTTCATAAGAACTTGTTCATTTACTCATGTGAGCTATGCAACCGGGACTGTCACAAAAGTTTTTATAGTTATGTCTGAAAATATGAAAGCTATCTTAAACTTAATACTTATATGACAAACTGCTTTATAAATCTCATTAAAAGTAAAACAGGCTGCAATTCCACCAATTATAAAATCATAGTGCATTTAACTTTCAATTAATTATATCAGACTTGATACAAAAAGAAATTGGTGAAATATTGCTATGCCGATAGACACACCACATATTCAACTGAAGATCTTCTCTCTTAATCAAAGTTTTCTGTACACAGTTTTGTTAATATTTTGCTAAAATTGACAATTATGATAAAACATGCAGACAGTGGCCACGGGTCTATACTGGTCTGACAATTTTTGATGCTGCAACAATAAGTACATATTTAATAGAATTGTGTTTGATTTGACCGGTTATGTACTTATTATTAGTTTATTTATCAGTAAGTAGATGGCGCTATTAGTATATTAAACTATGACAACCAAAACTTTACCCTCTAGTACTCAGACTCAAGTTGAGGTGCGCCTGGAGTGGATCTATCGCACAACAAAGACGCTAACATTTATATAATAAATATATAAATGTTAATATTTGACATAAATTCTGCTTTTATCAAATATACGCAATCAGCGCCGCTAGCGGTGTGTAATGAAATTGTGTTACGATTTAATAAAAACATCTAGAAATAGCAATGTCGTGTTTAGTTCTTAATATCGCCAAAAATCTCTATTGATTGATTTGGTCAAGCTATATCATGATATAGTCAACAATCACTGTTAAACTTTATGAAATCTCGCCATTTCACTTTCAATAATCAATAATTTATGATATTATAAATTCTTCGATCTGACCAATACATATATAAAACTCTTTTTATTTAAACTATAAGGATAATAAGTTTAGTACATACTAATTGCAATTTTTATCAGTTGAATTATAGATAAAACTAATACCCACTAAAAATTTTTATAGATTAGAAATTAAACTTAAAAACATCCTTAATTTTATGATTTTCGATAGATGTTACTACTATATATTTAAGTTATAATTAGTTACTATAAAATTTATTTATATCTTCTAAAATAAAATAACAAAAACTAAAAATGTACGTTAGAATTTTCAAATCAATTATAAATTAAATAACTTCATTTTTAAGTTATCAAATCAGGCAAAATGTCACTACTTTTTGTATTTTACGTTAGATGGCACTGTCTTGAAAAATTGAACACAACAATAATATCGTGGATTGTCGGCGTACTTCAATTTATTACACAACGGTTAAAACTAATTTTGGGCTTTATTTATAAATATTTTAATAAAACATCAATCGTATAAAATAGAAATTAACATTTAAAGGAAGGAAAATACTTAATCCTCCTTTTTTAAAGTTTCGTAATTGGATAGAAAGTAAACCCGGGTCCCTAACTACCTATACACAAAATTTCATGGAAATGTGTTCAGTAGTTTTTGCGTGAATCTTTAATACACAGACAGACAGACAAACAGACAAAAATCAGGTGGTATCTACCTAGAATAGGTTTTCTACCAACTGGTATTAATTCTAATTAGTTGTTAGTAATCCCTGCAAAAAACGAAAAACCTAATATTTCTAAGCATACCATTAATCGTTTGCTAGTTTTATACATTAAATCCCTATTGTTAAGTATAAAGAAATGTCATCATATAATAATTATATTATTACTACAAAATGAATTTATAAACGGGATAATAACACTTAGGTTGGCGAGAATTGGACATCACCGTTGAATCCTTGCGAGTCTTACCAATGCGTGAGCGTTGGAGATGGTCAACTTGACAGGGTCACCACCGTGCGGCATTGTGAGGAGGAATGCCAACCGGTAAGTCAAACTTAATTTCCTTTTTTACGCTTAACTAACTGCTTGCATAAAATGATATATTTTACTGTTATGTGCTAAATTCTCCAAAACGAAGCTCTTATGGAATATTACCTTGTTATCTATTTTAAAAAGGTTTTCTCAATTAAGGACGTAAGCTTAAAATTGCGAAATTTTACTTAATTAACCTCTTTTGGAGAGTAAATGGACCATTAATTGAACAAAGCTTATAAGTCATAGCATTAATTGAAATTAATTCCACATTTTTTCAAATATGTACATATATTTTATTGGATTTAAGATTAACACCTAACAGTCTTTCATTAAATTAACATATTTTTTTGTTAAATCTACCGATAAAACAGGAAATTTGTCATGTAAACGAAATTTGTATACTGGAAAATAACTAAATAAAAAGTCGTTACTTGACTGGTTCTTTCTTCAGGGTTGGGAGTACGTGCCGGCAGAGGAGAACAGTGGCCTATGCTGTGGCAAGTGCAAGCCCGTGGCGTGCGTGTGCGAAGATAAGTTGCATCCCATAGGCGAGACTTGGACTTCTGCTGACTTCTGCACAAATTACACATGCGTCGATCTTAATGGCACTGTGAGTGTTATTCATTCATTCATTCATTCATTACAGACTATCAAAATTCCACTGTTGAATAGGCTTCCCCCATAGATTGCCTCGTGGGGAAATATTTTACATAGTTGACACGCTTGACAGGCGGTTTATCAACCGCAGTTTTTTTTTCCTAGTTGTTATAAGTAAGACCCATTTCCTGGTTTTTTCCTCTTTCGCCTCTTCTAACATCCACGGGACGATATGGTGAAGTGGATATCCTTAAACCGCCTCTACTCGATTCATCATAACTGTTAAAACTCCAAAGCATTTATTGTTTGAATATAAAACCAATGTGTTATTTATTTTACAACTTATTTTTTTTTATTATTTTAAATAAACTGCTTTCTAGTTAATTTGGTATCGTTAGTCAAAAATCAAAAGCGAAAGTTAATATTACAATTAAATCAAATTATTATTTTTCTATGACATAAATTAATAACATATTGTAATAAAGTTAAGTACAAATGCAAATTAATGTGCTTACTTAAATCATTTTAGTTTGCTGAATAATTGTGTGATAAGCGTATTGCATCATAAATTATTATTATTTTTGTAAGTATTAAGTAAGTAAGTAAACTTATGTATTTTTTCAAACCAGTTGCAAGTCCAGAGCTCAAACGAGACATGTCCAAAATTATCGGAGAAGATGCAGAAGCAATTTGTACTAACGGTGGAGAAGGTGCCAGGCAAATGCTGCCCGAAAGTAGAACCTGTCGCTTGCCGTGTTGAAGATAGAGTATACCAGGTAATATTGTACAAAACAGTTCATGACTAAATATGTTTTTTGGTTGAAAGATTTACGGTCATTATCTCGCACAATGCTCTTTATAGTTTTGGTTTAGTTATCTTCTTTAAGGAAATACTGTTTATTGAATCATGCCTAATACAAGTTCGTCGTCGTATTAAAACTAGCATTTTACTCAAAAGGTTGGAGAGAACTGGACTTCCCCTACAGATGCGTGCGAGTCGTATCAATGCGTGCGGGTCGAAGATAACAAGCTGGAGAAGGTCACTACCGTTCAGAACTGCGACACCGACTGCCAAGAAGTAAGTTGTCAGCATGGAAAAACCTTGTTCGAAATTTAGTCCGTCAAGTTGATAGATATTGCCATAATTAGACGTGTCATATCAAAAAATTACACAGATTGATATGAAAGCTTTATAGTACGTGGCTTAAACCAAACGGCATTTAAAAAAAAGTGAAACCAATCCCAAAACTTTATATGTCATATATGTTATAACTCACTTGGTTTAATACTAACATTTTGTTATTAATAACATCATTAGAGACTTATAAACCAATCTGTTATAAAATTGTGGAAGTAATAAAATTTTAATACTAGTGGGATTAGTGACAGCAATAATGGAAAATAAAAATTATAATATTTTAAAATAAATAGCAACAACAAGAACAACACTGGCAATGACCCATGAGCATGACTTTCTATCAAATTGAATTCGTATCACATAGTATCGTCACATAGTTCGATTTACACCCGGTCTCAAAAGATATATAAGAAAATAGTAAAAAATTGTATGAATGAAAGCTAAAAATAATTATATTTGCAAAATTATTATGCTAACAAAATTAAAACTAATTATTGCAAATCGTGAAACTGGTATATTATGATTATAACGAAAATGTTACAATATGCTGCAGTGGCCGGCGCATTTGAAGATATTTTGCAAAAAAAAAATACCTGTTGACTACGTGTTCGAGTAATATAAACCATGCCTGCAATACGCAGTTGCCCTCTTGGAGTCATATGTAAATGAGTGCCATAATTGCTTCACTTTTAGACATGTTATAATGTTATAATTATTGAAACATTTAACAACGTTAAAGTTAAGAAAAATGAAGATCTTTGGGGTATCCTAACTACTGTTATTAAATCAATAATTCACTGCATCATTGTACCATAATTAAGTCAAATTTTTGATAAATGCGTCAAAATACACCGCAAGTGTTCATCACGATATATTTTATAAACGCTCTTAATGTTAATATAAAATATATTTAAGATGTAAAGGAATCTATAAACATCTCACCCTTGAATATCTATAATTGAATATCATATATCATGTTTAGACTACAGAAGATCTCAAAGGAAGACATAGATATACACATAATACATACATAAGCATATAAATTCAGATATAACCCACATGTCGAAGTGAAAGTCGAGTGTTATACATTGTGAAGGAAATAATATTTAGGAAACGCAAAAGACAAGCTTAGGTAAAACGATATTACATTAGAAACGCGGCAGGAACCAGTCAATCAGTTAAACGCACTTCACGAACACGTAGGTGTAATGTTTCGTACATACGAAATACGCAATGCACAGTATGCCCTTCGTCCAGCCATCATTTCAGGTGGGGAATAGAATTAAGAAAAGGCAGGTGGGAGGAAGAGGTATGCAAGCATCCGCATGAAAAATATTGCAAAGGGCTAGGTTTTTATTGTACACCGGGTGAATTGAAAACTTGTTTGTCCAGGGTTGGGAGTACGTGCCGTCGTCGAATCCCAGCTCGCAGTGCTGCGGCAAGTGCCGGCCGGTGGCGTGCGTGTGCGAGGGACAACTGCACCCTGTCGGGCAGCTGTGGACCTCGCCCGACTTCTGCACCAACTACACCTGCGTTGACCTCAACGGCACTGTAAGTGTTAGATTTATCATTATTGTCACTGATAATTGTCATTAGTGAATGTTAGAATATTGTATTTATTATTAATGACTAATAATAAAAATAACCAATGTTTTTATTGTTAATACATTTTGTCGTATAATTGATAAAATTAGATAAAGTGATTTCAGATTAATATTCCAATATTGTGATTTGTTTGATATTTCAATATTGTATTAATTACAGCGGTAAATTATAGGTTAGTTTAATCAATTCAATTGGGTAATTATGTAATAAAAAGTCTTAGAATCTAAAAGAAGAAAATGAAGACAGATTTTACTCAGACAACACTATAGTAGAATTTTACTGGGACCGTTTCGACCATTTTGAAAACCGTCTGCTTATTTGTTTCAATTATTGTGTGTTGGTCGATAATTTTGAAGTGTTGCAGCTGATAGATATTTCATAATTCTTTTTTTTTTTGTATAAAAATAAAGAAATTTTATACAGCTTTCCAGATTATATCGTACAAACGTTCTTTCAACACAATTGACTAACTATAAATACAAGAGAATGAGAACAAAATACAATGAAAGAAAGTAGATTAAAAACTAAGAATTATTCGACAGGTAGAAGATAAAACTATGTAGGTACTTATACTTAACGAATTATGAAATATTTTGCGCCAACAGTTACAAATACAAAGCTTCAACGAAACGTGCCCAGAAGTGAGCGAAGCGATGAAGAAGCAGTTTGTCCTGATAGAAGAAAAGGTAGAAGGCAAATGCTGTCCTAAAGTAGAACCAGTCGCCTGTCGTGTCGGTGATAAAGTATATCAGGTATGTTCATCAACATCCCCTTATTTCATTTCTTCTATTAATTTTTTTCTTAAAATGATTTTGCAAATAATATAAAATTATTTTACATACTAGTCACATTGACTATCGACTTCCAGGTTACAAGTCGATAGTCAATGTGACTTGGAACCGAGCTTTGTGGGAATCTATTGATGAGGCTAAGTTTAACTCTATAGAATATTTTGCTCATATTGTGTTATAAAACATTAACAGCTCTCAACTCTATCAATATATTACCGATTCCAAAATAGTTCATAGGGCTTAATTTTTACATAGTAAACAATTCCAAAAACTAATTGCGATAATAAAAGTCAACTGCTGAACACAGACCTCCCCCATAGATTGTCTAATAGGGGGGATATTTGTCGTAGTAGTCACGCTTGGCAGTTTTTTTTAACTCACGGGACGATATGCGGTGGTGGATATTTTTACACGGTCATTGCAATCTATAATACAACATAATTTATCCATTTTCCATTTCATAATTTTAAACAAAATAAGCACAAATCAAAAGATTTTCTCTCTAATTTTTTTATTTAGAATTTGGATCCTTTTACGTGCTCACATCGAATTGTATCTCGTAAATTTCGCATGAACATTAACTCTTATTAGCTGAACGATATCAATAGTTGAACGATTAAAATAAGTTCTAAAAAGTATTATAACAAAAGAGATCGAGTACTAATTGTTAATATTGCAGGTGGGCGAAAACTGGACCTCAACCACCGACGCCTGCGAATCTTACGAATGTACGCGCATGGAAGACGGCAAACTGCAGAAAGTGACCACCGTTCAAGGATGCGACGACGATTGCCAACCGGTGAGTTGTAAATTTTTTTAACAAGATTTGTCACTTTTATCGGTAATTAAAAACAATCCAGAAAAGGAACATGGCTTGATACCATTTAACATTTTTACTGCAGCATATTGAACTGAACATGAAATTCCTAACTTATCTATCTGGGGGCACGGCAGTGCCCCCGCCAAGTTGAGCAAAAAAGCTACACGGCCGTACCATACTTTTCTCGAAGCAATTCAGGCCATTTTCGACCCTCTATAACTTCGTAGAGGATAAAACTAGAAGCTTGAATTTTCAGTTACCGAGTAGACATTGTATAAACATGATATATTTCAAATTTCATTCAATTTGAACCAGTAGTTTAAGAAGTATAACTAGTCAAAGTTTCTTAATTTTGTCACTCACTGACTGACCGATCATCAAAAGTCTAAGGCACTTCTAGTAGACATAGAAGCTTCAAATTCAGAAAACAATTAGTGTTTAGTGTATAAATCAAGGAAAAACTAAAATACTTTTTAATTTCGGTCCAATTTTCTAGATATACCAACTGCACAAATAACTTTGTAATTCTATATAAATATATGAAATTACAAAGTTATATTTGCAGTTAATGAATCAGTGTACTTGTATATATATAATAGGTGTAAATAGGTACGTTGTTGGCATTCAGGAAGTAGAAGTAAAAATGTAGACTATCTTATCTACAAAAAGAAATGAGATGCCATCAAAAACATAACTTGTAAAAAACCAAGTCTCGCAACTCATTTCTTCTACCTTAAAAAGTAGTGAAATCCATGTAATACCAAATCGGTTAATTTATTCAGTCCCTACTTAAGGGCCCCTCTGTTTTAAATTATTACGTAATTAGCTAACCTAACAACATTTTATAGTGACCATATCAATGTTAAAAATCTTTTATGTTTTAAATATAAAAATTGACTTGGCAATCGCAAGAAAACACAATGTATCTCACAAGTAGTACATATTATATTAAATTAGATTGCTTAGTGCGATTGCCAAGTCAATCTTTATTTTTAAAACATAAAAGATTTTTAACATTGATATGGTCACTATAAAATGTTGTTAGGTTAGCTAATTACGTAATAATTTAAAACAGAGGGGCCCTTAAGTAGGGACTGAATAAATTAACCGACTTGGTATTACATGGATTTCACTACTTTTTAAGGTAGAAGAAATGAGTTGCGAGACTTGGTTTTTTACAAGTTATGTTTTGATGGCATTATTATTTCTCATTACAAAACTAGTTGATAGATCGAGTTAAAGTTTATTTTAACGTATCTGTATATCGTATAAAACTACAAACAAAAAACTAGTAGGACGTCTAAATATATTGAGTGTCAATAATGTAAAGGTAAATATTCAAATTGACCTATCGTTAGCTATTACAATTACTACGTATTGAAGTACGAATTAAATTGTAAGAACGTAAAATTATTCTTAAAATTAAAAAATACGGTGAAATTTAGTGTCGCTACTAAACTTAACATATTAAACGTGTAGATGAGAGATGTGTAGAAACACATAATACATAATAATTGTTACACAAGTTAAAATTTAATCTACTTATAATAAAATAGAAAGCAATAACAACAAAGCGCCAACAGTCACTGACATCGCGAAATACAGGGACTTGGGACCCAATTTGGATTATATTACGATCTTATATATGTTCAAATTCAGTCCAAAATTCAACCAACAGTTCAAGTGTGATTGAAGAACAAACATACTCTCACAAGTAGAGTCCTTTTTTAAAATATAAAGAGATACTTTAAAGAAATGTGTTTGTCCAGGGTTGGGAATACGTGCCTTCGTCGAATCCCAGCACGCAGTGCTGCGGCAAATGCCGGCCGGTGGCGTGTGTGTTAGAGGGACGCCTGCACCCCGTCGGGCAACTCTGGACTTCGCCCGACTTCTGCACCAACTATACCTGCGTAGATCTCAACGGAACCGTAAGTATAGTATAATATGACCTTCGCCTACGAAAGACCGGGGAAAGGGTTGGGTCAGAGTCAAACTACTTAAGTGAGGGAAAGGATCCCTTCACAAATGTATTTGTGGAAGATTTCCTGAATTTATATAATTTACATGGTTTGTGTTACCCATTAGGCCAGAATATTATGTAGAATATTCTGATAGTAGTAGAATATTATGATGAATATTAGAATATCATGTTCACAAATTATTTCTTATATCTGCTCGAATACTAGATATAGATTAAATATAATTTTACGGATCTTATCGCGTTTTTAACTCGATTTGTTTGATGTTTCGGAGGTTTTAAAGCACCCATGGTTACGGGGGTAACTGAGGCGTTTGACATTCCAATATCAGTTAACTTTGACTACCTACAGCTTTTAAATATTAATTATTGCAGTTGTATTTTTAAGGTTAGAATTTTATTTAGGATTTTTTAGGATTCTAAGCAGATGGAATTAAATGTCGCCGTATTAGGTATATATTAAGGTAAATCTTAATATATACCTAATACAAAAATCAAAACAACACTTTTTATAGAAACAATTAATGACTTTGTTTAGTTTCTATCCAATATTTTGAAATGCATTTTCTTGAATTGGATCAGGTCTTAGGGACCAGAAATCCAATACGCGGCCGTGCTGCGATATTTATATTATTGAAGCAGCTCCCTCTATGTACGTTTCACGAAGCCAAACCCGGTGTCGGTTTGACATTAAGAGATCAGTGAATCAATATTTCTTCTGGGTCTGAAGTTTTAGAAAGCCCTAATTCAAATATATATCACAGTATAAAGGGAAGTTTGAAACACTTGCTGTAAATCGCCATTACATTTCCATTTCTCTCATAAGAAATTACGAACAAACGTACCTGCTATAATAGTAAGGAACTAGATATTTTAAATTCAGAAGGTTTTATACTCAACATAAATGTACTTCTTTTACAGTTACAAATCCAAAGTTCAAACGAAACCTGTCCAGAAGTAAGCGAGGCAATGCTGAAACAGTTTGTCTACACGGAAGAGAAAATACCCGGCAAATGCTGTCCAAAACGTGAGCCGATAGCTTGCCGCGTTGGAAACGAAATATATCAGGTTAATATGAATTTATAATACAATTATATACTGGATGACCTTTTTTACCGTCTGAAAAAAATAAGGTGTAACATGTGAACGGAGTAGAGGCCTGTAGCACCGATATTTTACAAAAAATAAAAACAAAAATATTGAATTGAACGTTTGAAAAAAAATGTTTTAAACAATTACTTTGCCCTTTGCCCTTGAACCTGTGACCCTGCGAAGTGACAAGGTCAAAGATGCCCACTAAATTCAAAATACCCCACAGTCAGTATCCCCCATAGACTGCCTAATTGTGATTATGGAAGGGTGATGTTCAGCAATGAATTTGATCCATTATGAATGGATGAAGGTACTTGAAATATCCAAGGTTAGTATATTGGTATTGGTTGACACATCTACTAATACATATGCATGGTAGATATTTATGAATTAAATCTTTTTTAATCAGAGAATTGCTACTTTGTGTATTAATAAGCATCTGTTCATAGAGTAAATGCGCTCATTTATCCAGGAGAGTGTGAAATGTTGACAACAAAAACCGCGCTGCAGCTATATTATAGTTGCGACACGAATGGGTCGGCTCAAACTCGGTAAATCCACGCTATCACAGTATACCAGCGTAAAATAGCAGCTTAGTGCTGCTGTGCTTTGTAAGGGAACACGGTTATTTTTATACAACAAGGTTGGCAAACGAACACAGTTTACCAGACGGAAAGTGGATACTGTGGGCCATAGACATATATATCTATCCTCGGTTAAGCATCGAAATGCAAATGTAAAACTAAGATGGAATGCCTTATTTCCAGTTGAAATAGTCTCCGGTTCAACATACGAATTCAACACTCAACATACGAAACACAGCAGCATTAAGCTGCTATTTCACGCTGGTATTCTGTGATAGTGTGGTTCTTTCCCGGTTGAGCTGACCCATTCGTGCTACACCCACAATATACCTTATAGCTATAACGTCCTCCAGGCCGAATTTCGGTCGCGGCGGCCAATCTTAACTAAGACCAGTCACATGTGCAGAACAGAATTATGGTGCCCGAGTTTATGCGCAAGCATAGACGCACTCTCTATATCCTCGCTCTCATAGTGGTAGTAACAGCACGCCCGGAGAGAAATCAGACGCAGGACCGACGGCTTTACGTGATGCAAAGCACGGAGATAAAACACCACCAACTTCCTGACTCTGGGTTACTACTGAGAATTTCTTGATAGAAAAACTCAATAATGACTGATTTTTTGACCCGACCTAGGATTCGAACCTCATGACCAGTAGTGGCGTTTACGACCACTAGACCAGCCAGACAGTTATGTCAGTAGCACGACTCGACCACGTATATAACACTGATATATAACGGAATAATCATAATTTAATCGCACGTAAATTATGAAATAGCAGATTATTGCTGCTGTGTTTTGTATGGTGAGTGTAGAGAACCGCAGACCCTTTTGTACTGGAAACGAGGCATTCCATTTTAGTCCTCAGGGTTGACAACGCATCTGTGTTTGGATTTTTAGACGAGAATAAATATAGATATCTATGGGCCACAGCATCCATTTACCTTCAGGTGGACTGAATGTCCATTTGTCATCTTTACTCTATAAAAAAATAAATGTCGGCCCAGTGTCAAAATACGAACGCCATTTGTGAAAAGAAACAGGCCCTCACAACACAGGTATGCCTTGTGTGAGGATCACAGAACTACACAACATAGTTTATACACTGCAGCATAGTTGGTGTGATAAGATTATAGATTATAATTATATACTAGAGAAATAAGGCAACTTTACTTACATTTATTATTATCATCTTATGTTGTATATTATAATCTGTACCACCTTACGTGTATAAATAAACAATTTAGAATTTTTATAAATGTGTTAATTTCACAGGAGGGACAAACGTGGCCGACATCAAACCCTTGTGTGAACATGACGTGTGCGCGCGACGCGTCCGGGCAGCTGGCGCACAAGGAGAGCACGGAGAGCTGCGCGCGCGCCTGCCCGCGCGGCTGGCGCTACGCGGAGCCCGGCGCCGGCCTGTGCTGCGGCAAGTGCGTGCAGGAAGCCTGCGTCGTCGACGATCAACTCAGGAAACCCGGTCAGTATTGCTACATAGGCGTACGAGTTAACCTGTGGCCATACGTTAACATATTTAGGATTTAAAAAAAAGAATATTAACATTACTAATGTTCCCCTTAACTACTCGTGGTAAGCTTAAATTGTTTGTGTTACGAGTGGTTTACGCCAGTAGTCGAATGGCGGATTCGAACCCACGACCTTTTTGAGTTCGCGGTCCGCACCCTGCCATTAGGCTACTGTTGCTTCACCTGTGGACGGATGTAGCCAAACGTTTTTAGCATAACATATTTTATTTACATATTTAACATATTTTAAGTTAACTTGTGGCCAAACATTAACATTTTAAAGTAAATCTGTTGCCGGGAGCGGCAAAACGTGCATATAAAGTTAACCTATGGCCAAACGTTACCAGAAATTCGTCGATTGGTCGGTGATTCCCAAAAAACCATATATAATCAAGGTCTAATTAACCTAAAGGTAAAGTAGGTAATTGCGTGTAATACTGTCTAGGAACTTCTACAAGGCTTTATCCGTATATACTTATAAAACTGTGTGGTCTAACCTCTTGTAGTTCAAGGTTAAAGTTGCGATGAGATGAATTCAACGAGCGCTTATCCCACACAACTTACGTAAATTTTCTTCTTAACTACTACATTAAAGTCCACGGCTGGGCGTGGGCATTACTCGTTGTAGGGACGATATGTTTTAATCACCACACTTGGCAGGTGGATGGGACTTTAAATTTACTATAGACTTATTTCATTGTATTTTAGTTAAAAAGGTATAGTTTTTTTTTTTATTATGGACTGGGCGTTAAGTAATATGAATGCAAAATACTTAATTGATATTTTATTCCAGGCGAGACCTGGCAATCGGCCGACAACTGCACGACTTTCGCTTGTGATCAAGACGGCGAAGAATTCTTCACAAAATCATCGTACCAGCTCTGCCCCGACGTGTCCAATTGTGCTGCGGAAGACTTGGTCAATGAGACCTGCTGTCAAGTCTGCAAGCTGAAACCCAGCCCATTGAGTAAGTAAACTATTTAACTGTGTCAATTTAATTGTCACTTCCTTTTGTTGGGATTAATTTCGTGGCAACACTTCGTATTCACTTTTTTTAATGGAAGTAAAATGACAAACAGTCCGCCTGATGGTAAATGGCTACAGAGGCCATGGACACCTTGAAATACTTTTATACGTGGTAGAGCCATGCTGCAGTTATATTAGTAGTATAGTTGTAGCACGAATGGGTCGGCTCGACCGGGGAAGGACCACGCTCTCACAGAATACCAGCGTGAAATAGTAGCTTAATGCTGCTGTATTCCGTATGGTGAGTGTAGAGACCGGAGACCCCTTTTACATTAAACGAGGCATTCCATCTTAGTCCTCACGGGTGACAACGCATCTGCATTTTGATTCGTAATCGAGGATAGATGTAGATGTCTATGGGCCGCAGCAACTACTTACCATCAGGTGGACTGTGTGCTCGTTTGTCACCCTATCCTATAAAAAAACAACGAATAATACGGGGTAGAATTGAGGGTTGATGCGTTGTCACCTTTGAGGACTAAGATGGAATATCTCATAGACTGTAATTTTACTGATTCCCTATACCCTACAAACCAGAACACAGAGGTGCAAGCATTGCTTTTTGGTGGCAGAAACAGTCAAGAAGGTGGTATCTTCCTAGACGGACTCGCAGAAAAGTCCTGTACCATTTCATCCATGTTATAAGAGAATGTAACCTCTTATCTCTGAAATCTAATGCCTTTGAGTATCGTAGGAGTCGCTTACATACAGAAGTAAATTTTTTGTATCGGAGTTGATTCAGACAGGAAAAACATTGCGACATTGCTGATACGAAGTAGTTGACAAACTACGTTTAACTATAATCAATTTCGTTGTACAGGTACCTGTGTCCCAGTGGCTATCCCGAGCGCGGAATCTGTGGGCCTCATTCGAGTGCATTTAGGAGCGCATGGGTTGTGCATCAATCGCTCCCCACTTGTGGGTTTTAAGGAATGTCGCGGAAGCTGCGACTCCGGCACCGTCTTCAACAACCGTAATTATTATATATATTTGTTAAGTTTCACCCAATTTGTTAAGACAGACTTATTTTTATATAACAATAGCTTTCCTCCTTCACTTTATTGCTTCTATATTAGGCTAAGTGGTCGTAATACTATCGAAACTAATATGAGCGACAATAAATATATTTGTTTCTGGCTGTTAAAATAAATGGCAAAATGATCATCACACATATCAGTGACAGTGAACAGCATGTATTTTTTGTATAGAATATTTAATGATGACAAAAAAGCACATAAGTAGCCCACTTGGTGGTAAGTGGATGCTATGGCCAATAGGTATACATCTATTGTCGATTAAGAATCAATATGTGGATTCGCCGTCATCCCTGAAGACTAAAATGGAATGCCTCGGATCCAGTAAAAAAGGTCTCCGCTTATCTACCACGATCGTCAATCTATTTTCCAAGCGTATTGACACACAGAAATAGTAATAATAAGACAATAGAGATGAATTAGCGCTCGATTACTTCCAAAACCGGTGTCGCCACATCTTACCGTATTACAAACATATGCAATGCACAATGATATGTAATGTTTCACATTTGATTGTTTGGCGAGTTTGTCAACGTCGCGTGTGTCGCGTATTACGATAGAACAAAAGCAGCAATGGTAATTGTACAATACGAAAAGTAATAAATAAAAGTTTACAAAGGTAAATATCATAGTAAAGTATTCATCTAGATGTAAATTAGTTAAAACAATGATAATTAGTAAATAATCAACTTACCGATGAAATGTTACGCCTTTATTAGTTGAATTACACGGCCTTGATGAGTTTTTACAATTGATTATGCTGCAGTTAACCATTATAAATTTACGTACGACGTTCGCCACGCAACTAAATCACAAAATGGTGAATGATGTTCGTCAACACATCATAGCGGCGACAAGATCACGCGTCTATGCGAATTCTATTGTCTTAATATTACGACTTCTGTGGTATTGACACTAAAACCAACTTAGGAGAAGCTTAAGATCAACAAATATTTGTAGCTAAAATTTACAAACCACTCGTTATGTTGTACAAATATTTTCTGTCTTTCTTTCCTACAATGTTAGAGTCGGTTTTGTGACCTGTAAATATTGTAATATTCCCTTGTGATGGACCCTAATTACCCACTTTTATGCCGTGTTTAATGTATCGTTGGTTATGTTAAAGTGTACGCGAGTGAAAGGTAGTTTCTTCGCACAAACACTAACGATATTTTCATCATTTCCCTGCCAACGAAACTAACTTTAAACAGCAACTCACATCACAGCCACACAATAGCAAAATTCATAGTGTATAATATGGTATCTGGCGGGAGAACGCCTTAAACCAAACGGCATGTTTCAGAAACGGGCGGTCATGACACAAAATGCGAGTGCTGCGCTGCAGTTAAATACGAGCGGCTGTTGGTGGGGCTGGACTGCCAAGATGGATCTCTACGACCTCACAGCGTCGCATCTCCGTTACGTTGCGCTTGTCGACGCTGTGGAGGCACTAACGTCTGGCCATCGAAGACCAAGACCGGTAAGTACAAACTATACTACACTGGAAAGTCCCTATTATGGCGACTTCTTGTAGAATTACAAAGATTAGGAGATGATTATATAATAACACTTGAATAAGCTAATCACAATTTCCTTAAATAACGGTTAAAGCCTATGACAAAAGGGGTATTTATTGTTTACCTAGACCAGAATTTAACGGGTAGCTGCTTTTTTATTAGTTTTTTTAGATATCGAAACAAATTAAATAAAGAATCGTACCACTGAATATAAGGAAACGACTAACTCCATTAAATACGAATTAGGCTAAAGAGCTAACCTACATTCTGCTAGCAACATCAAAAAGTTGATAATACTAGTATTGAAGCGAGCATTATCATCTAACCGTTATCACATAACGACACTGAACTATGAAAGACCGGTCGTGACGTGTTTGACGTCGTATGAGACACATACATTTTTTAAGCTATTGCATAGCTTCTATCGCGGGCCTTGAGCGCGGGGACCGAATCCAGAAATTCCGTAACGAAAAAAACCTCACGCTCCCCACTCCGACGGGCACGGAGGTGTGGGGTTGAAAGCCGTGCATCGTCTAACGTCGTTTCAGTTCCGCAAACTTCGGCACTCGGCAGACTTCGGCACGGTGTTTGTGTGCGTGCGACTAGACGTATGCGTATGCGTATGTACACTAGCTGCTAACTCAATGATAAAAATTCCTGAATAACCTACATGTATTGTAAGATATTAAAAATATTTTAAACAATATTAACTTCTCATTTATTCAATAAGAGAAAAAAATTGTTTTCTTATCGGTCACCACGCTCAAAAAGTGTAACTGATTAAAAAAGACTTAACTGCATAAATAAAATAAATAAATAATTATAATTGCATAAGTTGATAAAAAATGCTCCGTGTGCCACACGTATTTTTTTTTAATTTGCTTTTAAGTGTAATTGTTGTTGGTTTCACGGAATTTGCCGCTACCTATGCGACGGGCCTGGGAAAAGGAATCGCTCTTCAAGAAGGCCAAAACATTCTTGACTTGATTAATAAAAAAAAACATATTGTTTTCCTCCATATAATATATTATTAACATATTGCATAGTTTGCGGCTCGTGAAATACAAAATAGGTACTTCGTTACTTTATAAAATTAATGTAGAAAAAAAACTTAAACGCATTGTTCACGGTCCATCTGCCTCGTTATTGACGTACGTCAAGCCTAGAGAAGCCGCGTCGTGCACATAGAGGTTAGAGAAAGAACGATCGCTAGGTACTAAAGCATAGCCCGCCTGTCCTTGAAGATTTGTAGAATTTATAGCGGTGCTGACGTCGGTGAGTAGTGGCTGCGAAGTTAGCTGTTTATGAGCACAAGTAGATGAAGTTAGTTGAATAATGTACAAATTTTCTTCGCGGCATTGTTGAGAAAATTTTCATGCTCCGTATTTTTTTAATTTTTGACAAAAAGAAACGTTAAAAAATAGAGAAATATTTTATTGTGCGTGGATGTGCAAGTGGTTTAGCATCTGATCGGAAAAATAGACTGACAATGACTTTTATTGAGCGAACATAGCGATCGCAGCGCCTCACTTATGGTCTCCATATTTCTGGAGCACTATTTTCTACGGCGATCTGTATCCTGTTCTCTAACCTCCATGGTCGTGCATGTCATTGGATAGACCGTGAATAAAGCGTTTTATAACTTTTTGGTTTCAGTTATTTTTTTAATAACTCAATTGTAAATTTGTCACAGGTAACTACGGATACAACTCACCCCGTACATTCCAAGACGAAGACTACAACATTCCCGAGATGTTCGCGAGATTCGGTACGACACCGCCGCGACCAAGACTGTGATTCCAAAGGAATACAGATAGCAGTGACAAATGACTTTAAATCACAGTTCACGGAATGTGTCTGATTGTGAGTCGATTGCTTATAAGTAGGCTGAGATATTTATCGAAATTCAATGTCTGTATTAATATTGAGTAATTTAGAGGATATATGTAAGACATATTTATATTAGGTATACGATACCTTGCTTTCTTTGTGCTGTGATTTAAAAAATCTAATAACCAAAGATATGTAAACTAACGCTTTTTATTAATCTTTTATATTATTTTGTAAATAGCAATGATAAAATATCATGAGTTTCTTTTATTTACTACTTTCCTTTGTATGAAAAAATATATATTTCAAAATATTTTGCTCACATCGTATAATACCTTACCTTTATCCATCGTGTGCTTGCAGCATGATGTTGACATGTGCCCGTAATAAGTAGCGAATATAAGAAATGCCTAGAAATTTTGGGGCATTTGATAATTAGTCTGAGACATCGTACGTCTAGCGAAAGCAAGATGGCTTTACCATTATCTATGGCAAGCAGACTGTTTTGACTCCCACGACACATGAAATAGTGATAGATTCTGTTTACTTCAACACCATACGGCAACAAGTACAAAAATTCCGAATCACACAAGAGTAAAATTATAACAAATATTTTAAATATCTATAAATTTTATTTATAGGTATAGTTTTTTATGTCATGATAGTGGGTTGGTCTTACTTTTAGTGTATGTACCAATGCATATTGCTAAGGTGCGTTAGCTCGAGATTTAAAGGTTATTATCGAGTACCGTAAGCACAGAGAGTTAATGGAGCAAAATAGTAAGTAGGTAATGTAAGAAAACAATGTCCTTTGATAAGCAGTAGAGTGGTATTTTAGTTAATATGTAATCACTTTTTTCTTAACTACTTAGGTATTGCTTATTTTAAGGCTGTCATATGGTCACTAGTTTGCATCATTGAATTCATGCAAAGTAATCAAGATCCATATGATTTGTATGAGAATCCTAATTCTTTTCTTATTAACGAAAACTATTTTTATTTTCATTGCGTGCCTAAACATCTTAGGTAGCTTATTTTTTTTAAAATTGCGATGGGCTGGCTAACGCTACCCGCAGTTACGAACACAAGCACGCGTGTCTCTACATATCATACTTACAAGTAACTTACAAATAAAGTTTCGCCGCCTTCGTGAGAAAAAAGACATCTATATAAATACCACAATGAACGTAGTAGAGCCGAGCGTTTGTCACCCGAATTCTATAAAATCACATGAAACAATATCTCAAAATCTTGTACCGACTGGAATAGTTTGGCATAAATGGATCCAAATACTGAAAATAACGTACATAGAAATCTAACAAACGTAATAAACGTAATTTATTCTTGTAACAAATTTTTACTTCATATATAAACATACAATCGAAATTTTTTCAAGTTCCACTTTTCCCTTGACCAAAACGTCACTTTAAATATGCCTATGGCAACATTTTATAAATTAAACTAACACAGAGGGCGTGCGATTTAGTTAATTTAGGAGCTGATTTCGTCGTCCTGCAATTTCTGTGTGTCACTGGTATTTTCTTTCTGTGCTTCTTTTTGTTCTTCTTCCTGTTTCTGTTTTCTTAAAACGTCCGATAAATATTTACACCGCTGCATACATTCCTCCTGAAAAGATATTAATAATTATGTATATTTACTAAGGACTGTCATCTTCTTCGATCGTGTAATGGCCCCCCCCATCATCCCGTCGGTGTCACAAGAGGCGACAGAGAAAAACAAATCAAGGGATGTGGAGCAACGGCTTCCCAATCACAATTAAAAAACTGACGTTGCAAATCAGCCCGCCTAGAGCGGCAAAGATGCCAAAGGAGACTGATACGCTTTTTCCCCGCTATAAGGCAATCTTTTTTTACGTGGCAGTACTAGGTAATTTTTATTTTTTACGTGGTAGAGCCACGTTGCAGCTATATTATGGTTGCACGAATGGGTCGGCTCGACAAGGGCAGGACCATAGCTCTCACAGAATACCAGGGTAAAGCAGCGTGATGCTGCTGTGTTTCGTATGGTGAGTGTAGAGAGCCGAAGACCCCTTTTTACTGCAATCGAGGCATTCCATCTTAGTCCTCAGAGGTGACAGCGCATCTGAATGTTGAATCTTAATTCAAGACGAATGTAGATGTCTATAGGCCACAGCATCCACTTACCATCAGGTGGACTGTGAGCAAGATTGTCACCCTACCCTATAAAAAACATCTATGGGGAATGCCTAATTCCAGCAGGGCGATTTAGTAAACAGGGTGAAACAGTAACAGTCTTCTTTTTCACTACCATCTAAGAGTTGACTAACATTTAGTTTAGTGTATTGTTCAAATTATAAAAATATAAGCTCACTAGCGATCTGCCCCGGCTTCGCACGGGTGATATCTGGATTCTACAACAGCGCCACCTACCGGGTCCAACTATGCCTATAACCTTCGCGGAAGTGCAAGTAATAAGTTGAAAAAGTTTTACCGCAATCTGACAACGGTATGGCAGGGCATAAAATACGAAAAAAACAAATTTTAATATATTAGATGTCTTTTTTATATTAATATCTACTATAGATTAGAAAGTGTAAAAATAATAAAGAAATGAAACGAGATGAGATAAGCCCTGGGCTGGGGCTAAACGCTCGCTGTAAATTTCACAGTACGCGAGCAACCCGGGTGCAATCCCCGCCGGCACCAATAAAAATGCTAATTGCAATTTAAAGTGCTGATTTACCACGTGCTCGGCGGTGAAGGAAAACATCGTGAAGAAACCTGCATGTCCGATAAATAAGAATGAAAAAATAATTATTTGAAGACATGTGAAGTTCGCCAACACATTTCTTGTGGCCTGTGCCCAGCAACGGGACTTGTATACGCTGTAACTGTAAACTTTAATAAAAAAACACTATAAATGTAGAATGATTTCAACCGGCAAAGGATTTCCATCAAACTTACACAATCACTGGAGAGGAACAAAGAAGTGAAGATTTGTCATTAACCGTTACGTTTGGCAGGACACGTGACTTAACGTTATGATAATCTTATCAGCCTCGAGCCCACGCGCAGAGTAGCCAGCCTCTGAGTATTCTACATGATGCATTTCGGAGAGTGTGCGAAGGAGTTACATGCATATTTCCTCCCTCCACTTTCCACCATCGGACAACCAGGCGGTCGGCGGGCCCTTTGTTGTCGATATTCCACGTATTCAAACCAAACGGTCTTCGGTCGCTTTGCTTCGTCTTTCGTGATGTAGCAAAACAGCAAAGTGAAATAATTTTCCAGCATCTGTCTTTCCTTTCAATTACAATATAGGCGCATTCAAGGCAAGAATGAAAGGCCTTTATAAAGCTAAGCCAGTGCGATAAAAGGCTTCTAGGGCTCCATCACCAGTTACCACTAGATGGGAATGAATTAGCATTGGCTTATAATCTTTTTAAACCTGTGGTTTTCATTAATTTTACAGTTTTTATTAGCATTAACGACACTAGAATGTCAGCTTGATTTAAAAGTTTAAAAGTTTACATACATAAAGCACTCACGCCTGTCACCCAGAGGGGTAGGCAGAGACTACAGACTTCCATTTGGCACGATCCTGACACATCTCTCGCCTCTTCCCATCCATATATCTACGCATACATGCTCGTCGGTAAAGGAAACTCTTAATTTGGCCCCTTTTCAATACATCGCCAATTTGGTCGACAAACTTTCGCCTAGGGCGACCCTTACCGACTCTGCCGTTCACTTCTGCACCATAAATTTGCTTTGTCACTCTTTCCTCATTCATTCTTTCTACATGACCAAACCACCAAAGCATTCCTTTCTTAATCCTGGTTACAACATCATCTTGCATACCACACCCTTCTCTTATTACAAAATTTCTTACCCTGTCACTCAGATTCAGCCCTAACATATGTCTTAACGACCACATTTCTACTGTGTTTATTTTACCTTCACTACCATACGTTAAAGTAAGGTTAACACAGCATTGTGGATTACCATACGTGCCTTTTTTGACACATTCTGACTTTCCAGAATAGAGTGTAGAGCCCCCATTTACTCTATTTCCTGCGTTCACTCGTCGTTCTATATCATTATCATATCTCCCGTCGCTGCTAAATACGCATCCCAAATACACAAACTCATCTACTTGCTCGACCAACTCCCCTTTTATTCTTTTAAAAGTTAATTTAATTTAAGAAATAGCGATAATTTTTTTAATACACCACTTTTTACATATTTTCATTTTCACCTAATTCTAAGCTATGTTCAAAATTTCAATCAAAGAATTTAGTACTAAATCAATTACTAATTGCGACCGAAATAGATAAACATCTACCACAGCGCCTACCAAGTTATTAAAAATGTGACAAAAATGAATTCACTCTTGCTCCGAAGATATTCATTTTCACAATAAATGCGTAATGATAAATCCATACGCAAGTCCCTTAGAAAATATCATTTTAAACGATTTCTCTTAACTATTGCCTTAGATATATTGCCAGAAATAGAAAAAATATAGCCGATTTCAATATCCGTTGTGTCATCATGTCCAAACAAGCAGTCAAGCATAACGGATCACGTTTGTCTATTAATGCAACTCTTACAAAAGTTTGAGGAAGTAAAGTTACAGCCTATATACGTCCCACTGCTGAGCACAGGCCTCCTCTCATTTCTGAGAGGGTTTTAGGGCAAAGAAGTTTCCATCACGCTGCCCCAATGCGTGTTGGCAAACTTCACATGACTTCGAAATATTTTTTCTTATTTCTCTAACATGCAGGTTTCCTCACGATGTTTTCCTTCACCGCCGAGCACGTGTTAAATCAGCACTTAAAATTGCAATTAACAATTTCATTGGTTCCGGCGGGAGCCGTGGTAGCTCAGATGGTTAGCGCTCGCTGTAAATTTCACAGTACGCGAGCAAACCGGGTTTGAGGAAAATTTAAGATAATTTTTGTGCTTAAATAAAATACTCAGCTATTTTATTTGAGCTAGTAAAAATAACTTATGCAACACCAGAGAAATTGCTTGGTGTTGCAAAAGTTAGTTCCGGTCCGAAAAAGTTACTGGTGGTAGCAGATTTGACAAAAAACTCGTATGGGGAAGAAAACTCCATATAATTTCTATCTTTTTAATCGAAGCTCCAAAGTCTTTGCCAGAGGTCTGTCTGTCAGAAAAAGCCAACGGTCAAATTGAAAACTAAAAAAATGCATCGTTTCCAAGACACCTGAGATTTTCTGGGAGATAAAGACGTTCTACGGGCAGCTGTACAAGTCATCGTTGGAGCCACACACAAGTGTGAGTAATGATTCGAGAGCAAGTCCTATCCGACACTATTCCGATGATATCCCGGACGTCAGTCTGAGCGAGATTAGAATGGCTCTCCAGCACCTTAAAAACGGCAAGGCACAGTACAGCAGGTAACAGTACTTCAAGTCCTGCAGAAGCTCTTTTACTCCGTCAATGGTGGCACTAATCTGGAGGCGTGGAGCAGAAGTGCAGTGGTCTTGTTCTACAAGAAAGGCGAGAACGCTCTCTTGCACAACTATAGACCGATTTCCCTGCTGTGCGCGTTTTCGTGCTGTTTTCGAGTCTAGTAGAGAGAATTTCGTCGAGAATTCGTCCTTTCTCCTTTTATGCCCTTTTTCTTTAATTTTAATTTAATAAAGGTGCATTTTAAATGTAAACTACGCAAATAAAACGAATATCTACGTCTATATCCAAATATTTTTAACACCAGAAAGTGAAATTAAGTAGAAAGATTCCTTAAGATTAAACATTATGTGTTACCCTTAAATGTATATATTCCACAAAAATACCTACTTTGGTCTTTCCGGGCACGGAGTTCGCTATCTTCTGCCAGCGATCACCCGCACCGCCCTTAGGATACTTGGCCAGTGCGGTTTCGAGAGCCTTTTGTTGGGTCTGCGACCAATTGCCCGCACTCGTTTCCTCTGTCTTACGCGTTTTTACCTGTTAATTGCACAAAAATTTCTTTTTAAATGTCAATTTTAATTTAAATGGAATTAAGAATGTTTTTTTATTAAATTTGTAAGACAGCAACGTGACCATTAATAATTGGGAATTTCACGCCCTTATTGACAATAATGGATAGGCAATTTATTAATGAACATTTTGATCTATTTAATTTTTCCAAAGGACTAAAATTCGATTTTATAAAGACAATATTTTAAAACTTGGGCGTATTTTTTACGCGATATACTGTAGCGAGAACGCGTGGAATGTATAGGACCGAACGCTCAAGGCCGTTCGCTAGGAGTAGCACTTATTTATTTTGTGGTAACGCCTTTATGTGCTAATCTCGGTTCTCGGTAATCGGCATCTCGGTAATTCCACCATCGGTCACGTGCTACAAGATATATTTTACTTAATTGAAAAGCAGTATAATATTTACTAAATGATACGAATCCTTATTTTGTCTTGGAGCCCGTAAGGTAAGAGATCTTCTTAACAGTTTCTACCGTCAAAAAGCAGTGCTTGCACTACTGTGTTCTGGTCAGAGGGATATACAGCCAATATAGTTAGAGGTTGTGAGGCATTCCATCTTAGCCCTTAGGGGAAACTCATCTTTAACCGTCTTTATATGAAGTTCGCCGCAGGTGGTGTGAATTAGCTACTCTATAAGTAGTGCGTTTAGACTTAGTCAATTTTACATTTTAAATTAAGGTGCGTGTTTGAGAAAAAATTTAGTTTTAAGAGTCGACATTTGTAAGGTTTTTAGGAGCTATCTACTTGTTATTAAAAAGATATATCAACTAATAAAAATATTGTATTATATATACATTATATATGTATATTATACATACATAATTTTGATTCCATAATAGCCAATTTCAATTTTTTTTCAAAAGGAGTAAATACTTGATGAATTTTCCTACAACTAAACCACAGAAATGGGAAATAATTATTGAAAACATGCATCTCCTCATAAAGCATCATTTTATTTTGCGATTGACACTAATGGATAGGCAATTTATTAATGAACATTTTGATCTATTTAATTCTTTTAAAGGATTAAAATTCTATGTTATATAGAAAATATTTTAAAATTTGCGCGCATTTCTTACGCAATATATTGTAGCAAGTGTGTGGAGATCCCGTGGAATGTATAATTAAAAAGCTATTACGTCATTACACTACATTCCTATAAAGCTTTTTGATTTTAATCTTTTAATACAATAGAATTAAAAAAAACGAGAGTGGTATTATGATAACAATAATTTCTTTACGGTCGATTTCAACCAAATCGTCAATTTTACGTTAAAGGCTATTGTAAATTATGGCAGATCGGTCTCGGGCTAATAGGTCCCATGTTTAGTGAATTTTATTAAAAAAAAAGTATGCAATAGCTGTGTTGTTTGCCCTAGCGTATAATAAAAGGAGTACTAATGGAAAATTATGATGATTGATGGATCCATTCATTCACCATTTTCCATTCATTCCCATACTTTGGCTATTTTTTACAATCGTTATTAAATCTATTGATATTTCTACTGTAATTATCCATACCGATATTCCAAAATCACGCGAGGACATTTGATATAGCTAGGGTAGCCAGATGGTCGGGATTCGTCTGGATTCTCCCGACATTTTATATGATCTCCAGACTCCCCACAAAACCCAAAATCTCCAGACAAACAGCTTCTCTTCACATCACAGCTGCCTTTGATTTTATCAAGCTGAGTTAGTAATTAGACTGAACTTTGAAGTAAATTGTTTGAATTTTAAATGTTTTCTGAAGAATACTAAAGGATCCAAATTGGTGGACTCAGTAGCTCAGTACAGTCTAATGCCAAATACAATACATGTGGCAACATAAAATTTTTGTGTAAGTACTCAAATTAGTTATAAACAATTTAAAGTCTTTTTATTTTACATTTTTATTTTTAATATGCATTTCTCCCGACAACAACCCCATAATTTCGACATTTGCAAATGTTGTCCAGATATTTTGGTTTTCCGATCTGGCATTCCTAGACACAGCCATTTTCATAGCTCACCGAGCGACTGAGCTTCCTTACAATACCAAATCTTCTTTCTACTTCATTAATATAATGGGTAACTACGTAATACTCGGTTGTTTGTAGCAAGTGTTAGAGCTCGCGGGCTCAAACTTACTTGGCCAGTGCCATAAAAGGAAAGTACTTGTGCCTACTTCCACGCGCACTATCGCACAGATTTTGATCGCTGTGTGTCCTTCTTAGGTGGTTTAGACGATCACTGTCAATACTCACTGGTTTGACAGTTGAAACTGAGTCACAATTGTCTGAACGCCGAAATAGTTATTTTTATTAATATTTTTTATAATGATTTCTCATATTTACGCGAACACTACACATTGATTAAAACTACTTTTACGGATTTTATCGCGTTTAATTTTAGTTATTTTTATTTTTAATTCCCGACGTTTCGAGTGCTTTTCAGCACCCATGGTCAGGTTGTTTTAGTGGGGCACGACAGAGATGGCGTGCATTATGGGTGCCATTTTCTTTGTTTGAAGTTGACATTCTTCCCGCCTAAGGGTATTAGTGTTCTGTGAGTTACAATGACATCGGGACGTCTGAGGTGTCAGACGTCCCGATGTCATTTTTAAACCCGGAGTACCTTCAGCTTTTTTAATTATTGTTTATGGTCCGATCTATTCATTGCATTGCAATGCAAATAAAACAATTAAAGTTAAAATTAAACGCGATAAAATCCGTAAAAGTAGTTTTAATCAATATTTTTTTAATTGACATGAATAGATGGCATGATATAATATATGCGGCATGATATAATATGACGGCATGATAGAATACCTTTTTGGGTGGTTCGGGGACGACTTCCTCCTGGGCTTCCTGTCCGGGGATCTTGTAGCAGTTGTCCTTGAGGCGGGCGGCCACATGCGTGACCTCGGGCACGCTGCGCCCCATGGCCTCCGCGATGCGCTCCCAGCGCTCGGAGCTGCCGCCCGGGTACTTCTTCACCAGGCGCACCAGCTCCGCCAAGTCATCATCCGTCCACAGCCCCCCAGTTATCGCCGGGGGCGTCTAGAAGACCAACGCACCGTCTTACGGTGACCTCCCCGATCGCACCATACAACCTCCATTCGCACTATATAACCTCCATTCTCACTATACAACCTCCATTCGCACTATACAACATAGACCTCCCCTATAGATTACCTCATAGGAGAGATACTTGCCACAGTTGCCACGCTTAACAAGCGGATTGGCTACCGCACTTTTTCAGTCTTTATTGGGAAGTTGCTGCCGCCCATTTCTTCATTTATTTTCCTCTGTCGCCTCTTACGACACTCACAGGATGATACTATTATTATATAGTATATTCGATGGCTCCGTGGCCCAGTGGCTTAGCAATGAGTTACAGCGCTAAGGGCCGCGGGTTCGAATCCCGCTCGGAACAAGTATTTGTATGACCTACAACTCTACAAGTAATTGTTCCGGGTCTGGATGTTTGTCCTTGTGAAATTTATGTTTGAGGAGAAAATCCTAGTGTGGAGGTAACGTTTTTAAAAAAAAAGATATAGATTTGTGGATACTCTTAAACCGGCACTACACAGTAAGCACTATAAACTATTTTCTTAACTACCCGAACAAATTTTATGGGCGTTATTAGTAGGTAAGTGAAATGGGATATAAATATCTTCTTTACATATCACTAAACTCCTCCTAAACATCTGGGACTGATTTTGATGAATTTGTTTGTTTGTTTGAGTGACCCTAGGTGGTTTAGATTTACAGTTGCACCTGGTAGCTGGTACAGTTGTTGAGATTCAGAAATCACTGGTGCCAAACCGGGGCGCATTATTCTTTCTATAATATATAAATAAGGAAGGTTGCTGTAATCCATGTACATCCACATCATTCCTTGGTTATGAATTAAAATGCAGATACCTTGTCATCACAAGAACTAAGATAGAATGCTAGTTCCCAGTAAAATGCAGTCTCCGGTTCTCTACACTCACCATACGAAACACAGTAGCTATTTTAAGTCGGTATTCTGTAAGAGCCTGGTCCTTCCTTGGTCGAACGGATCCGTTCGTGCTACAACCATAACCACCCCTAAGACGCAGTGAAAGAGGGTCTCCTGTTTTCTATATTCATTAATTTAATGGAAAAATTTAATGTAAAATGTGCATGAATGAGTTTAAATAATACTGAATATAATTGAGTTTAAATATTTTGATAATTTTATATGTGGTAACCAGCATCATTTCATTCAGCTAGTAACAGCATGAAAGGGTCAGCTCGAGCGGTGTCACAGAATACCAGCGTAAAATAGCTGCTGTGTTTCGTACGGGAAGTGTAGAGAACCGGAGACAATTTTTACTGGAAAGGAGGCATTCCATCTTAGTCCTTAGGTGTAATAACGCATCTGCATTTTGATTCTTAATGAATGATAAGTGTAGTATGGGCCACAGCATCCACTTACCATCAGGTGGACTGTGTGCTCGTTTGCCAACATTATTATGTATAAAAAAACTGCAGTTTATTATTGTCAGATGTTATCAGGAAGTGCTGCTACCCATCTTCAATTCACTTTACCTGTGTCGCCTCTTACAATACTACGGTATGATATGGGTACAATACAATATGATACGCAGAATACGAATTAAATGTAAAGTGCACATGAGTGAGTATAAATATAACTGAAATGCAAGATGTCGCTCACGGTCTTGACGGGCATGACAACGGGCGCGTCAACATGTGGTTCGTCTGCGGCGTCGAGGAGACAGCCGTCTCGTGCGGGCGGCACGAAGCCGCGCCGCCGCCGCGCCCCGCCCCCGCTCGCCGCCGCTGCAGCCGCCGCAACCGCCTCGCGCTCCGCTCTCAAGCGCTCCTCTTCCTCCCTTTTTTAAGTATTAATACTGACTAGCTTTTTTCTGTTTTGTAGCATTTGCTGCAAGGCCATCAGCCACAAAAACCATTCTACACTATAATATGTTACAGGAAGTCTGCCTCGTTGGTACATGTGCGGCTGCGCTGATCATGAGGTCCTGGGTTCGAATCCCGGGTCGGGCTGAAAATCAAATATTGAGATTTTCTGTCAAGAAATTCTCAGTAGCTGCCCGGAGTCAGGAAGTTGGCGGTGTCTCACCCCTGTGTCTCGGAAAGCACGTTAAACCGTTGGTCCTGCGCCTGATCTCTTTCCGGTCGTGTCGGTTTACCGTCCCATCGGATTATGAGAGTGAGGGAATAGAGAGTGCACCTGTGCTTGCGTATACACTTGGGCACTATAATCCTGTCCTGCGCCGTTGGCTAGTCTCCGTAGAGGCAGGCCGCCGTGGCCGAAATTCGGTCTGGAGGAGGACACTAATGTTATACGAAATATGTTAAAAAAATTCCACAATTTGTTCATGACCGGCAATCGATAAAAACTAAACATAATTTAAGGCTTATATCACCATCGGAGCCATCACTTCCACTAATAGGTATATGCGTAAACATATAATACACAAAATTACACCACATTTACGTATTTTAATAAGTACCATTCACTTAATATAATTTTAAGCCATTATTTAATCGGTCATACCGAAGCAGCAAGCACTAGGATTCAAGCATCCCCCAAAGTTAAAGTTACAGCCTATATACGTCCCACTGCAAGCCTCCTCTCATTTCTACAGGGTTTTAGGGCGAGGAAGTGTGTTACTATTGATTGCTATTTTTTTATATGAAATATGGATAATATTTACAGGGAAAGTTTGAACCCTGATGAATTTAAAATTATTGAATACATTTCGAGTTCCAAAATTGAAATTATGGAACTCGAATTTCTATAACAGAATTTACAGCAACAGATGCAGCAGGCATCAATTAACTTTAATTAAAATGAAAAAAGTGCCTCAGCAATAATGAACGATTTTTTAAATAATTAATTTTTATAAAGAAATGCATGAATTGTTTCATATAAAATGTCAATTCCATAAATAATGTATACAATAATCTCAAGTTTTCTTTCACCCCACTGCTCCAAAAAGAGAGTAATGACTTTTAAATGTATATTTGTATGTAGAAATAGACTTCATAGCACACTCTGTAAGCTAAAAGACTTGATAGATCTAAACATTCAGGTGTTAACACATATCATTCATGTTAATTTTGAAAATATTTAAAATTTTCTTTTTATGCAGCACGCAAGTTTTTTTTCCATCGGTGTTTTAAAAATGGAGCTTGTTACTACTTATATGTTAAAATCTTTAAATAGGTTTATTATGTTCAATAAACACGCTGTTCATTAGGAAAACAACTTACTTTACATGCGGTATATTGCAGGACTGTACTAAAAATTACAGACATCAACTTCATCAGCTAAGAAAAAAACCTCAAAGAAATTATGAATAAAATAAATACAAAATAAAAGCAAATATTTTGAGGTGTATAAGAGTTGCACATACCTCTTTTTCTGTCTTTTTGCTTCCTCTTCTCTCTCCTTCATTTTCCTCTTCACCTCCATGATCCCTTGAGGAATAGCAATTATAGACCACCAAAGAAACCTTGGTATTTGAAAAGGCAGTGTGTCTTTTACACTAGGTTTAGGCAGTTGTTCTAATATTTCTGCTAAGCCCGTGTCAAAGCCTGACTTCTTTTGCCTTTTCCCTCTACTATTTAATATTTGCTCCTATTAACAAACATGTTCTATTTATAACTTACACATTTTCAACAATCACTCTCTATGTAATTCCACAACTAGGCTAGTAAAATACTTACAGCAGTAAACCTCTTCTCAGCATAAGCAGCCCAACCAACTGCATATTGGCCAAATGAAATAATAATGAAAAGTATCACAGAGCCTTCAGCTAAGCCCATTTTCCTCACATGTCGATAATAATACACGGCAGAACGCCAATTTGGAAGACCATTTTTGAGTACTTCATTATACCTGTATAGTAAAAATTTGCGGAATTTATACAACTATATTAATAATACTGTTACGAGCTTGAGGTTCGTGACAATAAAAATTGCCGATAAAATTACCTAAATTAACACTTTAATTTTCTTAAAACACTAATAATTAATCACACTGATTCACTTTATTCCGCTCCAAAGCTTCGCTTGTCTTGCTAAATTCAATACTTCCCCGATCGCGTATTGCAGCGCCTTTATATAGGGCTCTTCCACAAAAACATCCAGAATATTCGAGTAAATACGCGCGCCAACCGACCAAGCGCAGAAAGTTCGAGTTTGAGGCTTCCAGAAAGCTTAGTTCTTCAATTCGATACTAGATGGCGCTGTCGGTTGAAAGATTAGTAATGTCATTTTCTGGAAAGCTCTCTCTTCGCTCTGTTACCCGACACTAGATGGCGCTAGTGGCAGATGTCAACTTAGCCGCGCAACAATACTGTATGCCATGGACACCTGCAACTAAATAGGTCAAAGGAAACTGCAAATGCATTGTCACTTCCGTGAACTAAGATAAAATGCCTTACAACCTGTAATAATTATTCTGGGATTCCTTCAAACCAGAACCAAGCATTACAGCTGGTGAAATAGGTAGGAGGGCAGTACCTACCCAGATGGGCTCCCAAGCAGAAGTGCACCCCCATCAGTTAAAATAATAACTCTAATTAAAATAATAAAATAAATTAAATTCTATGATGAAAAGTTACAGCCTATACAAGGTTATTTTTCAAAGAGTAGCCAAATTTTAAACTTAAGTTCAAAAATATAAAAAAATGATGTACCGTTATTGCAGTTTTTCAAAATACGAGTAAATAAGGGTTCTAATTTCATTTGAAATTATCCCAAATTGAATGTAATTTACGGGCAACAACATTTTTGCCTACCTGAATGTGTTTTTATTGATTTTGACTACCTTATGAATGTGTGCATGTGCAGTAAAATCGGTTAAAATTATACATAACCACACATTTTGAATTTAAAAGATAAAAAGGACAGAATGTTTGAGGTTTTTTTAATTCATTTTTCTTCACCATTTGCCTATATTACTTATTCCGAACCATCTCTGCAAATTTGGTCAGATGCTGCAAAATAATCATGTATATACATTGTACATCCTAATGCTCACACACAAATCTCATTTCTAAGAGTGTTTTAGGACAAAGTTTTTAATCCTTTATGACCTTTTCTATCTAGGAGTCTGCCTGGGTTGGTACCAGTGTATTATTTCTACTGCAAGTCAATAGTGCATACACTATTAAGGGTTGGTAGAGTCAGTATAATTAATTGCAGTTTAATCTATGTACACAAAACTGACAACAATACATCTATAATTTCTTTTGCTTCAAATTTATTGCCAGTATTATTGCCTCTAGCATTTTTTAAAAGTAAGGGTGACAAGTGAACACTCAGTCCATCTATCAGTAAGGACACTGTGACACATAGTCATTCATCATTCACTACATGAAAAGATAGATTAAGACTGTCCCACAAAGCAAACTTTAGGGGCACCCTTTTAACGTAATACCTGTAACATGTTGCAATTTATTATGATAATCATGATGTTGTGACCAATAAAGTCACAAAAGCTGTTTGTAAAATTCAATTTATAGTGAATAACTATGTTTATAATAATATTGTCATTGAGACTGTATTTCAATCATGAGGCTAGTCCGAACAGAGACTAAAAGCAAAGGTGCACTCTTTATCTATCTATCAGAGATCAAGGGCAGGGTCAATAGCTTTATGTGATTTCTAATAAGGGTAAAACACCGCCAATATCTTGACTTCAGATTGCTACTAAGTATTCCATGACATAAAAATCCAACAAAAAGCCAAGTCGGGATTCAAATACAGAACTCAAACAATGCAGTCAAGAAACTATGTTCATATAAATTATTAAATATAGACTAACTTTTCTCTTTTTCCTGGATCCTTAAGAATATTGTGCACGGAAACCAAGTTTCTGAACTTCACATCTGCATCTGGAGCCTTATTCTTATCAGGATGTAGCTTCAAAGTGAGCTTTTTAAATGCCGTTTTAATTTCAAATTGTGATGCTTCCTAAAAATAAATAAACAAAGTGTGATCAAGTGTATTCAATCCACTGCAGAGTACTGCTTAATATATCATATACCTTTTTCATCTAACGCATTGATTTATGTTTTAGTTGCTTGTTTTGTAATTTTACAAATAATAAGTTTTAAGTTTAGTGGTAATGTTCAGTGTACAATAAATTCAAGGGTTGATAGAATTTATTGTAACTGAAACTATGTCAACGGGAAAGAAGATAATGTTCTCTGTGAACTAGTAGAAGTAACCTTATTAATATGGTCTACCTTAAATTCCCTAAATGCTATACGGAAGACTAGGAACCGTAACAGCCGTTACAACTCCTAGTTGCTTGGACTCTATTAAATTCACAGTGGTATAAATAATTTTTTCAATCTTTGTGGAGTAGCAGCAAGTTGCTTACAAGGCTGATGTTTTACTTAAGCGGGATTTCCTTCTTTGTAACAAATACTTGTAAGTCTCTTCTCATAAATAGCAACCTATCTTAAGTATTAAAAAAACTGAAAAGATAAAGAATATATAAATATATATTCTTAATCTTTTCAGTTATATATATATATATATATATATATATATATTGCTTAAAATTCAACCTCAAAGTAATTAATTTTTAATGCTATAAAACTAGTTGTACAATTTTATAGTAAACATACTTTGTCTAATGTTAGAAGACTTTGTCTAATGATTTCTTATATTTACGCGAACACTACACATTGAAATAATACTAGTTTTTACGGATTTTATCGCATATATTTAACTTTTTAAATACCCAACATTTCGAATGCTTTACAGCACCCATTGTCTAATAAAAACTTCAAAGTAATTAATTTTTATTGCTATAAAACTAGTTGTACAATATTATAGTAATTGTCCTTTCTCCAATGTTAGAAGACTTTTGTCTAATAAAAATATTGCTTTAAATTCAACCTCAAAGTAATTAATTTTTAATGCTATAAAACTAGTTGTACAATTTTATAGTAATCATACTTTGTCTAATGTTAGAAGACTTTGTCTAATGATTTCTTATATTTACCCGAACACTACACATTGAAATAATACTAGTTTTTACGGATTTTATCGCGTATTTTTAAATACCCAACGTTTCGAATGCTTTACAGCACCCATTGTCTAATAAAAACTTCAAAGTAATTAATTTGTAATGCTATAAAACTAGTTGTACAATATTATAGTAATCGTCCTTTCTTCAATGTTAGAATGTTAGACACTTTTGTCTAATAAAAATGTTTTTTGATATCATTTTGATTCTAACTGTCGTGTTACTAAAGTATAAAGATTTGAAATTAGATTTCTAATTTTTTCTATGAGGTAACTTTAGGTACTTTAAGTGTAAGCTCAAGATGATTGGATAACCACATGAATAACAAAAATGTAAACGTTTATCTGCTTATAATAAAAATAAAACAAAAACATGTGAATTTTCTTCAAACGCATAATGAGCGACTTATTTTGAGGGTTTTATCTCATATTATCAAAGAACATATTAAATATGTTTACTAAGAATAATACAATAAGTTTAAATCTGTTTAAAATTTAAATTTACCTGCGTAACACCTAATAATTCGTAGAAATTCTGGTTCACCTCTTCTACCACGTCAAAAACTTCTAAATCGTCGTCGTCCCATGCCGCTACACTTAGGATAAAAACCAATAACACAATAATAACGTAGCGCATGATTATTTATTATATTTCTACCTTATAACTTATTAAAACTATATAAACTATTTTTTAAATTACACTGACTATATCATTACCAAAAGCCAACAATTGCCAACTGTCACATCAATGTCAGTTTGAAAGTATTCGTCTTTTTTTATTTATTTATTAAGATTTATGGCATAGACGCTTGTCTTTTTAGCCGTATCTTCATTACTCTTCGTTTTTATAAATTCATTTCTTCACAATATACTGGAGTCACATTGCAAAGTTTTTGAGATTGAGATTTTGAAAACAGCTCAACCCAGCGGATAATCGATGACGACAGTCACTCGAGTTCATAAGGTGTCTAAGGGATCAGAATGACTTGAGGCTTATATCAACATCGAAGCACTTGTTTCGTCGTTTTCTTTAATAGTTCACAGGCGTAGACACTAATGGTTCATAAAAGGTAGCTTGATCTCTGCGACAGCTATCAGTAAAAATCACGCCTATGAAGTAATGAATTTCTTAGTAGTACAGTATTTATTATTATACCTATATACATTTATTTATTTTATTAAGTATACCTATATATGTACATTTTATTATTATTATTTTTATCACATATATTATCACAAAACTATAATATTATAAATATAAATACAATCTATATAAATAATATTATTATTTCAGTTATTATCCACCGCGGCGAGGAATTCTAAGCCATCGGTGAAGTTAGGCATCCAAAGATAGGAACCTTCTTACTATTCGAGTCGTATTTAATAAGGCCGATTTTTGAATTAATGCCTTCAGCCATTTGCCCAAACCTAACTTGGACAGATAATCGTCCATATTTTTACCAATAAGCCCATTGACTGAAACAACTATTAGTACAATAATAGTAGAATTATTATTCTTGGGGTATCTATATAATTTTCTCACCTGGTTGGGTTCTATAAATATATAATTATAAATTAAAATGAAAAGATAAATATACATAAATATCAATAAAATAAAATAAATACAAAAACTACATAAATAAATAAGATCCAATCAGATGGGAGCCCTCGGCAGGGGAGACCAAACGGCCGAGGGTTATGGGGAAAGGGAAAGAAACCGGCGGACGATGCGGGCGGTATCGAGAAGCACCGCCTTCTGCATTTGAGCCCGGAACGGTCCGTCACGGAGTCCCAGTCGCCTCAGATGACCCGAGAGGCTGACTGGGATTAGCCCATTCGCAGAGACGACTACAGGAATAATTTCGGTCGGCATACCACCCCACATGTCGGTCACCTCGTGAGCCAGGTCCAGATATTTTCTTCGTTTCTCTGTTTCGGCTTTCACGAGGTTCTCGTCATACGGAATGGTAACAATCCCGTTTTATTTTAAGAAACAAACTGACATCTCCGCAAAACCAGTTGAACGTTTTAAGAGAGGAACGATACCTTATTATTTTCCCGTAATAAAAAAAGAATAATACATTTTTTCGACCGTAAAAAACAAATTCCTGCTGCATATAATTTTATAATTTTACATCAAAATATCGCCAGTGCTTTGTTAAAACAAGATTTGATAGAAATAACTATACAGGAGTTACAGGAGAGTAACAGTGACCCAGATGTTATTTGTCTTTCGGAAACTTTTATAAAAAAAGGTTGTGAGAAGTTTTTAAGATTAACCAGTTACGTCATGACCGCCAATTTTTGCAGAGAAAAGCACAGAGGGGGAACCTGTATCTTAGTTAAAAAAGGATTGATTTTTAATGAACTGTCATTAACAAAAAAATATGCGTCGCAGAATACGTTTGAAGTCTGCGGCATTGAACTAACGTGTATTAAATTAATAACTGTGTGTCTCTACAGAACACCCCAATCAAATCCGAAACAGTTTCTATGCAAACTAAATAATCTCTTACACGATTTAACTATGAAATACCAATCTAGAGCACAAATAGTATTGGCTGGTGATTTTAACATATACACATTAAAAAAAGACAACATCACAAATGAACTACAAGATTTATCCTACAACTACAATTTAAAAATACACATTGATGTACCCACACGTAAGTCATCATGCATCGACCATATTTTAAGTAATATTTCGGATGCAACTGCAGCAGTACTACTGATCATATACTTCATCTATACTGATCATATACTTCATATACTTCATCTATCTGATCACGACACAGCACAATTGTTAAGGTTTCCTTTAAAACGCAATATACAAAAGCATGCGATATATTATATTTATAAAAGAGATTATAACAAAGATAATATTAGGAAATTTAAAGAATGTTTACAAAAAATGTATTGGTCGGAAGCGTATGCGGTAAATGATGCTAGCGTAGCTTTCAGTAGTTTTCATGATTTGTTGTGCCTTTTTTATAATCTTTGATTTCCAAAAGTACGAATTAAAGTAGATATAAATAATAATAAAAAACAAAATTGGATAAGTTAAGATATCAATATTGTAGAAAAACAAATGCTGTTAATAAAGCTAAATATATGACATATTCCAAACTATTACAGAAATGTATTCAAAATTCTAAAAAAATTGCCAACATAAACTTTATAAATAAAAATGACAACAAGTGTAAGGCCACGTGGAGCATTATTAAAAAGGAAATAGGTAGCTCACATGACAAAAATGACATAGAAAAAATTATAATTAATAACAATGTTTTGACGGAGCCAATAGAAATATCCTCTGCGTTTAATAACCACTATATTAATTCGACGCATGAAACAACACACACAAAAACAAAAAAATTACTAATCAACACTGATAACATCAACACTATGTTTCTCAAACCCATGTCTGAAAAAGAAGTTAGAAGAAAGATAATGTCATTAAAAAATACTAGTTCTGTAGGCTATGACGACATAAGTACAAAAATTATAAAACATTGTATAGACGAAATAATAGGAATCTTGACCCATTTAATAAACCTATCTTTTCGTGTGGAACTTTTCCAGATCCATTAAAGATATCCATTGTTAAACCACTATATAAAAAAGGAGAGAAACATATCGTCAATAATTATCGCCCAATAACATTGATACCTATTATGTCCAAAATTTATGAAAAGTGCATGTACAAAAGAATAATTGAATTCTGCAACAAATTTAATATTATAATTAACGAACAATACGGTTTTCAAAAAGACAAATCTACTACGTTGGCCGTTTTTTCTCTCCTAAAAATAATACTATCAAATTTAAATAATAATCACTTAACTACAGGGCTTTTCTTTGATCTATCTAAAGCTTTCGACTTAGTTTCGCACGACCTCCTGCTACAAAAACTCGAAAAGCTTGGGATTAGGGGGCCAACTCTTCAGTGGATATCTTCATACCTCAGTAACAGACAGCAATGCGTTACAATTATGAAAATAGATGGAAATAAGGATCTCATACCGTACTCATCTGAATATAGACTCAATAGGTATGGCGTTCCAAAATGAAGTGTGCTTGGCCCAATTTTATTTTTATTATATATAAATGACATTTTTAATATAACAAATCATAAATGCATATTATTCGCGGATGATATTTCAATAATTGTGACTTCTAATAAAAAAGATAATACTATTAATGACCATGAGACTGACATAAATAACACTATAGATAAATTAATTGAATGGCTTGACATAAACAATTTAAAAATAAATCTTGACAAATCTGTATATATACAATTCAATAAATGTAGTAATAAAAAATATAATATTAATCTTAACATACCAAAAATAAAAGCAGTAACAAATACAACATTTCTAGGAATAAATATAGATGAAAATTTTAACTGGAACTTGCAAGTAAACGATGTATCTACGAGATTAAATAAATTTGCATATGCCCTTAAACATTTAAAAAACTTTACCAACATAAAAACGGCTGTTCTACCCTACCATGCATTCGTCGAATCAATACTGCGCTATGGACTTATAATCTGGGGTAATAGCACGGATCAAAATAGAGCATTTCGTGCACAAAAAAAAATGTATTCGAGCAATATGTGGGCTTAAACCAACTTAATCATGTCAACAGGTGTTTAAAAAACTTGACTTATTACCCCTACCATGTCTTTATATTTATGAAATAGGTATGTTTGTATGGAAGCATAAATATTTATTTAACACGGCGGATGATGTAAATCCTCGGATCCGGCGAAACCCGTACAAACTCATATTAAGTGATAATCCTAGAATAAGTAAATATAATAAAAGCTGTTTATCTATGTGTGTACGTTTATATAACAAGTTACCAAATAATATTAAACTGTTAAATACTAGATTATTTAAATCGAAATTACTGGAATACCTAGTTAAGAATAATTTCTACAGTGTTATGGACTATATTAATCACAAGTCTTAATTTACGATAAAAATTTTGCATGCTATATGTAACTCTAGCAAAACATGTTGTTCGATTATATAATATTTGTAAAATCTTTTTCATACCATGTTTTAAGCAAATAAATATATTATTATTATTATTAAAAAAAAATGCTCTGTACTGCCGGGTCTTGCCATTGCTCGTTGGCTAAGGATAGAGGGGTAAGTCCTTTATCACTAGAAATGACGTCATTATAGAATGGATCATCCGATCTCACCAGGAAGTAATGACGGAGGCTGCACACTTCGCGATTATGTATGGTGAGCGCGCTCAGGAAGCCACGCTCACCATGCTTTCGCGGCAAGTAGAGCCTCATTACCGACGATCTCGGATGATGCATCCTATGGGACGTCATTGTAGTGCAGACTTTTCTATCCAGGGCGTTAAGTTCAGTCTGACTCCACCTGAGTATGCCAAAGGTATACATGAGGAGAAGTTCCGACGGTTGCGTTTCACCACTTTGCCAATGACCACGTCAATGAGGAGTGGTACCTTGGTTCCACGACCGCCGCCCCGACATCCATTTTGAGCGCGCGACATCACCTGATTTGAGTCCAGGTGACGAGCGATTCTCGCGCTCAAAATGGATGTTAGTGTCTTGTATATGGTCGGTAGACACGTGATGGGGTGGTATTT